TGGCTACCTAGCAGTGCTGGGACTGAGTCAGGTGAGCCAAGTCCGAACCCCTACTTGACTTACTTGGTTAAGTTAAGCCAAGTCTGGGATCTGGGCTTGACTTGCTTAGTATACTTGACTTAAAAGGGTCACGTGAGCTTGAGCCAGTTATATTTTTAGGGAAAAAGAAAAGCAACCCAAGGCTCGAGGAATTCTGAAAATAGGTGGGAAATTCTAGCACGGTACCTAGGTATCTAGGTATATTTACTCCCTATATGCACTCTCTCACCTGAGCCGATATATAAAGGGGGAACTGAAGACGAAATGATCGAGGAAGCATTGAAAGTTGTCTGAGTTGATCTCTAGTCTACGAAAGAGAGGTGTTGAAGAGCGACTATATACCTACGCAGGTGACCTACGGTGGGTACTGACTACGTTAGTACGACACAGTCTTATCGATTTAAGTCAAGTCTGGCTCGAAAAAGGACTTATTTATAAGTCTGGCGAATTTTGAATACTTACTTATTCAAATAAGTCCGACTTGACTTAGTCCCAGCACTGCTATCTAGTAGGTATACAAAAATTGTCTGTGCACGCGCCGGAGTGTGATGATACATGTCACTTTTGAGGGAAGCGAGGACTTTTTGGCTGCATTGAAGCTGTAAAATTACTCACCAACTACCCTATACTACAGGCATACATGCAGATCTACCCAACGATTTGTTCTACTTGCGCCACTCGCGCATTTATACGCATGCGTCAGCGCTTCTCCCTGTGCTTGATTGGTGCCCATCGAAGCGCTTTGTGGTAGATTAGGTAGGTAGGTAGGTAGGTAGGTAAGTAGGTAGGTACCTGGGTAGGTACTTATACATAGGAGCTGTGGCAGCACCACGTCTGTGTCTCAATATATAAAACCAGTGAACCACTTGTTTTAAGTGGCAACAAGGTCTTGCTTTATTAGCGCGGGTTGACCCATTAAGACTTTTGGTGGGGTGTAGCCCCGATAAAATAGACTTAGTCCAATACATCATCCTTTGACCACCAAAGACCACTGTCAACACACGTCCTCCACCTTCTTTCAGCTTCAACAATTGCCTTCCACTTATATGCTCAGCAAAATCCAGCTGTAACCGCTGACCAAATGTCGGCGTCACCAAGCCTGCCAGCTAAGATAATTATCTGCTGCGACGGGACCTCAAAATCAGCATATATCGAAGGTAATTCTTTGACCAATGTGACTCGTATCACGCGTTGTATCAAACCTATCCACAAGAAAGGAAACCGCCAGATCGTCTGGTATCACCCCGGCATTGGCACAGGATCAAACAGGATCGTAAACGCATGGCATCAATTCAGCGGTGAAGGTATGGACAATAAACAATCCGAGGTATTCGCTTAAAATGACAAAGGCCGATGAAGGCTAACTTAAGCGTTCAGGGCTCAAAGACATCATCATTGCCGCATACTTGTTTCTCTGCAACAACTACAATACTGGCTTAGATGGAGGACCTAGAGACGAGATATATCTAGTTGGGTTCTCAAGGGGTGCTTTCGCCGTCCGTTGTCTGGCCAGCTTGATTCAACAACACGGAGTGCTGCCCAGGGAAGAACTACATCACGCGAATGACCTCTATGACCAATGGAAAAAAGGTACTGCACCTGGAGCCGCCGTGCCCCCAGTCCCCATAAAAGCCTGCGCACTTTGGGATACTGTCAGTGCTATTGGAATCCCACTGCGTGGTGGCACAATGTGTCGAAAATTGGCACACATTGATTCAGACATGACCAATTCCGTCGATCATGTTTATCAAGCTTTAGCTTTGCATGAACATCGCCATCACTTCTTTCCAATTGTACTCAAGCATCCGATCACCCCTTCAAATGCACCGAATGTAGAGCAGTGCTGGTTTGGAGGTTTCCATTCAGACGTGGGTGGAGGCAAGAAGCTTGATGCTCTTGCACACCTCCCTTTGATATGGATACTGTCCAAGCTGAGCCCGTGCATCGATACCGACATGGATGGTTTACTTGGCCCCATGACAGCGCAAAGCACTTGGAGAGTGCCTCGGCTCAGTGATGCATCTTGTAAGTGTCATGATTCCCGGCGGTGTCGTTGAACCATCGTTCCTATCTTCATTGTTGTTTACTTCTATTCTCTTTTGCTAATCACATTTTGGATATAAAGTTCGACCTGTAGACTCGATGAAGGCTCTTTTTCGGTTCTTGGGATCCAAATACCGTATTCCCAATTACGAGTTCTGGGGCGAGGCAGGCGTGTACACGTGTCCAGATCCAAACAATGAGGAGAAAATACACAGGTCAACTAGGAAGCTAATCGAAGATGATCAAATGACGCTTTTTCATGCCGCTCTTAGCATACCGACCTCTGAGCCCATTCGCTGGCTCCTCCGTCCAGGGCCCAATGCTGATGGGCTGGAGCCTTTCGCCGCAGAAGACACAGTGGATCGGAAAGAAATAGAATTGCTTTTGCACTGGGTGGGGAAAGAGGAAGAGGAGCTCCACAAACAAGTTAACTCTCAGGGTCGGGCGCCACCTGGTACGATACTCACAAAGTTGAGAGCTTGGTTTCGGGCACATGAAGCAGAATGATGCACATTGAATCAATATATATGTTTCCATATGATGCGTATCAATGGGTGTGCGGAAAGGTTCTATCAAAGAGTGTAAAAAGGATGCAGAAGGTGAAGCTGGTGGCTGTAGTCAGCCGGCCGTCACTAATCCAACCAGGGCAGAGCGGACGTGACGCCGTAGATTCTAGTGCGTATAGTCGTATGCGCTTGTATGCAATATCCAGACAATTTATATAGGTCGATTGTGCCAAGATAGCGCAGGTGGCAATCTAGGTAGCTGTGAGAATGAAATCGCATCCTTGTATCACAGAAATGTAGACAAGCAATCAAGAGACCGGATCTAATTGAATATTTGAATAAATTCCTTTTGCAAGTATGTAAGAAACTACGAAGCCTGCATAAATCCGTAATAAAACATATTAAGCATATATTATTTTCAAGGGCAGCACTTTTATCGATTTTGAGACGGTGCATTTTAATATGGATGGTTTGCGGCAGCCGGGAGAGGAGGTTGAGAAGATTACAAGGCGGCTTCTACCCAAGGAGAATTGGAACGGAGCAGTCAGTGGGTATGCGGCCGCGTTAAAGTAATCATCTGATCAGTACAAATAGGCAAATTAAATGGAGCGAGTGGTTTTTTTTCTTTTTGCCAACCTAATTTCTTCATTGCGGCTGAATGTCTTACATCAATAAATCCTGCTCCTGTTGACCACATCGGCCCTCCACGCTCATCGTGCCGTCCTGCGAAGCGGCCGGCTTCCATGCTTTGCCAACGACCTGGAGGCTGCCGTAAGGAAGGGTGAACTTGTAGATGAAATGGATAGTGCCACCCATGGGATCTTCCCAAGTTTCCTGGTCCGAGTAACGCTGTCAGTAATCATATTCCCTTTCTTTCCAGAAGGGAATCAAGAAATGGAGTGATAGCCTTATTCGCGCTTTTCAAAAAGTGTTGAGGATTCATCTTGCAAAGTTTTCCAACGTTCTTTATTTTATTATTACACTTTCTGTCTGATGCCAATTGGCACTGGTCAGGAGTACAAAGACGGCATGTCAGCAGCGCCAATATTTTGCGCCACGGCTTACGCTGCCTCTTGATGGCTGGGCTACAAGTTGTGCAACCATGCAAGCAGCAGAAGCGCCTAAAGTATTTACACATCCAGCCTTACAACCTCTTCCTACTTTCCAACATTTTTTGTGCCCAACCTACTCTGTTTGCAATGGCAGATTCATTAGTTACTTACGCATGAAAAGTATCCTTGGCCTCAAACATGGCTACCGAATTGCTTTCAGACGAAGACCCAGTTCGTCGGCGCCGATTGCAGGACAGCACGACACCCATCATTTACACACCGTTGATCCCTGCAGAAGCTCAGATCCGCTTGCTCACACTCCATCCGGGTCCATTCGACGAGGACATACGATGCTCTCTCAATACGGCCTCATTGAAAAGCGTTCTCCAGTACGAGGCCCTGTCGTACGTCTGGGGCGACCCCGCAGACACTCTGCCTGTTGTCGTAGATGGCAGCGAAATACAAGTGACGACCAATCTAGAAGCTGCGCTCAGACACCTCAGGTGGCAAGAAAAAGCACGCACGCTTTGGGCAGACGCCATTTGCATTAACCAAAACGATACTGAAGAGAAAACCGTACAAGTGCCGATGATGGGTGACATCTATCGACAAGCAACGTCCGTCGTCGTTTGGCTTGGGCACGGCTTGGAACACGTGGATGTTGCCGTCAGATGGGCGCAGCTATACCTTTGGAAGCAGGAACGCGAGACACCACCAGGATCGGAAGCCAATGTTCCCGATACCCAATTGACCTTGGTTGGATTTTGCAACTCTCGTCCTTGGTTTCATCCCCTTGCTCAAGCACCACTATTGGCATCGTATGTGGACATACCAAGAATTTTTATTGGCTACAAAGATGCCTGTATGCGTCTATGGCCACTTGTCGTTTTCACCGCTGGTTTTGACCAAAGTTTTCAAGGTCGTGTCAAATAAAATGGCCGCCTTCAGTGCCAATCCTGATCTTGAATCTTTAGCGGAGCAAAATCAACAACTCTTCACAACTATGACTAGGGAATATTATAAGCACGTTGCTCAAGATCGGACAGCCTGGTCATGTCTCTACGACATGATCATGCACAACAGAAACCAAGCCACTACGACGGAAAATTTCCCCAGGCTGCTTGTTGGCTCCGTTGGAAAAGGGTGTTCCGAACCTAGAGACAGGATGTATGCCCTTTATGGCCTCTGCCCTAATCATTCTTCGGCGCTTCCCGTCGATTATAAGAAGACACAGAGACAAGTCATTCTGGAAACAATCACTCATATTACAAGCTCACGGTTTCTGTACTTTCTTTGGACCTATCTCGAGTTTCATGCCGACAGATTTGTGCGTCCCCAGAAACTTCCTTCGTGGACTCCGGACTTCGACCGTAGGCAAGAATTTATCAACGCCAAGATGAACGGCAAACACGGTCTTAGATTCGTCGATCGGAGAATCGAGGCTGACCACATATCTCCTGACTTGACCACTTTGCATCTATGGGCGCGAAATCTAGGGTACTGCAAGATTTTGCGGCGGCTCAGCGATCCTGGCCCCGTGACTAAGATTCCAGGGCAGAAGGCGGACATCACTTTCGAGTTTGCTGCCTTCATAAAGGACTTAAGGGATAATGAGCCCAGTCCGACGGGACACGAGCTGTGTCAAAGGTTCGCCCGACGTGCAGTCATCGATAATGAGGGCCATGAGCAAACCTCTGATGACGATCTAGTCGAGGCGTTCAAGGCCGTTCATTCGGACCCAAGCTTAGCTCATCGCGGACAAAATGGAGAATTCAAGAGCAGAGCATTGGAATTAGTCTCTCGTAGCAGATCTTGCCTTCGCGGTGTAGCTTGTATTGTCACCTCCAACGGCTGCGTAGGGTTTTCCCCGTACGACACCGAAGACGATGATCTTGTCGTGGTCCCGCGTTTCCCGAATCCTTTGATGGTCCTGAGGAAGGAGTTTGCCGACCCGAATCAAGGCGGCCGACACTCTTATCTCATGGTAGGCGTCGCGAATGTGGATGTGGATGCGGTCGGCGTGGCGGAAAGTCATGGTGTCGATGTAGTAGAGTATCTTGTCCGCTGACGGACGTAGCTAGCGATGTGTATGTGACAGTATTTGCACCAGCGCTATTCAGCTTGTACCGCGTTTGATCATTTCCGATCCGAGCATGATCGCAAAGACAGCCTCGATTATAATAACGCTAATGCGACCTGCTTACACGTGGGGTCACGCTAAAAGAAAACTGCAATTTGATAGGCTCCTTTTTTATCGGGCCCTGGGCAAGGTGCGTGTATCGTTACGGATATAGCAGTTAAGAAGGCTTCTTAACCGGTTTGACCAATATCACTTGATTAATAACACCAAAGCTGCTACAGCAAATCTCAATTATACGGAAAAGGAGCAGCTCAACTCGACACATGATATTGTTCAAAGCATTTCTCCTTCCCTTTTACAATCCCGCGCACTCTCAAATCCTCAGCGGACTGCACAAATATATCGTCTTTTATCGGTTATATCCGAGCATCTGGCGTAACGAGACTAAACATGGCGACCACAACAACGCAGTCGCTGGCCAAGACCAGACTGCCTATTGTATTTGGTGCCATGACCATTGGAAAGCCAGGTTTGTGATTTAGCTCGCGTATCGAAGCACGGCTGATCAACTAACGACTTGAATCTAGGCGTCGAGCAGACTCGAATCCACACCCTCGATGAAGCCTCCGAAGTCCTCGACGTTTTCCAAAAGCACGGCCACAACGAAATTGATACTGCACGCGTGTATGGCGGGGGATCGTCTGAAGAATACCTGGGGCGTCTAGACTGGCAATCCCGCAACCTGGTTATGGGAACCAAGTTCTACGCCAACCCAACATTGCGCGCGCAAGGCGTCTCCCACTCACCCGATAATCTCCACAAATATCTACGGGAATCGCTGGTGGCTCTCAAGTCAGACAAGATTGACTTGTGGTACTTGCATGCCCCAGACCGATCGATTCCTTTCGAAGATACATTCCGCGCCGTCAATGAACTCTTCAAAGAAGGTCTCTTTAGGCGTTTCGGTATCAGCAACTACATGGCCTGGGAAGTGGCGCGCATCAACGAGATGTGCATCCAAAACGGCTGGGTGCGCCCGTCGGTCTACCAAGGTGTCTACAATGCCATTCACCGCGGAGTAGAGCCAGAGCTGTTTCCATGTCTTCGCCATTACGGCATGTCTTTCTACGCCTATAACCCTCTCGCTGGCGGTAGTCTGACTGCCCGTTATCGTCATGACAGTGCCGAGAATGTCCCAACCCCAGGGTCTCGATTCGATCCCAGCACTAGACAAGGTACTTTGTACCGCAAGAGATACTGGAATGACACTGTTTTCAATGCAGTCACTGTGATTCGTGAAGCAATGGCCAAGCACGAACTCACTGAAGTTCAATGTGCTCTGCGTTGGTTGGAGCACCACTCAAAGTTGCAGACTTGTGGGGATGCCATCATTGTCGGTGCTAGCAGCGCGCCACAGCTGGAAGAGAATCTACGCGCGCTGGAACAAGGCCCATTGCCCAGCGATGTGCTGGAGGCGCTGGATCAGGCTTGGGAAATCACCAAGGCCAGCACTTGGAATTATTTCCACTGAACCCAGCTAGATAGTGTGTAATGGTTCCGGAAAGATATTGCATATTCAAGCACATGCCAAGAACCTGCATAAATGTTAGAACATATCTAAAATTTCGTTTATCCTGCACTGCATGCCCGTTGTCCTCAATCTAGATAACTTTCTGAGTGACACTAACTGTCTCTACTCCATTGACTGCTTCGGATAATACGGATGGCTCAGTGAGAATCTTCAATAATACGCTTACCTCTGCTTGCGCATGCCTTGGATATTATCTACTAACATTCATAGTAGCCCAATTGACACCTCGAGTCAGGGGATGGAGCAGCTCTTCCTTTCCGTTCGACCCCTGCTTCATTTTCGGCCAAGGAATCCAGTCGCTACACTAGTTGATAGTCCTCGTCCCAAGCGTCACCGGTTTTAACTCGGTCTTTATCACCGAAGGTCAACCAGAGCATATATGTACCTAGTCAGGTATCTATCTGTTCCTTGGAGCAAATACGATCCTAGGTATAGCATTTATTTATGAAAATATTGCCTCATTTACTTCAAAATTTCATCAAGACTCGCTCTGATCTAGAAATATTGAGCAATAATGTCTCATTCGTATTTAATCACCGGTGCATCCTCCGGATTCGGCATGCACATCGCAATCAAAGCACTCAAGGCCGGCCACAAGGTGGTTGGCACGGCTAGGAATGTCGAGTCCGCAGCAAAGCGATACCCTGAACTTGAACACACCGGTGGGCACTGGATCAAACTCGACGTGACCGATCCTGGCACTCAAGATGAGGTTAGCCAAATCGTGGCCGATCATCATGTCAATGTCTTGATCAACTGTGCAGGCTACGGTATCCTCGGTTCGCTCGAAGACATGAGGTACGCTGAAATCCAGGTATATCTACAAGCTTATACTTCCACCGCTGACACACCTTTCTAGTGAAGCCGAGTTCCAGAAACAGATGGACACCAACGTGACTGGCACCGTACGGTGCATCAAGGGCGCCCTGCCGCACTTTCGCTCCCTGCAGGACAAGGGCGGAAGCACCATTGTGAATGTCAGCAGCGTGGCAGGTTACCGGGGCGGTGCATCGGCGACTGCATACGCCGCTTCCAAGTTTGCGATTGAAGGGCTCAGCGAAGCCCTCGCCCCCGAAGTCGGTCCCTTTGGAATCCGCGTCCTGTCGGTGGCGCCGGGGACGTTCCGCACCAATTTCCTCACTGACTTCCCTCGACCTGACGCGGGTTTGGGTGCCGCCTATGCTGATGGGCCCGTGGCGGCTGCGCTGGCTAGGTTCGAGTCAATGGATGGGAAGCAACCAGGAGATCCGGCCAAAGCTGCAGATAGAATTATCGAACTCATTGACGTCAATGATATGGGTGCTCAGTTCAGGGAGCGCGGCCATGGAACGGTGTTCCGGGTCCTCCTCGGAAAGGATTGTCATGCTGCCGTGATTGCCAAGTCGCAACAGGTACAAGAGGATATCGAGTCGATCAGAGAGGTTGCGCTCAGCACCGACTTTTGATAATTATAACGCGTCTAATGTATATAGCAAATGCCACGTCTAATATAGTGTCTCTTACTAAGTCTCACGCCCTTATTTTGATTTTCACTTGATGGGTTGTTCGTGAATTTATTGATGTTGAGCATAATTCTTTCTTGCTCATTTTTATGACATTATCTACAAAAAAGGCGTTGGTGAAATTGCCTACCTGAATAGCTCTTGCGTCATGATACTAGCCCTGAGAGAGATGGGAATCATTCGTTTGCTAACCTCAAAGAGCCAAGACCTGCAGATCCGGCATACACGCACTTATGATCCAGATAACACCATGCTTAACTCCGCGTGTCCGGGGTCCTTCAAAGCTTTTTAGGTTGAACAATGGTCATCATCGTTGCGCACATTTATGATCGCCATGCGACTGTAAGCAGCCCGCATTAGCGCGTTCCTTAGTGGACTCGACTGTATCCGCAATTATATACAACTACTACCTACCCAGCTGCCAATAGTCAGGCTCTGTATCAGGATATCTGAATTTGTCATGTGGTTTTCTTTTCGTATTGCCTTTTTGCTTTTTGCCACGGCTTTATAGCAATGTCCGAGGCCTTTCCCCCGTGTCTACCTGGGCCATGAAACTTGTGCTTGGTCCTTCTTGGCCAAACTTCTTGCTTGACCATTTCCTGGTTTATTTGCATAGTTCGCCACGGTGCCCTACGTTTTGCCTGGCATCGGATCTCGCAGCGACATGGCAATGCAGTTACATGTATGGCTTCAAGCCTTTGGACTTTGCTGGGGGCCCCGTTTTCCAGAGGAGGTACGATGTTCGATGCACTGCAATGATGTTGCATTTCCCACCAACACCGGCTTTTGGAAATCGAGGGGTTCCTAATGACCAGCTGTGCTATCACTAGCAATGGTGCCCGCCTCTGCACTACCGTCATGATGATCGGCCCACCAACGGCTGATCGCAGCCATTTATTATTCTCAACCTGGCATTGAGTTGTGTGTTTACCTATACATGAAAAACACACGAGGTCTGTGTCTATAAGAGTCTCTTCACGTCCTGAGAGTCCGACTTCGATCAATCTGTTCAGCCAAGCCAAAAGCGAAGCAGCACGATCATCTTTGAGATTTTGAGACATGCAATTATTAAAGTTGTTTCTTTTGCTAGGAGCCCAGTCTCCTGTTGGTCACACTGCTGCTGCCTACCAGAAGAGCAATAGCTCGTGTACAGATGCTGTGAGGATGAGCTCCAACTTGAAAAACGTCTCGGGATTCTTGGTCTATACTAATATTTAGCAGTGCTCCAAGCTCTCCCAAGTCTTTCCAACAGCTCTTCATTACCCCAATACGGATAATTTCACCATCTGGGACGCCAAACAGCAAGAAGTCGTCTCCGCATGTCGCCTACAGCCTGCTAATGCATCCGAAGTCTCCAAGGCGCTGCTGATTCTCCGCGATACGGGATGCCAATTCGCCGTCAAGGGTGGCGGCCACTCGAGAAGTCCGAATGACTCCAAGTCCGTCGGTGGTGTTACCATCGATCTCGGTCGTATCGTCGACGTCGCAGTCGCCACGGATGAGAACAGTGCACGCCTAGGAGGAGGTTTGAACTTGAGGCAGGCATTTAAAGCTCTTGAAGCATACAACATATCTTTCGCGGGCGGCAGAGTCGCGTCTGTGGGTCTCGGTGGTTTCACACTGGGCGGTGGCAGCTCTCCCTTTTCACCGCGGCACGGATGGGCGTTGGATAATGTGCTGGAATATGAAGTATGTTCTGTTACCCCTCCTACACTGCTCTGAGTCACTGTCTAACCCTTTTCAAGATTGTACTCGCCAACGGGACTATATCCGCCGCTTCCGAGACCAGAAATCCTGATTTGTACTGGGCTCTCCGTGGCGGTAGTAACAACTTTGGCATCGTGACCGCCTTCACCTTTGAAACGTTTCCCCAGGGCCAAGTTTTCAACGGGAGATCGACTTACGGACAGAACCAGACGGAGCAAGTACTGGACAAAGTCTACGATCTATTCTCAAGCCGAGATTCCCTTAGCGACCTATCCATGGGCTATGACCTATATTATTCGTACAACGGCTCTGCCGCGAGCTTCACCATGTTGGGCGTCCAGAGGTATACAGAGCCCGTTACCAATGCTTCGGTTTTTGAAGCCATCAAGACAATCCCTACCCTGACGCGAACCCAGACGATTGGGTACATGTCTGACTTGGTGTCTAACCCGGCCCTGGGTACAATACGGTTCGTGAATCCCCAACACACAGCTTTAGCGGGAGACAGGGTGATACTGATATCGCCATGATGGCAGCCATTGGTTCGGCACCGTGAGCATGCGGCCGTCGCGCGAGATGATGAGCCAGGCCCTCGCCATATTTGAAGACGAGGTCGAGAAGATTCAGACAGTGACGGGCCTGTCTGCCAATTTTGTCACTTACACGCTGCACCCAAATGCAATCAGCAAGATGAAGAGTCGAGGCGGTAATGCACTGGGAATTGACCAAGACGAGCCTCTAATTCGTAGGTTGCCCAACAGACAGACCCTGTTCCCGCATTTCTGTTCTTGACTTTTCTTCTTCACTTTGAAAAAAAGTCGGTGAAGTAACAACAATCAATAGTTATTTTAATCTCGACGGATTGGACCTCAAGTGACGGGGACGTGGCCGTGGAATCTATGACAACGAACGTCTTGGACCGCATCGCCGCAGCTGCCCAAGAGCTACAAGTCTATCACCCCTTCATGTACGTCAATTATGCATACGCCGGGCAAGCCGACAAAGTGTTTTCCGGCTATGGCGAGGAGAACCGGCAACGTTTGAAGGATATCCAGATATCGGTCGATCCGGATGGCATTTTTACATCACAGGGCCTTTGGAGAGGTTTCATGAAATTGTCTTGATCGACCAGACGACTTGGTCCTGTCCTGGGACCTGTTCTACTTCACTACGGAAGTAATGGTTACCCTTGGTAGGTATAGAGTAGTGGCTGGGTAGAGCGCTTGTAAAAGTCTTTTGTTTAGTCATATTGACTTGTCTCTTGATTTTCCGCCGCATTGACCTGTCGGAAACAGACTAGGTACAGAATGCACAATGCGATCAGACCCTAGACCTCTTGAATTACGTCGGACGGCCGGCGTGGGAGCAACGGTCGCTCCCCACGACGCGCCCGCCACTTGTTTGTCGAATCAAACAGGGCCCAGCAGTTTTTCAAAAGCCAGCCGTGTGACCTAGCAAAGGCTTCCGAAATTTCCCATCCGCTTGGGTCCCAAGGATCTTGCCAGACAATGATGCCGGGCGGCTCAGACCGGGTACGGCCACTGAATGCTTGACACAGCGCTTCTTCATCCAGGTCGTTGTCTAGGGCTATAAGAATATTGTCTCTGAACTGTGGCAAGGGGAGGAGATCAATCCAGGGATGATGCGGTATGGTGACCTGTAGCTCGGTAGGCCTTAGGGCAAGAGGTAACGAGTCCAGCTTGGGGGCCATGGCGGTGTCCCAAGGACCCGTGATGTTGAATGGGGACAGAGCGTCGTCGTGCATTTGATTTTGCGATAGACCCATTACGTCGACATTGACAAATAGAGCCCGGGTAAAATGAAACTGGGTGAGAATGGGCAAGAATTCGAGGTGTGGCGGCGCATTGGCAGAGCAGTGACGAGCAAACACCTCGAAAGCTTGCAAGGCCGACTTGTTGTGCTCCGAGTGTACTTGGAGTACGCATACTGTGTCCATCAGTCTCTTGAGATCACTCATCCGTATGCTGCCGCCAGATCCAGAGCGGAAGTTCATCAGTTCTTGGCACAACGATGTGGCAGCCAGATTCTCTCTCGAGCCATCCTGCTTGCTAGATTTCAAGTGGCGATTGCGAGCTCCTGGGTCACACAGGATTGTTAACAAGAGATCACATGCAGGGTTTTGTACACAGTTTCATGGCTTACGGTATGCCCTTTGGTTCAGGCGATTTTGTATCTTGCGTCTCTTGCGGCTACTGGTTACACCAGACCAGTCATCGGCAACGGTGACAGGGATATCACAAGTGTCTGAAAACGTGGAATCTGGAGACATGATGAGTGGAGACGCTTGCACGTTGCCCGTCAAATCGGGATGCACACAATTGGTGATAGGCTTTGTTGTCAGCCAGTAACGGAGATATGAGGCGATCTCCAGAATACGGATTAGATAGCGGACATTGCCGGTGTCCAAATTTTGACGTAATTGGTTGGGACTAATGTGTGTTCGCCTCAGGCACCAAGCATCTGCACTAAGACTGGACGGCAGGGAATAATTTAACCTTAAACTCTGGATCCGATCCAATGACTCGCGTCAGTACAAGTGTATTTTTCCATCCCGGCCATCTCTAGAATGCAATCTACGCGCCCTTCTTTCCCATCGCCTCTACCCGGTTCTTTTTTTCTTTTTCTTTGTTTCGCAAATATGTGTGCCATAGCTGCCGCTAGAACCTTGACACGCAACTAGTCTTTCGGTGGTCATGTTCTGTCTTAATGACCGATCCTCCCGAAAGTCACCCTAGAAAGCAATCATGCGGCCGGGATCGAAAATGCGCTTCGCCGTCTCCTGGACTTCCTCAAACCGCATGAAATTGCAGCTCTCGCTCTGCAGGTGCTCAGTCACGGCGGCGAGTGAACCGAATTCCTTACGACAACTGGGCTTTGGGCAGTGATAGAGCTTATCTTGGTGCTTTGGCGACCGCAAGTGTTGGTTCAAGGAATCAAGACGTCTGAAGCCATCCCCACAGAGGTAACAATCGAAAGCCTTGGTGTCGGGATTCCACGAGTCTATTGTGGCTTCGAAAGTGGTCTCAGTGGACCAATGGCGCAGACGCTCGGTGAGGATGCCGTTTGGATCTTGGCGTTTGACGGCTTCGTAGACTTGGATGCGATTCAGCGGCGCCTTTGAGCATCCGCCTTGCTCGAGATGATGGAACACGCCGGCTGCTGTCACGAAGGAATCGCGACAGAATGGGCATGCTGCGTTTGTACCCCGATGTACTCGGCTATTACGATGCTGTAGCGGTCAGTAAAAGTCAACCCCTGGGACGTGTTGACAAACCATCTTGATGCTATTAAAGTCTTGAAACTGTCTATCACATGCATCGCAGTAGAAATGATCCTCTACCTCGTGATCTCGAAGCAAGTCTTCATCATCAAAGACTTCGGAGCAGGAGTCATAGTCGCAGCAAAACTCGGGTTCGTCAGAAGACTCCATCCAGTGGCCGAGATCGTTCATGTGCTGCTCGACGGCTCTCTGGCTACGGAAGTAGCGGTGGCAAGTTTCGCATTCAAAGTCGGGGACCTCGTGAAATGTGTCGGCCACATGTTGGTCGCGAGATCTCCATGACGGCCAAGTCCGCCAACAGGTACCACAGGCAAAAGCCATGGAAAAGATGCTTCGTGCAATCCAGATGGTCAAAGACCGGTTGGTGTTGTGTGATCCTGAAGGACTGCTTCAGAGGACGGGCTAGGGTTATAAACAGTTCCCAATGCAACAAAACTCATGGCTTTTCCAGTGCCTGCAGCCAACCTTTGCTATGATCCTTGTATGCAGCAGGATAATGCAAGTTCAGTTGTCCAAAAGTAGTGCCAGATTCTTTGTCCAAAATCCATCATAGTTGTCATTTATGCGCGTCTAACATGTGGCCTATGGTCGTTTGTAAAAGACCCAGTGGTAGGCCTCCTGCAGCTGCGCGCGTGGCTTGCAGTTGATGTCTCTCCTGACCGCCTCCGTATTGCCCTATCCGTGTCTCTTGCCGTTTTCATTGCATGCGTAATTGATGGCGGATGTGGAGTATCCACACTCGTGAAGCACAAACGCAGAATATTAGAATAATTTCGCATGTTGATAAAGAGCACAATGACTAGTCTTTGTACCTAAGGGAAAGGGTGTCGTTGCGGCATACTCTGGCAACGCTGGGGGATGCGTCCCCTCTCACACCCCTGGTAACGACACATGCATGTGGCAGCGTCAATGTCAACAACAAAGCACCTAGCCTCTCTACATTGGGTAGTGACAAGCTAACCGATTATTTGTAGTGACTCTAGTGATATCTTTCACAAAATAAATCTCTTTGCACCCGCCGATGCTTTCTTGGCACTCTTTGTCGAGCTCATCATTCCTGACCTTTTTGATCTTGGGGTCCCGTAATTTCAAACACTGTATCAAAAATGATTAGCTTAGTACATCCACCGGAATTAACAAGTTGAAGGAAATAGATGACTTACAGTCAACATGAGTTGTAGCAAACTTGCGAGCTGGGGTCCTCTTCTGGAAAAGTATGTCTAGCTCTGCAAAGCTACGGTTCTTCGTCTCAGGCAGAAAGAAGAAGATCCACACGGCCCAAATGACGCACAGCCCAAAGTAGAACAAACCGCATTTGGCGCCCCACCCCCAGGCATCGCTACTCGAGTTCAGCATACGCGGATTCAATTGCCCAATGATAATCTGGCCAGTGACATAGACAGCACGGCCAATGACAATCGTCTGAGCGCGGACTCGATTCGATGAAGTCTCGGCAACGATCACATACGTCGTAGGGCCCAGTGAGACTTTGAAGATTGTCTGAACAATGATCATGACAACTGCTACCGCAAGGGCCACGTTTGCGGCTCCTGGAATAAATCCCAAGATGCCGATAATGAGCATGGCCAGTCCGATACTCGTAGATCCCCAGAAGAAGAAAATGCGACGGCCAATCTTGCCCATGAGTATGATAGCGACACTCGTTGCCGCGATATTCACAGACTGAATGCCCATACTGTAGTTGAAGGCCTGGGTTGTTGGCATGCCTGCCGATTTCAGAAAAACGGCAGCGTAGGCGGTTACCGACTGGCCGTTGAGGATTTGGATAATCCAGGCCATGCAGACAATGAAAGTACGACGCAGATTCGTGCCACGGAAACAGTCCCGGTAGCTGGAGTTGGCTGCTTCAATTTTTTCCATCTCGTTGGTGTGCTTCATGAGTGCTATCGACTGGGCCATGGTATGCTCGGTGTAAAAGTCCTTGCGCGCGAGGCGGCGGAGCGCCTTCTCGGCTTCGTCGATACGGTTGCGGCGGACTAGGTACCAAGGACTCTCGGGGGCAAAGACGCCAACAATGAACAGCGGAACGATCCAGACCCATTGCAGAGCGTAGGGTAATCTCCACCCGAGGTCTCCTGGAATATTGAGAGAGCCACGCAGAACACCGGCAGCCAGAAATGAACCGGCACCCCAGCACATAGACACCCACGCGGTAAGGTAGCCGCGCAGAGCTGCAGGACAGATCTCGGCAGCGTAGGCTGTCGTTAGAGTCTGAAAAACACCCCATGGGATACCGCATAGGATGTTGGCTGCGAACAGCATCTGGACGTTGACGGCGAAGAAGAGGGTAAAGATTGTACCAGCCATCAGCACCATGGTGGCCATGTAAACCTTGCGGGACCCGAAACGGGACTGCAAATAGCCATTCACCATGAGCCCGATTATGCTGCCAATATTATTGCCATTGGTGATGGCTGACTGCCATGATGCAGAAACATGCTGCTTGCCGTTGGCATCGGGCCAGCCGAAATGGGCGAGGTATGCATCGTGTGCGAAGAAGTTATTGATCAGGCCGACATCCATACCTTCCATGATCAAGGCCATACTAAGAAGACCACTGTAGATGACAGCGGGCCAGTACCTGGAAAAGAGTTCTTTGCGAGGAATTTTGGCTTCCTCATCACTGGCGGCTACGGCGGACTCGATTAACTCGGCTTGGGAGTCGCCGACTTCATGTTCAGCGTGCTTGATGGACCCTGGTTTGGGACCAGCCTCCTTATCGGGCGTCATGTTGGGGATTGTATTGTTGAAGAATCGGCCAGAGAGCAAGCTACGACAATAGATGATGCCGGAAGGTGAGCAAAGGGAAACTGAACCGAGACGAGGAGGTGAGGGGTTACAAGAGAGATATCACCAATTTTTGTTCAAGATGAGAAGAGACTTCTGCCAAGAAGACTCGGCTGACAAGACACCGAGAGCCAACAGACTGTGCGTTCGTGGCGTTCTTATCACGGTCCCAAAAGTCATATCACCCGCATTTCCCCATGGGGGGCCTTACCCCATGAATGGATTCTATCCCCGGACTCCAAGCCATGCCAAGTAAACCAGGACTTCGCTAAACACGCATAACCGACCAAATCCTGCCAACCTACCTAGCTGCGCCGCTAGAGTCGGTCAGCTGAACCTCGAGGTGTGAACTTGGGGCCCCGGGCGAAAAGTTGAACTATCTTCAATATTTTTACTTGGCAAAAGGAACACGTAGGAACCGCTCGTCTCGTACTACACCGAGCGGGCCGTGTGACCGAACGAGCCAGTGAACTACGCTGACGCAAATTCCTCGTATTTTGCATACCAAAGTTTGTCGACTTTGTCGGTAATCATGTAGCCATACAAGATCTGAGATTGTAAAGGCTGAAAATAGTGGCATGCATGCCAAGCGGAACCTCTGGAGAGCCCGTTCAATTGGAACAGTTACATCTTTGGCTTGAAATGGGAAAGCTCCATTAGGCTCAGGTACTCCAAAATTGAGCTCGCTAAGAATCAAATGTATGCTACAGCACTGTCGATCCAAAAGTCGCCAATAGCGAAGAGATCAATGCTAGGCGTTGGAGGTTGGGGGGTGATACTGGGTGATGCCGCAATCGCCCTAGGGCCACCACCATTCGCACTGTGATGCAACGCCCAACCCATCCAGCTGGGCTCGAGAACTCCGTGTCCTGCGCACGGCCCTACGCACTGTCTGCAGGGTGAGTGGTAGCTCTGGTTCGTATCACCATCTCCGCCAATAAGACGCTGGCGACTAGTTAGCTCTAGTTATCGGTAGGATTACAGTTTAGCGCGACGACTTTCTTTCAATTTAGAGGAGCTCGCATATATCCATTCGGAGAGTGCTGGCCGTGCAAAGCTTTGCCTCAATAGCACCCTGACGAGGCTTTTCTATCTTCCTTCGCGCAAGCTAGCGATAATGCCTTAAAAGGAATGAGCTCCAATCCCGAGAAGAAAACTGTCTTGATAGCAGAGCCGGATCTTTTGATAACGAACTTGAGATCGACTTGGTGATCTCCAGCCTCACGACGGACCGAAGAGAAGGAACACAGCCCATAAGTATAACACAGGCCTGCTCCAGGCAGGCCCACAGGATCTCTAGGCTCGCATTATACTGCACGTCCGTTGCTGTGGGACCGGATTGTTGATCGGCAATGTGGTTAAGACCAACGGCTCTGAGAATAGACATGGCCGTGGTGAAAAGAGATACGCTCATGAGCAGTACGAGTCCAATACGTTGGCGTAAAGTCATTTGAAGCCGCCATATAACCATGACTGGAAGAAGGACGATGGTCAAATCGGAGAAGGTCCAGAGAGCTATAGTCCATTAGATATCACTGCGGATTCTAGCGCTTTGCTTCAACCATAGGATTCCAATTACCACTGAATGTAGTGCGCAATTTCTACGTGAAAAGCAACTATCAATCGTCTCGTGAGGTCACAAATACCGTTAAGTTGCATCCAGCCTTGGTACCGATCCCAAAATTGTCCATCTCCAACTCGAAATCGCTCGCTGTAGCATCCTTAATTATGAAGTTGAAATTCTGCACTAGTTCAGCGATGAGAAGATATATTTCGGCCCACGCCAGACTTGAGAATTTCTTAGGTCAATATATCCACATTCAATGAAGCTGTTGAGGACTTACTGTATGCCAAGGCACGTCCTCGTCCCGCTTGAAAAGGGAGCAAATACCGCATCAAGGCTTTGGGTTTCCGGAGATTCAATCCACCGATCAGGGTTGAAGCGCAGAGGGCTAGGGTAAAGTTTTGGGTCAGTGTGCAAAAGAATCGTAGTCATTCCAGTGGGCGTTCCAGCAGGAATGCGCCAGTTGTTGTAATAAAGCTCCTGATTAGTGATGCGAGCCATCCTTGAGGCGATTCCGGGACTCAAACGCAGACCTTCTTTGATGGTTGCTGTGAGATATGGTAATTGTTCGAGTTGCCTGAGTGTGACTGTTTCGGAAATTGCAGGTTGGAGAGAAGAAAGCTCTTTCCTAAGCATTTGAAGAATATGATCATTTGCGTAGATGTGGAAAAGAATCAGCCTCAATACGTTGGCTGTCGTTTCAAATCCTGCACTTGTCACAGTAGCTACCTCTTCAAAGATATGGTCAAAGGTCTTCTCGGAAGATGGAAGAGCCGAGTGAACCATCTCGTGTATCATGGAGTTCTGGTACTGGCTGTCTGGGTCAGAGGCTTCTGCAGCGGCCATAGTGTCTTGTGTGTCCCGTTCGGAGTTCTGTCGAAGGTGATTGTCATTTGATTAGCCCCGTAGCGGAGGAAACTAGACACGAATTACATTTGAAAATTACCGACCTGGACATAACGGAGGAAAGCTTTGGTGCCATCGTCTGCTATTTTCATTGCCCAATCGATAGGCATTGCCCTCATTGTGGGGCCAAACCAGCGTACGTGCTTTGTGGTCCGCCAAAACACTCCAGCACCCTGAGACGCAATAGACAGTGCAACATTAAAATCTTTATGGTCTGTTTCGTTGTAACTTTTGCCAATCACGTATTCGTTAATATTATCGCGTGTGAAAGCGCTAATAGCTGCTCCCAGATTGAAAGTAGTTCCAATGAGGCTCGTCATGCGAAGGGAAAGCTTTTTAGTATTTCGCCGAAGCATTTCTTGACGGCCGAGAACCTTCGTCTTTGCGAAGAAAGGAGCAATGGCACGGCGATGGGTCTTATGGAGATCATGGTCTGAAGTCCACACATCCGTTAGTGATATAGCTTCCCGGTATTATTGTACATACCTGAACCAAAAACCGTGGAAGATTTGGCACCGAATGCATCGTACGTCCAAGTATACTTGTCCCAGCGCCCGTCCACGCGATACAGCGTGCCGAAGAATGCCGGGTCGTGAACGTGAAGTTCATGCGGACTGATCCGGATAATTGGACCTTTGAAGAGTAAGGGTTAGATATGCTATTGCTGCATGAACATCTCGAGTGGTTTAGACGAGTGTATTACCATATTCTCTGTGAAGATCTGCAATCTTTCGTGTATATTGTCCCTTCAAAACCACGTCGTAGTATGCCTCGTACCAGCGCGAGATTGCAGCGAGTTTCGGACCGGGAAAGACAGCCAATGGATGAAAAAACAAACGATAGAATACAAGCGATACGTAGTAAGTGACAATTGCAGCTACTAACGTAGATAAAGCCATACCGCGGTCCATCTTAGCTAGGGATGGTGTAGGGACTGCTGAGGACAGTTGCGACAAGCGATGCTCGAGTATCAGCAACAAGCGATCAGTCTCGTGAGCAATTACTAAAAAACGAGAAAAGAATATTAGTAAGGAGGCCTAGAATGCGCTGTTTGACAAGCAAGGAAGCTGGAGAATTGGTCCGAATTGTAGAGCTGGTTGTGGTAGTCAAAGAATACAGGGAGGCTGTTGGTGATATGTTATTTTGCCTGCCTTAGCGCCATGTCTGTTAAGTGTGTGTGTACCGGGACTTGGGTATTAAGACTACTTGACGTACTATACTGGGCATAAGGGTTACTTATACCCATAGCCGAGTAATCCTTGTACTAGGTACATTGCTTGCATACAAACAACCAACAATATCATGCATGTATATGCACCGCAACGCCGTGCAAATTGTGTAGCGCGCTATATAACCAACTTACGTCTATATCGTACGTGGCTTATAAATGTACTTCACCACAGGGAACCGGGTAAAGATATACCAGGCAGCAGGCTGCTATCTAATGCCTAATTTAATTGCAGTGATTTCATGCAGTTGGTGAGTTGGTGCTTAACGGACCCCAACGGACCCCACCTTCAGCAACTTCAAATATTTGCTACTCTACTCAGTGCTGCCAGTTTTAGGGTGGTGTCTTGTAGTCTGTCTCGAAAAATCATGAATTCAGGCTCAAGGGTCAAGGGTCACATAGCTGCTGGGTACTTGTTGGCTTTGGTGCAGACCTTCAATGAGACACCAGCAGTGAGCGTGCCGAGCCTGCCTCTTCATAGTGCCTATAGGTAGGTACTTGGTGCTAATCTACTCAACGCCGGAAGCGGGGTATTGGTTCACCATAGTCTACAGGGGTGCCAGTCCCCGCCAACCGTGAGCACACCCGTACCAAGAATCAGCACGTAATGTTGACTCGCCATCCGTTAGGCACGGTAAGTTGATACCTTCCACTGATCAATAGACACCAGCACTCACGTATCCAGCTTGTCAAAATTCAAACCTTCACCACAGCCACTCGATCGCGCCGCTTCATCTCGATCCCGCCCGACATGAACTCAGACGCCAATCGCATTGTTACCTTCTGGTTCAACCGCAATCCAGTGGAATGGATCATTGCCCCCAAGGGTCTTGATGAGGAGCTGAAATCCCAGTTCGGTGAGCTGGTCTTGAAAGCACGCCGCAACGAGTTGGACGATTGGACTGCTCAGCCGGAAGGGAGTCTCGCCCTGGTTGTGTTGCTAGACCAGTTTTCGAGAAACCTCTTTCGCGGCACACCAGACGCCCTGAGTGGTGATGCCAAGGCCACCGAAACCTCAACACGAGCTATTGCTCGAGACTTCGACAAAGAGGTTACTGTCATTCAAGCGTCGGCATTCTACATGTCACTGCTCCAACAGGAAAGCCTGATTACGGTAATTGCGGCCCGTTATCTCTTCGAAGCCTTGAAAGCGAGGTGCGTTACCGACGAAGAGCACAAGTGGGTTGATATGGGAATTGCGGCTTCGAAGAGACATGTACAACAACTGGAGAAGTTCGGGCGATATCCCACTAGAAATGCCGTTCTAGGCCGGACCAACACTGAAGCCGAGGAAGAGTTTTTGAAGAATTACAATCCAACCCTTTGAGTCAGAGCGTGAGATCTAGCATCATCGCAGTCGTCAGGGTATCTGAGAGCAAGGCAACATAACCCTTAAATGAATGACAACTACAATTCTGAATTTCTTGGCGTTTGTGCCCGATTTGAAACTACTATCTAGCTTTTCGTCATAAATGCCAAATATGTCGATATTATATCATTTTGTGTAGCATTAATGCTCTGTGTCGCAAAGTGCTCTGACGAAGAGATTTACAGATAATGATGAGATACCGCTGACATACCTATATCGAAACATAATATCAAATCTACACCAGGATTCCTGAATGGCAATCTATCTCGCCTCATCAAAGATTGGGCATGTCTAAATATCAGGAACAAAGCACTCTGTAGTAGCTATCTCCTGTGCCATGCCATTACGTGCAATTGACAAAGAGCAGAATGCTCATTCTGCGTGGTAATCGACACATTTCCACTCAAAGTCAAGGATTCCCAGCGCAGAACCTGTGGGTCTAATACCACTTCGCAGCACAAATGCCATATCGGCCTGTTCGAGTAAGGCCACCCAGTCCGCCAAGCTTCTCTCGCTGGAGTTAAATATATAGGCCATTTCCATGCCCTATGGATCGAATTAGTGAGATGGGGAACAAAAACCAAACCAAACCAACCCCCACCTAAGACGGACAGCCGTAAGGCTGTAGTCTTTATGTGGTTTTTGATCAAATAGCATATAAAATCTTAAAGTATATGGGAACTGTTTTGATTGAGAAAACGATGGATGATGATCCTGTATGCTAAACGCAACGAAAAACAAAGGCTTATAAGTCCCTTTTGGACCATAGAGCCACTCTAAGCTAAGCCTCCACAGCCACTTTTAGTAGGCATCTCCAGCGCCCCCACATCATTAGTCGATTGAAACCATTCATATTTGAGTAATTGTTTTGCTTCATCTGTTACTTACTTGAAATCTTTTTCCCTCCAATGAGACACAATTCCACTTTCTGGCAGTAAAGCTTCTTGTACAAGAAGCTTCGCACCAGACTTCAGTGCAGTCACCTGTGCCTTGAGTATCCGAACGCAGAACTGGTCTGACCAATTAAGCGGAAGAAAAAGACGTCTGCGCAGACCGTTTGCGGGTTAAACAGATTGTAACTCATGAAGGAGATTGTTGTCATATCTCCACCAGTACCTTGCAATTCTGAGTTTTCGATCAACTCGGCCATATTTTGCATAACAACGCGAACATTACTATGCTGTCTGGCCATTGTGCGATTGCCAATATCTTTTGGTTGCTTTCGGGAACCAAGACGCTAATGATTGCAGCACACACTAGGGCCTAGCGGCTAGGTGCAGCTGCCGGTACGGCGATTTAGTGGCCCACTCGATCGCTATGCTCAAATATTGCACCCGGGGTTAGTGAACGCAACACTGGATTGCTGGATGGGTGTATATATCAAGGTACATGTATGGAGTGTTGGATTTGATGTTGCTAGTCGCTGAGGAACGCCCCTCATCTCCTCTCTGATCCTTCACACATTCCATTGCAAATCATAAAATCCGCTCAAACATACATCATGGCTGGCTTTAAACAGCAGCCGTCGGTCTCCCATCAACCTCTTAAGGCCTTGTTTCAATTGACTTACGTCGTGACTATCCTCGCACCTGTGCCGCTCTGGCTGCTCATTGCTTCCATCGTGCGTCTCAGGCCACATCCTCAGTGGATCGCGAAGCAGGCACTGCTGGCGCGTGTAGCTTATGCCGTGACGGACTTGAAGTCCCGCATCGGCGTAACCGGCAAGCTGCCTCTTGAATCAGGGCAGGTCATCGAGCTGCATCAAGAGGATGCTGCCTTGCATGACACTTTCCTCGTCGCCGAATTGCTCAGCTTTGGAGAAAGCGCGCGCAAGATTATCTCGGCCACTGGTAACTTCATCAGCAGACTTTGAACCTTATAGTGTTTGTGTTTTTTTTTTTCGTGCGTCCGTGGAAGAAATGAACAGCCTATACCATTCTGGACAGAGACTTAGGTAACAAAGGTACACTCTGGTGATGGTCATGGCTGCCATCTATGACAGACGACACGTCAGCGGAAAGATCGATGGCATCGGAAGGACCTGATAGGTGATTAAATCAACGGAGTGATTACTTACAATAAGACACACATCGAGCGGCAAGATTACGCGACTGAGTACTAGCAGATTCTGAAGGCCCGAGCATTCGCCAGGACTAGGGCGCAGCAGACAATGAAGAAGTAGATGAACTTGGCTCCGTCGGCTCCTCGACGAGCTGGATGTTCAGACCCGAATGCGCTGAATCGTCGCGCACGCCGCATCCAAAGCATTTTGTTTCCTGTCGCGGGATTTCTTTCTTTTTTTTTTTACTTTGCCTTACATGGTGTTTTTCATGCACCTAGACGTCATACAACAAATATGTGGGATACAGTATGTTTTCTCTGGATATTAACCTGCTAAATCAAACCTCTTTAGAAATTACAGAACGTATCGGAAATCTGTGTTCTCTTGATCCGTCTTATCGTGCATACCCGTCCGCATGCCGTCAACCTTGGCCTCTGTAGTCTCTACAGCGCCATAGACACGATCTCTCCTCTTGTTTTCCCACAACATGTAGAAGCGCAGCACTACAGCGCAGAGCAAGGACGCGCAGAAAAAGACGAGAATACTGGCGATGGCCAAGACGTATCGCGGAGCATCTTGACTGCGGAAGAAAAAGGGACCGGCGATATTGCCGGTCGCAAACAAGATCAGCATCATCGTGTTGGTAAAGGCTCGCTTGGTGTGTCCGGCAATGTTTTGACCAATAATGGTCAGTACGAATGGCCACTTTCATCTTTGTCAGTATCTCTCTGTGTTGTTCGCTAAAGTCTTCTACTTACTGTTACCGCATACGAGTTGATCAACCAGTAGGCAACAACTCGGCCGTACTTGTTTGCATCGGTGTTCATGGTACCATACACAGCGGCAATACCGGCGATGGCGGGCAAGAGGGGAATGATCATGCCCCAAGTGCGTAGGTTGCCGTGCTTGATGGAGAAGGTTCCCCATACAATCATACTACCGGCACTCACCACACTCGAGGGCAGGCCAATGAGCAGCGTTCTAAAGGAATCAAAGCCGAAGCCAGAGACGACAAGAGATCCAAAGCTGGTGAGTCCTCCGTTTGGTAGCTGAGTAAAGAGGACAAAGGCTAAAATTAGCCAGACCTTGGGGTCAATGACGGCGTGCCATATCTGGTAGCTCTTCCACTGGTAGCCCTTGATTCCCATCATGTTGCCAGCGACGCGTTGGACTGCAATCACGCGCTCCTCTGGGGAAAGGAATCTGGCCTTATTTGGGGTCTGAGGCATGTAAAAGAGCCAGCCGAATCCGACAATCAGACTCAGGAGACCTAGGACAAGAAAGATGTACATCCACGGACGTAGGGCGGTGTTGGTGATGTGACCCAACCCATATGATATCAGAGCTGTCACGATACTGAAGCATCCTTGCATAGCGGCCCATAGCATAGTTCGCCACACCTGCTCCTTTCGGGTGTAGAACATGGAAGTGTACAGCACAAAGCCAGGCGTGACAACTGACTCGGCGACGCCAAGGAGGAAGCGAATCACCATGAACCCGGCGAAATTCTTAAGGCCAAGATGACTGGAATATAGTTAGCAGGTCGTGATTGCAAGGTGAAGATACAGGAATGTCGACTGACCCAAGCATGAGGATTCCCCAGATAATGACGGATATGCTCAGAACCCTGGCCGTCTGAAAGCGCTGCAAAATGTAGTTGGCGGGATATTGTGCGGCCAAGTAGCCGAAGTAAAACATGGAGCTAGCCCATGAATACTCAGTTCCGACCAGACCAAGATCAGCTCTCAGGTCGAAGAGCACTGCCCAACCATTTGCCACCTTGTCAACATAGTTGAGGCCGTAGAGCGCGCACATGAGAGGGAGCAAATGACGGTCAATCTTGCGACGAACAGCGTCGGCTGCTTCCTGTGAGACCGCATCGGGCGCTGTCTCCTCAAATAGCTCATAACCCTCGTCAGCAACTTCTCCCTTTACTGCATCCTCGGGATGAGTATTCGTGGTCGCAGCCTCGATGTCGTCGTTGCCAGCCATGGTACCTGAGGAGACGAGCCTGTGTTGCCTTCTGGTGATTATTTCATCAGTCGTGCCGACATCTTGGCTTATATTGTTCTCATCATAACTTGCTTGCCAAACTACGTTGCTTGATTTGCTGAAACTGCATTTCCTTATCGGCAATGACCCGCTATCCCGTTGCAACGTCGGCGGAGTGAAGCCGATGATCGCCGGACATGTTGTCCCCAGTCAAGTCTAGCCTTTGCTGCTATTGGCCGGTACTCGGCCGACACTAGTATAGATATCAGCCAATGCACACTTGTGCGCAACCGAGAATCCGGATATCCGGGATAGTGTTTTTCCCTTGATGGGAATACTATGGACCAGCAACACCATTATCAGCAAAACCAAGAGATTTCACAGGTCCAAGGAAAAACCGGGTGCCGGTTGCGCCAGAGTTCCGAGATGCAGTTTCCAGACATCGACAAGGAGAAATGTCTTTCGTTCCTATCGAAATTGGTGCAAATCAAGAGCTATTCCCAAACAGACGGCGAATTGACAGTGACTAGCCACATTGCCGCGTGCATGAGAGAGATTGGTCTCGACACGGAAATTGTGCCATTCGATGAAGAAAAACGACAGAATGCAGTGGGTACCTGGAGAGGAAGAGGAAAGGGCGACAATGCAGCAAAGTCGCTCCTATTCAATGGCCACCTGGATACCAACCCCGTGAGCGGAGGATGGACCATCGATCCATGGGAAGGCAAAGTGGACGACGACTTTATTTACGGAATTGGTGTCAGCAACATGAAGGCAGGGTGCGCTGCCTACTTTTGCGCCGTGGAGACATTAAAGGCCAGCGGCTGGATGCCTAGGGCGGATGTCTATCTGACCTTTGTGGTGGGCGAGCTACAAGGAGGCGTCGGTACCATGGCCCTGATTGAAAAGGGCAAAATCCATGCTGACTATTTTATCAACTGCGAGCCTTCCGACATCAAGGCCGTTACCATGCACGCCGAGGCCTTGATCTTTGAGATTGTTTTGAGAGGAGTCACGCGACACATGTCTGCGCGTGAAGAGGCGGCTGATGCCATCATGGCAGCTTGCAAGCTCATCCCAAAGCTCAACGGCATGGTCTTTAGCGGTGCAAAGAGCAAGGAGCACCTCAAGTGTAACCGTTGCCAGATCGGCGTCGTGCATGGTGCCCTAGGCGACGAGCTGGCGGAGTGGCGGCCGCCTCAGGTAGCCGATGTGTGCAAACTTGCCGGCAGTGCTAGATATGCGCCGGGCCAGACACAAGAAGGCGTCATGCAGGACTTGGCTGCAGTCATCGAACAGGTCATCCTCGACTTCCCTGGCATGACCTTTGAGCTCAAACAGAGATTTGAACCCACCATGCCAGCGTTTGAGGTATCGCCCGAATCGCATATAGTCAAGTCGCTAAACGAGGCCTATTACGATGTTCGGGGAACACAACAGCCCACTGGGGTCCTTGCGCCAACATGTTTCTACGGCTCCGACGCGGGCCATCTTTACAAGAGCTTGGGCATGGAAGGTGTCGTGTGCGGCCCAGGCGGCAAGTACAATACCCGACCGGATGAAAAGGTGGATATACCAGATTATCTCGATTGCATTAGGATGTTCATGAGAGTTATTGTGGAAATCTGTGGATAGCCACAGACCAGCCAATATGCCGGCACCAACCTGCCAATGATCCACAGGCCCTGCAGAAATCAATTAAGGTTAAATCAGATTGAACACGCTCGTGTTGAGAGTACTAAGCTAGTAGCTACATCGCTTAGCACTTTATTAGATAATTAATTGTACGGAGTTGCAACGCCGCAGTGCTCATGCTAGATGGCGACGGCTCTCGGTTCCCGACGATGGTGGAGTTTTTGCTCGGGTCTTGGCCGATTTCGGTCGGTGTACTCCGCAACCTTATCTCCCCCCGGTTCGGCCGATTGCGAGTCTTTAGTATCGTTACTTTGTTCATGGTGGACGGATGCAGTAACTTACCTCGGCAGCCTCTAGGATTTTCCAGGTACCATCAACACCATGCGTAACTTGGCACAAAGTGAGGTCGAGCAGCATATGCTACACTGCCCAAAGGTGGACAACTTGAAGCATTTTTCAAAGACGTATAGTTCCAAGCCTCATCTCGCAGGGGACTTACAACATGCCGAATCGATCCGAGACCTATGGCAATCATATGGTGTCCAAACTGATCTAGTTCGCTACGATGTTTTGCAAAATTTTCCCGTCAAATCTTCCTTGAGCCTGCTCTCTAGCGACGGGAGCACGGTAGCGTTTAGAGCGAGTTTGACAGAAGTCGAGATCGCTGAGGACCCGACTTCGTCTCCGAGCAATGGTTTCCCTGCTTTCCATGGATTCAGTGCCAACGGGGAAGTGACTGCTGCTGAGTTAGTATATGCGAATTTTGGAACTCATGAAGATTTCAAGCTTCTGAATAGTAAAGGTGTATCAGTGCAGGGAAAGGTCGTCATCTGCAAGTACAGCATGGTGTTTAGAGGATTGAAAGTACGGGCAGCTCAGAAATTCGGAGCCGCAGCGGTGCTGATTTATAATGACCCCCAAGAGGATGGTGAGCTCACCATTGAGAACGGTTACCAGCCATATCCTCACGGGCCGGCACGCCACCCAACAAGCATTCAGCGAGGCAGCGTGGATTTCTTCTCCGTTGCTGTTGGGGATCCTACTACACCTGGCTATCCCAGTCTACCTGGGCCGGATACTGAGCGCCAAGACCCGAGTGATGCAATTCCAAGCATACCATCGTTACCCATTTCCTACACAGATGCGCTGCCATTCCTCAAAGCACTTGACGGCCACGGCCTATCGTCAAAGGATATGGGAGGACAAGATTGGAAGGGAGCTTTACCTGGTGTGGAGTATTGGACTGGCCCGTCAAAGGCCAAAGTTTCGCTAGTCAACCAAGGCGAATATCGGATTTCACCTATATATAACGTGATTGGCACAATCCCTGGCCGGGCACAGGAAATTGTCATTCTAGGGAATCACCACGATTCATGGTGTTGTGGTGCTGTCGACCCGGTAAGCGGGGGTGCTGCGATGAATGAGGTGGTACGTGGACTGGGGAGCCTCGTTCAGGCCGGTTGGCAGCCTTACCGGAAGCTGTAGGTCATGAACGCCGCAGATGGATTGAGCTATGCTGACATGTACAGCATCCTTGCATCCTGGGACAATGAAGAATATGGACTGGTGGGTTCGACCGAGTTCGGGGAAGAGTATGAGAAGGAGCTCAGTGAAAACTGCGTAGCCTGTAAGTTGAAATACGTCTGTCTTCTTGATGTTGCCACTGACACGTCCTAGACATCAATGTCGATGAGTCCACGAATGGCGGGCAGATACTTGGGGCGACTGGAAGCCCATTACTAGCCGATGCACTTTCTCATGCGATGAGCATCATTCCATCCCCGATCAACGCCAACAGCACAGTCTTTGATGACTGGAAGGACTGGACGGACACAAACAATGGCGCTTCTTTGCTGGCGCCCATGGGCACTGGAAGTGATTACACGGTATTCTTTCATCATATGGGCATTCCTTCGCTTGACCTCGTTTTCAACAAGCGCGGAACTGCGGTGTACCCTTATCATTCGAATTATGACAGTCATTTCTGGATTGAAAAATTTGGCGACCCAGGATTCATGAAACACTTGGCGATGGCGAGACTGTGGGGCATCTTGGCTGTGAGATTGGCGGGCATCCCTCTTCTCGGCTTCGCAGCCCAAGACTACGCGTCAACAGTGGAGAAACATGTCTTGAATCTCCAGTCAAGGGAAATAGCAAGACTAGATCTTGAACCTCTCAAGAGTTCAGTTGCAAAATTCGCAGAAGCAACGACGTCCTTAGATGAGCTAGCTCGTGGTTGCGATCTGTCAACATTGCGAGGGCAGAAAGTCAGCCGCAGCCAATTTGGCGTCGCAGAGATCAATAAACGCTACCGAGAAATTGAAAAGAGTTTTATTCTGAAATCCTCAAAGGGGCTACCCGGAAGGCCATGGTACAAGCATTCGGTAAGATCAAATATTCAGCATCGGTTTTCTCATGTTAACCATTTTCCAGGTCTTTGCCCCAGGCTTATGGGCTGGGTATGATGGTGTTGTCTTTCCCGGAATCTTGGAGAGCGTTGAGGAAGAAGACATTGACAAAGCCAATAAGTGGGTAAGACGCATTGCTGGCCATATTCAGGACGCGTCCAGTGCCGCTGTTGGGGTTTGAAACGTCAAATTGTATACATCATAAACAAGATCCTCCTTGCTTTTTCAGCCAAAATCAGTGTCCAGTGAAAGGTGTTTCTTATCTACCAGATCTAGTCGTGCATCACATCAGCATTTTCTATGCAAATGCTAGCTAGAGCAGACAAATGACCACATCCCCAGCCCCACTTTGTTCTGCTACTTATGACTCGGTTTCAACATGGCGCCGTTTATCCTCGATTGTCTTGCCGAATTTTCCAAGTAGCAAAACTCCGACGCCTTGTGCTGCAGCACAAGCAGAAGCTGTCGTGAATCCAATTTTAAACAGAGGTGCTTGCGTGCCAGTGTTGAAAATGAACAAAGGAACCCATGCATTAAAGGCAGCGCCAATCGCTTGAGCAATACCCAAGATCAGAGCACGTTCGTCAGCTGAGGATGAGAATACTTCATTCAGATATGACTGCGCAATAATATATCAGCATCTAATTCAATTTCTTCATTGCGCACGGTTATTGATCTCACAATAATAACTGGGCCATATGCATATGTCGCTGCATTGATCATGTAGCCAAAGAAGATGCTGGCTTTGGATACGGATGCAGCTAGCACTGCGTTCGAGACCACATTGACAGCCGTGATGGCTACTGCGATCACTATGCGCGTATGAAGACGGTCCGAGAGAACACCCCAGATAATTGTGCCAACCAGACCGACAGCGTAGGCGGCTGTCGGGATTCTATTCGTTATCAGACAAGTAAAGATGCCACAGGGTAAAGAGGCCTTACACGTTGACCTGCTGAACAGTGTACGTCCCTAACGATTTGAGGTATATAGCAAAGAAAGACAGTGCGTAAGTGTCGAGGCAGAAGAAACTGTTGCACGGAGTATGAGTTAGCCAAGATCATGACCTCATCGCAGATATAACATACATGTAATTGATGACGAAAACCCAAACAAACGGGCTAGACAACATCTTTCGGAAGGTCTGGAGGGTAATACCGTTGAAAGGCTTCCGTTCGAGCCGCTCCATCCGCGCCTTTGCGAGTTCGATCTGCTTCTCACTGAGATAGAATACGCGAGTATTGTACGGACTGTCAGGGACAGCCACGAAACCCCAAAGGGCTCCGGGCACATTGATGACTCCACACATGATGAAGAGCCATCTCCAGCCTGCGAGGCCATGATGCCCATTTAGACCGGTGTAGACACCGGCTTGAAGGTAGCCGGAAAACATATTGGCTGCAAAAGAGGCCGAGTAGAAAATACCAGCCCTAGTAGCAAGCTCTAAATAGAGAAGGTTAGTTGATCATTTGACCAATACCCTTAAAAGGGTAGATAACTTGCCCTTGGGCGTGTACCAATTTCCAAGAAGTGTCATGACCCCAATGTAGAACGGCGCCTCCGCCAATCCAATCAGGAAGCGCATCGCGTAGATGGTCTTGGCATTGCGCACAGCGGCAAAACAGAACGTCAAGATGGCCCAGATAACCTCGCATATGGGTATCCATACTGACGGGCGAACATATGAAGTGATGACTTGGCTAGGAATCATGCCAATCGTGTATCCGACTGTCCAAAACGTGGAGAAGAGGTTGTATTCGTCTGAATACAGATTCAAGTCCTAGAATACTTTGGTTAGAATAACTTTAACAAGATCCTGCATGGATTCAGTGACTTCTTGCCTCCTTCATGCCAGATACATAAGCATTTGCTAAACAAAATGGTCAGTATCTTGATATCATGTCACAGGGTAAGTCCTTACTCATGTTTGTGGTATCGAGAAGTCTCAAGAAATAGCCAAAACAAGCCCAGCTCCTGATTAATTGTGAGCAACTAAAGGACCACTAGTAATAGATATACAGTGTTGCATCACTCACAGGATAAAGAAATCCAGCTTGAATAGCAGTTTCTTTTCGTCCGAATCATGACCCCCTTTCCACCACGAGCTTTCACGAGCTGTGTTTTCAGGATCAAATTCTGGAGCATCGTAATCATCGGCGTTGGGTGTTGTTGCTACCGCGGTTTTACCCTTTCCATCGTTGATCACTTGCACGGAAGCCATTGCATCGAGCAGCTTCACGTCAAAAGTTCAAGAAAGCTTGAGATGTATCAAGAACAAAACTATTAGTTGCTCACAGGAGCTTGGATAACGAAAGAAAGTAAGTATGATGGTCTTCATCATCGTTAATCACGCCATTCAATTAGAATAGTATGCGATTGCTGAAGACGCGTACATGAATAGCCCCTGGCAGCAGCGCAATCGCAGCCTAGGGGAAATATAAAATCGCCTTACTCCACAATATCAATGAATTCGACTGTTATCACTGTAGAACCATTGGTCCAAGGTCAGTGTGCTACCGAAGGTACATTCCGCTGGGCTTGGGCGACCCCACACTCGGTATCTGCAGGACCTGAACGCCATCTAATCCCGCTATGGCATCATACTAGGTGCTACCCCGACTAGTGAAATAAGCGAGTATCAGAGAGCTGTGACCCGCTCCAATATCGGTATGGCTTTGCGAGCTTGGACAGATTATATCCAGGGTGACTTCGACCTTAAGTAATGGGAATTAATATAACCCCCGAGTAGAAGAAACGTCAGGATTCACATTGCGCATATCAACTTTGGAAAAATGGCCGTGGCAACACCGATACCATACGAGCTCTATTCAGATGCACCGGGCGTCCTGTTCAACAAGCCGGAATGGGAGGCGGCTAATGCGGCACATCCCACTGACTTTGACTTTGGCTCCGTGCCGAAAGGGTGGCCAACTGAGCTGAAGGGCCCTCAGGTCTGGACAGGTTCCTATCTGAACCAAAATCGTAGGTATATGATTCTCAACCTCGCTCAAACTGTGCTAATCATAGACAGCGGACCTGTTCATACGCAAGATTACTTTAGCAGAGATAGCCGAGGTCGATGCTGCCATTCAAGTCAGTATCCAGTATGCACGCTACTCAGGTTATCAAATGTGAACTAAATCGAGAAATAGTCATGGAAGCAGCTCGACCTTCCTCTATCCGATCTCCATCGAGAACGTTTCCACCTTCCCAACTTCGGCCGCGTGTTGGAAGAGCTAGCACAAAACATATACAACGGAGTAGGAGTTCAGGTGCTTCGAGGATTCCCTGTCCAGTCATACAGCAAGGAAGACCAGATCATAGCATTCATTGGCATCAACTCATGGACTGGGAATGAGAGGCTCAACCAAGGTGCTGACAGAGGTCTATGCCACATAAAGGTTGGTTATGACTCAACGGGTAAATAAGGCTTGCAGTTTCATGTGTATTATACTGACACAACCCATGATAGAGCATAAGTCATATTGATCCGCATAATCGCGGAAAGATTTATGTTTCTGCGCAGGATACAAACGCGCAGATGTATCACAGCGACGCTGGTGGCGATGTTGTCAGTCTCATGGCGGTCAGCCTATCTGGGACAGGAGGCGCATCGACAGTGGCAAGCTCCTGGCAGGTGTATAATCATCTCGCCAAGCACAGACCGGATATCCTCAGGATACTAGCTGAGAGAAAGTTCCGTTGGCAGGCGTATGTCTAGTAATTACAGGTCTTGCATGATTGGTGGCTAACAGTCTTTCCAGCAACGGTATACCCCACGAAGGAGTCAACCTCATTCATCACAATGGCGGAAAACTGTTCCTCAACTTTTCTACACGAACATTCACTGGTTACGGAGAGGTAAGCCTTTGTATCTTGAGGTGAGATATATAAGACTGACAGATTTTAGATACCCGATAGGGATTTCCGGTACCCTGCCCTGACATTTGAGGAACGAGAGGCGTTCGGTGGTTGGCAGTGGGTCGCAGACCAATACAGCCTAGAGACTGAGCTCCAGCCTGGTGACATTGAATGGTGAGCGAGCCACGATACTTTCACTGCGTTACGTCGTGATATTGATAGTGTCCCCAGGGTGAATAATCTGTATCTTCAGCATGCTCGAAGAGGCTTTACGGAAGACGTTTCTCAACCACGCCACTTGCTTCGTGTCTGGTTGCGCAACTCTGAGCTGTCGCCCACCAATCTACCTCTTGACATCCGGCGAAAATTCGACGCCATGTTTGGCCAGCACCCCAAGTTTTACCCCTTGGACGAGATCGAAGAAGACGCAAAGCGACGGGCAACGGGGGTGTTCACCGGCTCCTGCAAAACTGAAGACGCCAAAGAAAGACTAGCGAAGAGTCGCTAATCAGCCTTTGCACCATACACCATGTATCTCCCATTACTGACATATCCATCACTGGGGCTCATTGGCTGCATCATGGCATCTTAGAATTGAAGCAGTCACACAAAGTCTTGGGAATGGCCCTTGACAAAGACGCAACGACAAACCGTTAACGGACAAGCTTGATTGGAAAGTGTTTTGATAATCGGGTTGACTTTCTATTACTTTCAGGTACCAACCTCTACTAGAAACTCATGTATTGAATGCTGCTCTGCCAACAGTTTCTCCATACGAATATGAAAACACCACACTGGCCATGCTTCACTCTGTCGCCATGAACAATCCTCTACTACACTACACAGTGAGGGTAAGCTTCCCTCTTCAAATGCTCCCGGAGAATCTTCTCGTTCTCATCCCCAAGCCTCGGAATCTTACTCAAGTAGTCGGAGCCCCGGACAAAATCGTACTTTGCTGCGAGATCCATTTTCAGCTGCTGCAATGTCATTGTCTCGCATTGCGGTGCAATGGGAAACAAGCCGTCCCATATTTTCCTTTCAACCTGACCTGGCCTGAACTCACCAAGGACACGCGATTTGAGGAAGTCAACAAGTAGGAGCCGTAGCGATTCTTCCTGATGATCGGAACTGATCTTATGGAATACCAAAGTTTCTGCTTCAGAAGTCGAGCCACCCTTGAAGGCTAAGGGTTCTGGTGCTTTCGGATTGCTCGGCATATCTTCAAGGTTCATGAAATCCGTAACCAAATCTTCCGCAACACTCAGACATGGTGCAAAACGCCTTATTTTAGGAAGCAAACTCAAAGCCAACCAAAGGAGATATCCCGGTGTCGTTGTAAATGCGAGGAGCCTCTTGCTGTGCGCGCCTGGAGCAGGGATTCCCGACTGCAGGTTACATATTTTCCTGTTGGTGTACCAGCAGATACTGAGCAACATTTCCTGGTGCATATCGATTCCATTTTTGAGAAACATGGAAATCATTCGAATTCGAGACGGAAGTAATCTGGGTTCCAGATAATTGTATAGATCGAGGATCAGTACATTCGCTGGTGAATCGAGGTAAGAATGCGAGTCAATCGATCCTTCCAACATTTCCAACGTCAGTTCAAGACCACAGAGTCCTTTGACGTTGAGGCTTGCTCCATTGTTGACGAGGAATTGCAAACTCGATTCGAAGTCAAACACCCAGTCTTCTACTAAACGGTACCCATTATCCCGCCATAGTACAGTCTGGTTCACTGAAGTGAAAAGTTTGCATATACATAGGACGAGATATCCAAGGTACTGAGGTGTGAGTTTCGAGTCAAGCAATCGAAGATAGGTCGGCATCAACCCAAACGAGAAACTACAGCATAGTACCGTGATGAAATCTGGGGAGCTCTGGCTAAAACGGCCCGGTACTGTGCATTCTGGGTAGAATGGAAAGAAATCTTCATCTCGAGATCTGGCGTCCATATAGACCAATCCTGCGAGCGAGGTCAATGAGCGACCGAGATCATTTGAAAAAGAATACGTCCGGTGATAGGTCCCGTAGCCTGACACCATGTTCAGGAATTCCGTGATATTTAGACATGAGCGGTTCCGATCATGTTCAGCCACGAACCCCCACAACTTTGCTCGAGCCACATCGACATGACAAAAAAGTGCCTGTCGCTCTTGGCAAGTCGACGTGTCATATGCAAGAATCTTACTGCCCTCTTGAGTCGTGAGCAGATATTCCAATGCTGATCGGTGGATAAACCGGATCTCAAGTTTGTGATAGCGAATCTGGCTGGCAAATTTGCATTCTCTCCGGGGAACACATTCGAGATCAACTTCATGACACTCCAAGAGCCCTGCGCATCTGGTTCCTAGATTCATGATGACATTGTCGCACTTCTCGACAATTGTTGCAGGATCTATATCGTTCCCGTCAACAACGCTTTGCAGAAAGCGGCGGTCGGTCGCCAGCATCATATCTGCAACGGTTATAACGCCTCGTGGATATCGTGCATAAGGCCATGGGTGAGTGCGAACCGTATCAACAAGACCGAAGTAGGTGGCTGCTGTCGAAATATAGTCCGACAAATCGGCGTCTTGTCCCGATCGAGCCCACATGTCATTGAATAGATCATGGAGCTCTTTTGGCGTCTGCTTCAGGCGTTCGTTGAGTATAGCAATGCTGTCATTGTTCGTAAGACCTCTCTGCAGTCTTCTGAGAACCAGGCAAACCCATAGAAAAACACCATTGGACCTTTCGCAGATGATTTGAACAAATTGTCTGTGCTCCCAATTGTTCATGTTCTCTCGGCCAGGTAATATCTTAGACTTGAAGAAATCCATAGTGTAGGTGCGGATATCACTCTCCGTCAAGGTATGGATTCGCAGTTTGTGCACCTTCTCAAGCCGCAGTTGAAATATTGGTTCCGGGCGGCTTGAGAGACACATCTTCAGCTGTGGGATTGATTGCAAACCCAATATGAAGGACCAAAGATCCTCGTGAATTTCACTTGGAATAAGCTCGTCCAGTCCGTCGATGAAGATGCATGTTGGCCTTTTCGAACTCTTGAGAACTACTTTGATCGCCTTTCTCAGCTCCGAGTCTGCCCAATCGCCGGGATTGTCCTTTGATAGGACCAGTGGGAGCCTTTGGGCCAGGAACGACAAGAGAACCCCTTTGTCTTTGAGATCTTCTTCAAGTATCTGATGGAGGAGTGAACAGTAGATTCCCTTGGTATTTCGTTGCAAGGGGTACCCGGAGCTCAGTAAGAAGTGGCTAATTATGCGCGTGCCGGGTCGCCACTTTTCTAGAAGAGCCTGCGTGCGAGAATCCCTGAGAAGAAAGAGCATGAGGGTACTCTTTCCTGAGCCAGGCTTGCCCGAGACCCAGTAGACACTGTCGTCAGATTGGAGCCAGGAGACGAAACTGTTCCATGGGAGTGACGTATCATCTTGTGAAGTATCCGATAGTATGCCATCATTGAATGTATCACCATTTCCATTGTGGCTGACTGACTCGGGCTCAGAAGTATTAGAGTAGGCAACAGAATGATCCGAGGCGCAGTCGGACTCCAAATCCGAGAAGTCGTCGTCCTCAGAATCATGCTCAGCTGCTCGGTCGCGGAATATCCACTCAAATGTCCTTCGATGATGCGGTTTAACCGTATTTCGTCGGTCATTCATTCCATCATACTTTAGGCTCCCTAGGACCCGCCTCTGTGTTGCTTCGTCTCGGATTGCAAGAAAACCATTTTCGACTCGGTTCTCGACGCTTTGTATCAACTGAGAAACGTGCACGTGGTTCTTGGCAAGTGCATTGATGAAATGCTGAAGTGTGGTATTGAGGCTTTTGAACTCTTCACGGCTTTGAATTACTGCCGCCTCATTCGTCGAACTGGAAGCTTTTCATTAGCGTAGACTCAATAGTGGTATCAGTGCGAAAGGGGTCCAAACCATATTCTGACCAAGAGACCAGACTCTAATGTACTTTGGTACCCTTGAATCTCATCTTGCAAGCGGCGCAGATCTCCGTATTTGCACAAATGCCTTGAGATGGCAATTATGGTCTTGCCAATGCTGCCCTTGCTAGCCGCGGTAGCAATCTTGGCCAATTCAGTTGACAGTGTGGTCACTGCGACAAGACATTTCTTTGCCAGCTCTCCAAGTTCTTGCGTCGCCTTGTCCGAAGGGAGTTGAGATGTCGAAGCTTGCAGCGATTTGTCGAGGGACTGTATGAGAACCTGCAAAGTCTTTGCGTTGGTTTCGAGGCTAGGGTTTGCTGATCCGCGCTTGTAGATGTGCTTGCAGAGGGTAATGGTTTCTCCAGTGAAGCTGATGACTTGCATCAGATTGCAAGCAATGCCCAATGCCGCGAGGGTTTCCATTACTAACAGAGAGTGCTGCTCATGGGCTGACCTGAAGCAATTCTGCCAGCCACTGATGGGGTATTTGAGTCTGGGTACTAGTAGAGCATTGGTAGAGGAGCGGAGAAAAACGCATCAGGCTGTGCTGCAACTTCCAAGTACTGTGGTGGCCAGGTATGTCAGGCGGAGAAGCCGGATGACATAATCTGCAAGGCAGATTCAGCTTGCTACGGTTTCTCAATTGGTCGAGGTTCATCAGTTCAACGTGGCTCAATAAGAACTGCTTGATTGCAAAAACGAACCAGATACGAACTGGTGTCTTTCATCCGAGAAGTCCTTCTGTAAACAACAGTGAAGGTAATAGTCTGCAGCTATAGGCACCTTGTCTGCTAGCCCTTAGTACACTGTACCCTGGCGCTCGCGCGGGGGTTGTTGACAGGCCCGAATCTATTGTTGTAGCTCAACTCTTCTGCATCATTGATATTACCACATCTCTTTGTATCTTATTAGCTCGATGACTCTGATGCCTTCCATGGCCCTTTTTCATTGCCCCCCAACTCGATTGTAGGACTGGCTATTTTTCATTCATCATTTCAGCACCTGCTTCGTCGTAGTTTTGATGTTATGCCCGCGATGCCCACTTCTTTAGTGTACCCAGTGTACTGGAGTCTGGAGCAACCAGTGTACTAGCGCTAACGGATGAGCATGGAAGACCAACAATCGGCTCGTCAGAACTTATTTTGTAGTCCGCCAATCGCATGCAGTTCTAAACTGCCCTATATCTTGATTCTCTTTGCTGTCACGCAGAGTTCAAACGGAAAATTCGACGATGATAAAACGCCCGCTCATTCAATTCAGTCGCCCTATGAGAGAAATGTTTTCCAATTTTTTTTTTTTTTATTCTGTTGGCCTGGCCTTGTTAGCGCTAATAGCCCTGGAATGCCGTGTTACTCCGCTCAGTTATGGCAGACACTGCATGCCACAAACTCGACAATTTGCAAAGGATTTAGGACATGTCATCTTCTCCAATTTGCAAGCCTATGCAAACAATTGGATCTTCTTCCAGTACGAGATATAAGCCTTGATTTTTTCTTCTTGGACAGATCGGCTACCAGCAAGGGTCGGGCTTCTGTCGCGCGAGGTGGTGGTATCCAAAACAACCGACCCACACGACATCTTGATGAAATCTTCTGCGAGAAAGTGCACAAGGCCTCGGGCAGGGTTATTGTCTTCGTCCGCTGATTCAACCAGACTCAACCATTCTTCGATTGAGACAGTCGATGAGGATGAAATCTGCAGCTCCTCGGAAAGAAGCCTGATTACATCTTCCCAGTTCTGTCGCATGGGATTTTCCAGATGATACACTGGACGAAGTGGCTGATCATCAAACAGTATCTCGGTGATTGCTTTGGCAGCACTATCAACCGGTAGCCAGGACAGTGTCTAATCCAAATGGTTAGTGATATACTCAGATACCAAGAGGTCGGAGGATTGGCAAGGTTTCTTACCCCACTCAGTTTGGGAAATTTCTTGACTTTGGCGGACGATGCGCAGACGGCAACAAAGTGCTCATTTGCGTTCCAATAGCCATTGCTAGCACCTGATATCTGCCCCAACCTAGCCAGACTTGCCTCGATCTCAGGAAACTCACTGGCGGCACGCTCTATCATCTTCTCGCATACGAGTTTCGCCTTTGCGTAGCCGAGCCCGAGAGTGCAGAGCGAGTCGTCTACAAAGACCTCTGGAATTGAACTCCCTCCCTTGACCGTCGGATAGTTACCAACAGTTGAGATGGAAGACGTGAACAGAACCCTAGGCTTTCTTGTCCCTTGATGAGAGCGTGCCTTGAGGGCCAACGCAATCAAGTTATGCAGTGTCTCAAACGCGGCACCGTAGGACTGTAGGCCCATCTTGAAATTCATAGGCCAAGCAATGTGCAAGATATGAGTTACTCGAGCTGCTAGACGCTCGTATACTGCTTTTTCCAATCCGAGCCAGTCAGCTGCCGTGTTCGTCTGATGTATTTCAACCCTGGTCCACGCGTCGTCAGGAACAGCGATCTCTCGTGTCTTCATGGCTTTCTTCTGCCTTTCTATCGGGTTCTCGCTTGAAGGTCTGTTCAGACAGATGATTTGGCCGACAGAATCGTCCATGAGAAGCTGGGCCAAAACGAAAGAGCCTAAACTTCCAGTGGCACCGGTAATTGCAACGACGGACTTGCCGCTGCGATGATTGAGTTTGGCCCCATTCGTGTATTTGGCCACCAGATCTTCGATGATCTGCGCTTCGGAGAGGACACCGTTGGCTTTTGAGCTTTTTGGTATCAATGCATCTGCCAATGCCTTGATGGAGGGGTGCAGGTAAACAAAATCGTTGGTGATTTCGTCCGCGGGGAGGATGTGGGTCGCTTCAGCGCCGTATTCAAGATGGGTCGCACGCACTGAAGCCACTAAAGACCGTCGCAATCGAGTTGCCTGCAGACTGTCCACGCCATGGGAAAAGAAGTCATCATCGTCTGACCAATCGTCAAAAGAGCCCGGCCATCTGATGTTTTGCTCCGCGAGAGCCCTAACACTCGACGGGATGGATGACAAGTCTAGAGGAGGTGCGTCCGTAATTGCTTCCAGACTGCGGTAAACGTTGTCTATCTCTGTAGCGAACTTTGTCGCTACTGCGCGTCGGAGGATGCTCCCCTTGTCTGATCTTGGGAGGTCACCAGGGGCTACAAACAGTATAGCAGCTGGTGAAGTGATTCTGGCATGAGCATCCATCTGACGGCCGTTGTCCTGGATAACTTGCCAACAGAAGCCCTTGAATCCCTCCAGTTCGGCGCCTTTGAGATTCTTGATTGGCTCTATGATGACGCCGAGTTCGAATCGATTGTCGCCAAATACGCTTGCATCCTTGACCCCTTCTTGTTGTCTTAGAAGAGACTCCAAAATTGTCGGCCTCACCTTCTCTCCAGTGGCGAGACAGATCAAGTCGTCAGTGCGGCCGGCGATCGAAAAAGCGAAGTCTCCAATGTCGCTATCCACTGACCATTCTCTTTCAGTGACAATCAAATCTTGCAGTTCAAAGCGGGAACCCCATCCAAACGGCCTCATACTCAGTTTATACGAGTAGCTATTTTTGGGTTCACCATCTGACTGGGAGGGTTCGGGCTGATCCGGATTCGTGTCGGCACGATGCAACTGCACTTGGAGTGGTCCGACTATGTCACGACGCAACGTGATCTGACGCCAGTCATGTCCTCTTTCAGGCTTCAAGAAGTTCGTTAGAGGGCCGGTCTCCGTAGACCCGTACTGATTGATCAATCTGACCCCAGAAGCCTCTAGCCTTTCTCCAACGGCCGGCTTCAGCATGCCGGCACCAAAAGCTACAAAGTCCAGTTCCCGAAGGACCGTGTGCCCCTTAGAATCTGCCAGAGCCTCAATCTCTTCAATAATTGATGGCACAGTCATCAAGCCTTTTGCTCCAGAGTCTTGTATGAGAGCTGCAATAGAGGCCCCTGTCGGAATCATGGACGGCGGGGGGATGCAAACGGGTTTGCCAGCACCGAGAGACCCACATACTGAAACCAGCCCAAAGCCCTGTGATACTCGTAAGTACTACTGATATCATGGTATTTTTTTTCATTAATTCTTTTTTCCGTGGTCTCCTTACTTACATGAAACAATGGAAGTGTCGAAATGGCCAGGTTGTGAGTCTCTTGAGCAGACTGAAAGCTATGGCAGGTCGCGTAACTCAAGAGATAGCGATGTGAACAAGGAATTGGCTTTGGTAATCCCGATGTTCCTGAGGAATGCAAAATAAGCACTTGGCGGTCATCTTCTGATACAAAGTGATTCGGGTTTGCCGTGCGCACTAGACTGTCTGAACGTGTCTGCTTCGCATCCTGAAAGAAGTCATGGTACCCAGGCACAGGGCATATCCTCGGCCTAGTTTCTTCTTCCACTTCTCCTTTTCGACCACTTTCATGAGCAGTAGGAAAAGCTTCGGAAGCGTTGAGTTCAAGACTCGATGAGACAAGCATAATCTTCGCACCTGTCTTTTGGATGAGATGACGGACGGCAGGCGCACTTAAGCGTATCGAAAGCAGCACTACAGGTATCCCCTTTCCCATACATGCAAGTAGGAACACAGCCAGACCCACGTGACTTTCCATAAAGATCGCGACAGGCGCACACTTTTCTGCTTGTCCATCTGGGCCAACAATGGGCTGAGACCCAATGGCTTGTTCATCGAGCCAAGCTTGGCAACGAGCAACAGCATGAGAAAGATGTCCATAAGTGATTGGCACAAGGGAGTTGTGCTTCTCAGCTTGGAAGCAAAACAGATGGTCGGGGTTTTTCTCGAAGTGAAAATCTACCAACTCGGGTAGGGTTCTGATAGTTGACCCAGATGTCGGGTCCAAATTCAAGCCCGGCGGAACGAATGATGTCATATTTTCGCCTAGTGTCACGGAAGATGTGGAAATGTAGAAATAACACTGGAGCGAACAAGTTTTGCCCAAAAGTCTACAGAAATGCCGAAATAATGTGTCCTGGAGGAACGAAATAGATCATTGCATTATTGACTCTCTTAGCAGAAGGAAATGAAGAGCAATGAGCTCTAGTGACCTCTGGTATAGACACTCCTGCAGGGGTTCCACTATTTTCTCACGTGGTTAAACGCATAAAAGAAATTCAACATGCGCGGCCCCGAGTTGGGGCAGAGCTCTGTAAGGTAACATGGAAACTCGGGGTCCTTTAATCCGCCGCCGCATGTCATTTGATAGAGATTTTAACGGCAGGGCCCAAGAAAAAAATGACGTGTGACCAAAAAAGACAGAAGGTATCTTGATTTGCACTGGTCAGGTGGGAAATATCTATTGATATTGTTGTCTATTGTGATTCCATACACGCCGCAACGGCAAAATCTACTTAAGTGGCATTAAAACTGTATCGGATTTTATGACCCTCGCCATGCTCAAGCACACTCCCTATTATCCTGCGTGCTACATCTGGGTCTACCTGATCCAATGTCAGCGTTATGCTTCCCCTCCCATTTTGATCTTGCCTAGTACTGTCGTGGGGTGAGTCGTCAACCAGATCGAGGCTGTCCTGAACACTCTCTCTACTGCTAGGATTACCATCACCTTCGGGCAGGCTGAAATAGCCAAGATCAAGCGATTCTGTATTTTGAAAGCCAAGCTCGTCCGTGGGCGTTCCACTCCACCACTGGTATTGAGGACTGGCAAAGTTTGAGGCGACTGATGCTTGGAATGGATCAAGCCAAGATATGCAAGCACTTTCTGGCGTTAACAAATCCGAGTTGGACTGTAGATGTTCCTGAGAGCCCGTCCAGCCGAAGCCTAACGGCTCCTGAATGCCTTGTCCGGCATCTGAGGATGGAACAGCATATCGCAAGCGTTCGATGCTGTTGCAGTCCATTGATTCTGGTGCGGTTATTGCATAGTGTTCAACCACAGACCCTTGGATCACCTGGTGATTTTGAGGCACTAATGAATCTACTGCATTGTGTTCAGAATGCTCGTTGTGTGTGCTACCGTCGTCATTTTCGGATTCCTCTCCCGCATCCGCATCCGCAAGCTTGCCGATCGTAGGGTCAAGATCTCGATTTGGGCTCGGCGGTTGGATGGCCTTGTTCCGGCTACGACGTTCGAGGAGGAGACTTCTGCAACTAGGTTTAATAAATGCCGCCAAAGGTTGTGTAATAATTATTGAACTCACCGATTTCGAATGTCATGGGCTGACCTATCAGGAAGCTCCAATGCCCCAATTTCCTTCCAATTGTTCCCGTGCATTGCTACGCCTTTTAACAACTTGGCGTCCTCCGCAGGGGTCCATGGAGAATGTTTCAATTCGGGTCCCAGCACGTGCTGCCATCTTTTGGCGCATTCTAGCCCGGTTCCCAATTAGCCAAAGCTACAAAAACACAATACAGTTCAGGTTGGCGTACTCACGGTCTGCGTTGCGGTTTTGTACAATTGTTGCTACCTGGGACCATCTATAGAAAAGAAGCGTTGGATGGCTGAAGATGGGAACACGGCGTGTCATCCTACCTGAATCCAAATCTGCTGACAGCTTGTTGTAGTCTTGCATCTTCTTCCTGAGTCCACGTTCCTTTCCTGATGGCCTGCTGGATCTTAGACCAGCGTTTACGGCAGTCTTTGTTTGTACGGCCTGGCAATGATAGAGCAATTTTGCTCCAGTTCTGGACACTTGAATCCTCAGCTACTGCATATGTTACCAATTGGTTAGAAATTGTTGAAAGTCCAATTTGTCGTACATCTGGGGATGAATTACATTGAGTCTGAACCCTTTCTTTGAGGATATCGTCCTCGCCGCTTGTCCACCAGCGTCGTTCTCGTGTGGGGGGCATCGCTGGTTCTGTGAGAGGGAGTATAGAACAATAACAATGTATCGGACTTCACATTTGAAGGTAATCACCAGTAAATACAGAGGAACTCCTCATTTGCAACCACAAATTTCAGCACTTCTCTCTTTTTGCGCAACATTACGGCTGGTGGATTGATGTCCTGAGGCGGCGGAGGCGGGGCGTAGGAGGCTGCGGGATTCTGATGCTGACGGCATTGGATAAATTGCCTGCCCTGTAACTATTGTCAGCTGACTGACTAGTGGTCGTCAGCATCCCGAACAAACGGGACCCCGGGACCGGTCCTAGCCTCAAAATAAGCGAGAAATGATATGATGCGAGAAAGCATGTTCAGATCCATCGGACATAGATCCATCTGACGGGGAGTGTTCTTTACGGGTCAGCCCGCAGCATAAAGGGACCCTGTCAGCCTTGGCAGCGCCACTCAGACACCACCGGAGGTCTAGATTAATCATAAGCGAGCGACTATCTATGCATGAAGGGACGAGGAGGATGGTGAGGCTGTTTGGCATAACGCTTGGCATAACGCTTGGCATAATGATAAAGAATCACCATTATCGTAGGACTCTTACTCGACCCGACCGCCCTGCCCCCCGCGTTCTATCTGACCCTCCCATTCAGCTTGCAGCATGTCCGTTTCACAATAATACACGGTACCAATGATTTGATATAGACCAATGATATGTTATGGTCCTTTTGTTCAAAAAGGAAGCGAAACCTCTCGCTAAGCCTGTCGGACCCGAGTTGGGCCAGGCAGGTAATCAGTTCCAAGAGCATTTGGATGATACCATTCGTAGGTAGTAGAAGCGCTTAGAGATGATCTACTGTCTAGCGGTAAAGTGTCCGAAGTTATCGGCGACTATACGGGGCAAAGTAGTGGCCTGCAAGGGAGACAGTCGTCTTGTATATCATAGTCATGTTGTGTGTGTAATTGCTTGGTCGAGTTTGTTCTTGCCTAGTCTTGTACATCACTTTTTCAACTCATCACAACTCCTTTTAACAAGGAGAAATCAATTTCAGTGTCATCATGTCTGTATCTAGTAAAGACGGCGTGTCTGCGATGGACATACCATCAGATGCTGTCGCCGTCGTGGGCATGGCCTGCAAATTCCCTGGTGCAGAGACACTTGACGAATATTGGAGCATCTTGGATGCGGGAGAATCAATGCTGAAAGATCCTCCCAACAACCATCTGCCAACACACAATCATCCGCGTAGCACCGAGAAATCGGTGTTTCACAGCAACTTCCTCAAAGATAATTCAAGTTTTGACAATCGCTTCTTCAAAAAGTCCAGCCGCGAGGCAGCTTCGATGGACCCGCAACAACGACTTCTGCTCGAAGTGTCATATCAAGCATTAGAGTCTTCCGGCTTCTTTGGGCCACGTCAGCCTGACCTGGACGTTGGCTGCTACATAGGAGTATGTGCATCCGACTACAACGACAACGTCGCGAGCCACCCACCGAACGCTTTCTCGGCACTAGGCACGCTGAGAGCCTTTGCTCCAGGAAGAGTCAGTCACTTCTTTGGGCTGAGGGGACCCTCGATTGCCTTGGATACGGCATGTTCTTCTTCAGCGGTCGCTATAGATGCCGCTTGCAAGGCTATACTTCATGGAGATTGCAGAAGCGCGATTGCGGGTGGTGTCTCGGTTTTCTCCAGTCCATTCTTTTACCAGAACCTTGCTGCAGCGTCCTTCCTCAGTCCCACTGGTGCGAGTAAGTCATTCGATGCTCGCGCCGATGGGTACTGTCGTGGAGAAGGCGTGGGGCTTGTTGTTTTGAAGCGGCTTGCAGACGCCATCTCGGACGGGGATACTGTGTTGGGAACCATTCTCGCCACTTCGGTTAGACAAAGCAGCAACAAAGTCCCCATCACCGTCCCGTATAGCTCGTCGCAAACAGCATTGTACCGAAAGCTTCTTGACTCGGCCGGTATTGTTGCTGAAGATGTCACTTTCGTCGAGGCTCATGGTACAGGCACGCCTGTCGGTGACCCTCTTGAGTACGAGGCTATCAAAGAAGTGTTTGCCAAGAAACCAAGACAAGAACCTCTATACTTCGCATCCGTCAAGGGAAATATTGGACACACAGAGGGTGCTTCGGGAGTTGCTGGGTTGATCAAAACGATCCTTATGATGCAGAATCGTTCGATACCCAGGCAAGCCAATTTCGTGTCGCCACACCCCAAGATCTCACTTGTTCCAGGCCGCATTGCTATACCCACGGCAACTATTCCCTGGACTGCAGACAGAATGATTGCATGCGTGAACAACTATGGGGCGGCAGGTAGCATCGCCGCCATGCTTGTCAGCGAACCACCTCGCAAGAGTGTCAAGCAGATTCACGGTAGACTCCATGAAAAAGTCCAATACCCTCTACTCATCACTGGTAATAGTCCCAAGAGTCTTGGTGATAACTGTGCCAGTGTTAGAGACTATGCACTATCAATGAGCAGCAAAGTCGGTTCAAGCGAGAACATCATAGCAGATCTCACTTTCAACCTGAGTGATAGGCAGAACCGAGCATTGCCTTATATGTTCACAACTACCATTTCCAACTTGTCGGAGCTGGATGAACAACTTCGTACTGCTGCATTCAACCCCAACTCTTCCCTTTATCAGAACAACCTCAAGCCGAATCCGACTGTCCTTGTATTCGGTGGCCAGATCGGTCGGTCTGTGGATCTCAGCAAGCACGTTTTTGAGAGTTCAGGTCTGCTCCAAAAGTACCTTGACCAGTGCGACGGTATACTGAAAGGGCTGGGGTCTCGAGGCATCTACCCCGACATATTCGAGAACAAGCAAGCAGACGATGTGGTGATGCTTCAGACGATGCAATTTTCATTGCAATACGCGTGTGCACAGTCATGGATTGCCTGCGGGTTGAATGTAGATTGCATTGTCGGTCATTCCTTTGGCCAACTGGTTGCCTTGACAGTCTCCGGTGTCCTTTCCCTAGCAGATGGCCTCAAGTTTGTACATGGACGCGCTGTCTTGATGCGCGAGAGATGGGGCTCTGAAAAGGGCTCCATGGTAGCCATTGAGGCCGATCGCGCTGACATTGAGGCACTAGTCGCATCTGTGCGAGGTGTCGAAGTGGCCTGCTTCAACGGCCCAAGAAGCCAAGTTCTGGTTGGATCTTCTTCTGACATTTCCAATGTTGTCGCGGCAATGACAAAGTCGAGCATGAGTGCCAAGGCAAAGATTCTAGATGTTACCCACGGTTTCCATTCCAGATTCTGCGATCCTATTCTCCCTGAATTGGAGAGACTGGCAAATGGTTTGACATTTAATCAACCACGAATCCACCTAGAGACAAGTTCTGTCAATGGCACTTGGCCAATCGCTACATCAAAGTTGTTGGCAGATCACACTCGCAGTCCTGTGTATTTCGAGGATGCAGTCAAACGCATCGAACAACGATTTGGGTCGTGTACATGGCTGGAAGCAGGTTCCAACACACTAGTCACCAACATGGCGCGTCGTGCGTTGAATGACCAGAAGGAGAAAATGAGCAGCCATGTCTTCTTCCCCATCAACTTGAGTCGTGATGGTGCTCTGGGCGCACTGGCTGAAACAACCACGAATCTATGGAAACAAGGGCACCACGTCCAATACTGGCCATTCCACCACCAGAATGGTGGGTCCTATCAGGTTATGAACTTGCCTCCATATCAGTTTGAAAAGGCGCAGCATTGGTTGGACTTTGACTTCCCGTCGGCTGCAGCGCCTGAACCAGTTCAAGATAAGCTGGACGCATCTCAGGTCGAGACTGTGAAGTCAGAGCCGGAGCCAGAGCCGGAGCTGATAAGCTTCGCTGGATTCGGAGATGCTGATGCAGCCCATGAGGGGCAGAAACGCGCTATTTTCATCATTGATCCCCGTGTTGAAGAATGGAAGGCCCTCGTCAGCGGCCACTCGGTGTTACAGGAGCCTCTCTGTCCGGCACCACTGTACATTGAGTTGGTGCTTCAAGCAGCCAAGCAGCTTGCGGCAATTCAGAATATCCCTTCTGTTCCCTTCAGCCGTGTTGAAGATCTTGAGATGCCTTCACCTTTGGGCATGAGCCAAGATAAAATCATACAACTTGTTTTCACGCCGACCGACCACACGGGTTGCAAGTACACCTTTTCTTTCCACGCACAGCCACGCCACGCAAACTCACGGAAAGAAGCATTGTTTTCGATACCAAAGGGCGCAACTACACACGCATCCGGAAAAGTCGAAATCCTTTTGACCAACGACAATACTGTCACGTCTGAGTTTGAGAGAACCAGGAAGCTCTTGGAACGAATGCGCCCAGACCAGAATGAGGTCGGAGATGCGAGCAGCCAGGCCGTCAGTGGCCCACTTGTATACAAGCTCTTCTCCAGTGTTGTGCAGTACCATGATTTCTACCAGTGCGTCCGCAGCCTCAACAGCACCGGCGATGGCTCAGTCTTGGCACATGTGTCGCAACCTCAATCTGGACCTAGCTGCATTCAGTCGCTTCTGTCTATGCCGTTGGCAATTGACAACTTCTTCCAGGTCCCTGGAATCTATGCAAACTGCCTTGCACCTTGTCCGTCATCTGAAGTCTTTGTATCCACGCACGTCGATCGCATTCAGATTTCGCCTGATTTCGCCAACTTACGAGCCGAGGAAAATGGCCAAGGCTGGGACGTCTTTGCCATGTCGACAGCTTTGAACGACAAAGAAATCACCAATGACATTTTTGTCACTGAAAAAGCCACTGGCAAACTCATTTTCATCGCTTTCGGGGCAAAGTTTACCAGGGTACGAATTGCGGCCCTGGCCAAGATTCTATCACGAGCCAACTCTGGCGAAGTCGCACCAAGCACTGCAGCGAAATTGCCTCCAAAAGCCCGTGTGGAATTTGTACAAGCTGCACCAACGGTACCTCAGGTGCAGCGTGCCGTGCCGGTTGTCTCTTCAGAGACTCCACAGCACACCGCCACCCCAGTGCCTCAGCAGCAGCCAAAGCAACACCCATCGACGAATGGAAGCGTGTCTCTCGCACCGCCCGTGTCGATCATTCCGGCTCCTAGCACCGCCATTCCTAGGAAATCCCGAGTGGAAGGCGACCTTCGAGAAATGCTCAGCAAGATGACAGATGTTCCTGCCGACGATATCAAGGATGATATCTTATTGATAGACCTCGGTGTTGACTCACTGATGGCCACGGAGGTGCTATCAGATATTCAGAAAATCTTCAACATTTCGATCTCACCGGATCTTCTTCAGGAACTGCAAACATTCGCATCTTTGCGTCGTTACCTTGATGGCCAGATGAGCGGACCAGAATCCGATAACCATCTGCCGGTTGTGGTGCCTTGGCAAACACCAATCGTCCCTGCTGTATCACCAAACGCAACACTCGCACCTGAGATCGCCAGTCAAGAAGCAGAAGTGGACGATCGAACCGAGAAATCCTCAGTTGAATACGAGAGTTCCACCAGAGACTCCGATCAGGAACAGGATTTGACCGCACGGCTGGCAGACTTATTGAGTACGCACCTCGAGGTCCCAGTCGACGAGCTGGTAGCCTCACCTAATCTTGTGGACTTGGGTCTTGACTCGCTCCTCTGCATGGAGCTTATGAGCGACATTGATAAGGACTTGGGCGTCTCAATTGATCTTTCGGATCTCACGGGCGACGTCAACTTCGGCCACCTTGTCGACAAGCTTGTTGGTGAGCTCAGAACTACCAAGACAACCACTTCAAGCACACCCAAGTCAACAAATACCTTCTCTTCCGGTGTCTCGACGCCACTTACCTCATCGCAAAGTGGCTCAGACGACGAGAGAGATGTTATGCCAACAAAGACTCAGGCACCGCGTATCTCGATGAATGGGCCCCTTGCAAGTGCAGCCGACGCATTTGAGAGCATCAAAGGCGACTATGATGAACAGGCAAAGCATTACAAATTCATTGACTTTTACACTTCAGTGTACGGGAAACAATCAGAGTTGGTGCTGGCCTACGTCGTAGAGGCATTCTTGGATCTTGGCGTCGATTTGAAGACATTGAGAGCCGGGGACAGAATCCCTGCAATCAGTACTGTGCCAAAGCATGGTCGTATGATTGATGTCTTCCACAGAATTCTGCACCAGGCTAAAGTCGCTGATTACAATGGCGAAGCCTACTTCCGATCGGAGGTACCCATCAACCTAGCTCACTCCAGCGTCCTGTCGAGAGAGATCATAGCAGAGTTTCCTCAGCATGCCAAAGAACATATGCTACTTGATCTTTGCGGACCTAATCTGGCCAAATTCCTGACCGGCACCATGGATCCCCTCGCAGTTTTGTTTGGCAATAAAGCAAATCGGACAATTGTAGAAGACGTCTATGCTGAGGCCCCCATGTTTGTCATCATGTCACAGCTTCTCACCTCGTTCCTCGAGAAGACTCTCAGCACATCAACGCCCGGACCCAATGGCAAGTTCAAGATCGTTGAGTTGGGAGCAGGGACGGGCGCGACCACTCGTTGTGTTGTGGACCGTCTTGTCCAGCGGGGTATCCCCATCGAATACACCTTCACCGATATCTCGCCTTCGCTGGTGTTGGGAAGCAAGCGCAAATTCACAAAATTCGACTGCATGAAATTTGGAACTATAGACATCGAGAAGGAACCTCCAGCTGAATATCTCGGGCAATTCGATATTGTGCTTGCAACCAACTGCATCCATGCCACAAGCAGTCTTCCCAACTCTCTTGCCAACATCAACAAGCTTTTGCGCCCCCACGGCTTCGTATCGCTTGTGGAACTGACCACTAGAAACTTCTGGTTAGACCTTGTTTTTGGTCTTCTGGATGGATGGTGGCTTTATGATGATAACCGTCCTTATGTGCTCGCCACCCCGGAGTTCTGGGACCACACAATGCGAGACAAGGGATTCCAGCACGTTTCATGGACTGGCGGGCACTCACGAGAGTCCGAGGCCGTCAGAGTCATCACAGGTTTCAAACAACCTGTCCAGGATCCGTCGTCCTACAAAAGCACGCCTCAGGGAGTAAATGGCGGTACGGAAACGGTAGTCTTTAAGCATACTGACAAGAGACTTCCGTTACGGGCGGACGTGTATTACCCCTCGGCATCCCAGGCAACTGTTCACAAGACCTGGGTTCCTGGTATGGAATAACCGATATCACCTGTACAAAACTCGAGCAGCAGCTGACACTGCTCTGATACAGGTCTGTTGGTTCACGGAGGCGGCCACGTGATGCTATCGCGTCAGGACTTGCGACCGCGACAGATTCAGCTGCTTCTCGACAATGGTGTGTTGCCGGTGGCCGTGGACTATAGGCTGTGTCCGGAGACGACTATTCTGGAAGGACCGCTTGTTGACGTCAATGATGCATACGTCTGGCTTCGAAAAGCTCTGCCATCTCTAAAGCTGATGCAGACTGATATCAACAAAAAGCTAGACTCTACTCGGGCTGTCGTCATTGGGTGGTCGACCGGTGGAACACTGGCCATGTCCTTGTCGTGGACTTCACTTCCACGAGGGATCTCTCCTCCCGATGCAATTCTTGCATTCTACTGCCCAACCGACTACCAAGACGAGTTTTGGACGAAGCCTAATATTCCGGAGCATTCCGATGCTTTTGCTAAAGAAAAGTACAACGTGATTGAAGGCGTCTTCCCAAGTCCCATCACTGCGTACAATGTACCCCCAACCACCGGATCGGCAGCGGGCTGGATTGCACCCAAAGACAAACGCAGCCGGGTGGTTCTTCACATGAACTGGTATGGCCAGACGCTTCCCGTGCTGTTCAAGGGTCTACCGTCAGCATCCGCCGTCGCTACACACGATGCAGCTCAATTCAATCATCTGGAGCAGCCGCCCGTTGAGGACATTGTCAAAGCTAGCCCATATGCACAGATCATTCGCGGAAACTACAGGTCTCCCACTCACGTGATCTTCGGCACGGGCGACGATCTCATCCCGTGGAAGCAAGCTCAGCGGACTGTGGATGCAATGAGGGAGTCGGGTATCGACTGCGGATTGACTCTTGCTCCCGACCAGCCGCACTTGTTCGACATGTATCGTGACTCGGATGGATCACGATGGGGTTATGTTATGGAAGGATACAATTTCCTATTTTCCAGAATTGGGAGAGGAGAAGCATGATCTCACTCCTGTTTGGTAGACAGTGTCTATGAGTCGCATACTGCTATGTAAGAATTAGTAGAAAAGAAGAAAATAAAAGGCAACAATGATACACGGTTTTATGAATACATTCTGTCACTTTATTTCTCATTGTACCCAGCACTAAATGCAGGCTGTGAGCTATGCCATGAAAGATATTTCCTTCTTGCCTGGTCCAATGTGAAGAGGAACATGAGATCCAGGGAATTCCAGAAAGACATATAAGTTCCTGTTATTAATCTATAAAACAGAAGTGCTGAAAAGCTATTTACTATACCCGAACAGTTATTTTACAGTAGGCACTTATTGATACAGTGTTTGCAAGATGACCCTGAGACGGTGGTGGATTGATCATACCTACGAGGTCTGCGAACTACCGCATTGAGTAGGTAGGAAGCAATCGGAATCAACCTCGTAGCAAAGTTGTTAACGTACAATAACTAGTGTGGAGCTTCACATTTTGTTCAGCTAGTATACTGGTCTGGTGCGAAAAAAGTCTACTACTGAATCAACAGTTGAGATTCTTAACGAGATCTAATGACGGACTTAGAGCAACCACTCCGAGATGCGTTTCTAAATACAGGTAGTATGTACATTTGTAGCTAGATGCACGGTTTTTGCTCCGGTAGCATCTATGCAAAGTCCGGTAAACCAGCCTCTACCTAAAGCACCAGCCATTGTCGTGGGCGTTGCTAAAGGTATTCATCTCGTGAGCTTCATTGCCAGGCCCGTGGTCGCGTCGTAACCTGCGCCTAACAAGCTGGGAGATGCTTTTGATACCCGGCTGGTAAAATACCTACTCTATCTCTTCGAGGGAATGCCCGCGTGTTTCTGGCATGTAGGCCGCAAAATCCTGGACTCGCCTCGGGCCGCAGTGTCGTGCGCCCCATGGGCTATGTCGGTACATCGCCGTTGTCCGCCTTGAATTGTCAGGAACACACAACAAGTGTAATTAGACCAATATCTATGTAGGTATGCTGGCCTAGCTCTACGTAAAGGCAAAGCTCTGACCAGTCCATTCGAAGCAGGCTACCTGAGCATATTCCCATGTGCATGGTTTGTTATAGCCGCGGGCCTTTGAGCCAAATCTTTGATCTCGTTAGTAAAAGTTTTTCCAACAAGACGATTACGAGCACTAGCTTAACATTGCTAAAAGTAGGTTTCCCACTGCTTTCTGGAGGGGCGACAGCGACACGCGCCTCAACAGGAGCTTGTTGCACCAGGTGGATGATGCCTTATCGGATGAATAAATCGAATGGTTGGAGAAACGTTGGTAGACAAAAGTTTGATGTTCAAGTGCGTGCTCAGCTTGTTAGAAGTGTATAAAATGACCTACGCTGGGATTTATCCTTCCTTTGAATGCACACAGTAGGAATATAGCCAATGTGTATGTACGTATTTATGGGCGAGCGACAATTTAGGTGGGTAACAGGCGATACTCTAGGCCCTAGTGTTCCAAATCGGTCCGGGATTGGCTGTATGCACCGTTGGTGTTGGTGCTGGGGTACTTCTTGCCTGATATTGCAAGACCAACGATGTAAGGGGCTGGAATAGATAGTAGGACACCTGCCTACCTACGTATATCGAATTGCACATAAAAAGCCGAAATTGCATCCTCCGCTTCCCCAGACCTGCTATCGCGCCTTATGTACAGATTTTGTACCCTGATTATTGGTTTCCACTATCATCAGGTATCTGTCAACCATCGTCATGGAGCTTTTAAATACTGTCGAGCAAATCGCTGCTTATTCCTTTTGCGGCGTGATCATTGGCGTAGGTCTGCCTACCACCTGCAACTCTTGTGCACGCTAAAGTTTATGGAAAATGCCAGATTGCCGGTGTTCTGAGTTATCGACTACTTCTTCACCCGCTCAGCGACTACCCAGGACCATTGATCGCAAAACTTACTGACGGCCGAAATGGCTATTATTCCCTACTGAGGGATCTGCATCTAGTCAGTCTTCGGGATCACCGAAAGTTCGGCCCAGTAGTCAGGCACGGGCCAAACAAGCTTTTGTTCAATACCGTCAAGGCTTTACACGGTATGTACTAGACAATGTAATGTGATACCAGATGCTAACCAGCTCAAGACATATACGACAATGACAGGGTGCTCAAGTCCCATGTGTATACTGTCACTGTTCAATCTCCCGGTGTTTGTAATTCGTTCAATGTCATCGATCCACGAGAACACCGGGCAAAGCGGAAAATACTTGGACAAGTCATCAACGAGGGCGGAATGCGAATTTTTGAGGATACAATGATCGGCCAGATTGATATCTTCATTAAGTTGATTCGTTCTTCCTGTGACGGGCCTGAGCCCGTGAACCTATCTACCCGTCTTGACTATCTAACTTGCGATATAGTGGGACTTCTCTCATTCGGTTATCACCTCCGCCTTCAAACTAATTCAGACAATCGTTTCATGATGAGAGGAATGTACTATGGGAATTACTTCAGCAACACCCGGATGCAATACTACCGCCTCCATCAGTTCCGACTTGGGAGAATTATTCAGCACCTCAGCAAAGCTACCCTAGAGAAATATAAGCGGTTGATGGAGAAAATGATCACAGAGCGCATCTCGAACGACAATCCCTTGACTCACGATCTTTATGCGGTTGCCTCGCAAGCTAACCGAGATGAGGAAACTCTGGGAGGAAACGTTCGAATGAGTGATATCTGGTCTGAGGCAGTGGTATTTTTCCCTGCGGGTACGTGTTTTCGTTGCTTGAGGTAAAACATTGCATGCTGACAGTGATGGTATAGGTGCTTTTTCAGTATCTACGGCAACGTGTGCTTTGTTCTTTTACCTCTCACGAGACAAGATGCGCACCGCGAAATTGCAGAAAGAAATACGCTCAACATTCAGGAATCCAGCTGAGATCAGAAGTGGACAGCAACTCTCAAGCTGCCATTATCTGCGCGCATGCATTGATGAAGCGCTACGTATTGCAACACCAATACCCGGCACGCCATGGCGAGAGGTTGAATCCACGGACTCGAAACCTCTGATTGTGGATGGACATGTGGTACCGGCCGGCACCCAGATTGGTGTCAATGCTTACGCTATTCATCACACCGAGGAGTATTTTCCCAATCCGTATTCATTCGACCCTGAGCGCTGGTTGGCATCTGAGACACCAGAGCAGCAGTTGAAAGCGATGCGTGAAGCTTTTTCTCCCTTCTCAATTGGTTCACGGGCATGCACTGGCAAAGCCATGGCTTACCTTGAGACCAGTCTCATCATGGCCAAAGCAATTTGGCATTTTGATTTTGAGCTACCTGCGGGTCCATTGGGCAAAGTGGGTGGTGGACAGCCAGGCAACAGCAACGGCAGGCATCTTCCTAACGAGTATCAGATTCATGATGTTCTTTCTGCAGCACATGACGGTCCCCTTTTGAAATTTCGTTTGAGGGGTGGTATTGAGGATAATTTGGCAACTGATGGCCTGTCATTCCAGTGAGATAGTGATCTCAGTTCCTTTCTGCGAAATGTGAGGAAGCAGGATGGTCACGCATTTCGGCAATGTGAAATTTTCAGAATATGTCAAGATCGAAAATCTCTATTGTGATAGCTACAATATGATAGCAGGACTGAATACATCTATTTGAAGAGGAGATTTGCGGTTGATATCGAGATGCTATCAAATATGTTTTTATTGTCATTTTTGCTTCCATGGACCTGGCGTTACTTATCACACTCTTGAGAAAGATATACCGTTGCGAAAGGTGCTCAAAACCGACTTTGGGTTGAGGGATGAGGAAGCTAGAATCCCAAAGGATGCAGGAGACAAAACTACGTCAGGTCCAGTAGATTTGTATATGAGTAGACTAAGTTTATCGGAGTCTGAGCGCAGAGCGTCAGAGCGGCCATCATTGACTTGGCATATCTTACTTAATACATGTCGCGCTTGCTGCTACTTTAGTGCTGCGAATAGAGGAGGAAAAGCAATACGGGGTCGACGAGACAGCTCAACATGCTGCTTACCTTTTCCCCACTAAGTTGACTGGACTGGAACCGTACAAGGGCCAACGCTAGTTTTGTTAGGATCCTAGGTTCATTGTTGTTTGGCTTTTATTTCTCATCTTGATCCTTTGCCAAAGCGGTGGTGGCGCGGTGCTAATTTAGTCGGACCCGAGTTGCTCGTCTATTGCCGGCGGGACACAGGACCTGAGTGACCTCAAACTGGTGCAACTCTCACCCACCATCATCTCTTTATTTCCCTGTCACGTTGCCGCGTGCGCAGATCTATCCACTTTGAACATTGGGTATTGAGTATAGTGGTTGAATTGAGTGCGTGGCATTTCATCTCTATGCATCATGGTGGATTTACTTGACTTCTTTCGACAACTGGCAGGCCGAGCCTGCACGTTGGTTCCTGCTTTGTTCATCATTGCGGGAGCTGTGGCTATCATCAGTGTTGTACGATCGTACATGCGCTTGAGCCATATCCCTGGACCACAAATAGCATCATTGACGAATCTCGTCCGTCGCTCATGGGTCATAACGGGCAATGCCCATCAGATCCATACGGACCTCCATCAACGCTATGGGAAGGTTGTACGTTTTGGACCCAACGCGGTCATGGTCTCGCAGCCTCAGGCTATTGAAAAGATTTACGGCTTCAAGGTCAGATTTGAAAAGGCAAGTCATCTTACAATCTGCCCTGCTCATCGAATGGTATTATTGACAGATTAAAGTCCGAGTTCTATGACGCAATAATGCCGAGAGTGAAGGGCGGCAAGATCCCGGATGTGTTTGCTACTCGCGACGAGGACATTCATCGACGCATGAGGCGCCCTGTAGCCAATTTGTATTCTGTCACTAGTTTGACCAAATTTGAGCCTCTGATCACGGCAACTATGCAATACTTCTTCATTCGCCTAGACGAGCTATTCAACGACAAGAGCGTAGAGTTCGACATGTATCGATGGATCCAGTTCTTCATGTTTGATGTTCTCGGAGAGGTAACCTTTTCTCAACGTCTGGGTCTTCTCGAAAACGGCGCCGACGTGGAAGATGTAATTGAGAATCTATGGCTGTATTTCGAAAAGATTGCACCAGTGCGTCTCTCTCCAAAACGTCATCTGCTTTCATCAACACAACTAATGTCTCCTCACATTATAGAACACACAGATGCAGTGGCTTGATAATCTATGGAGGGACAATCCTTTGGTCCCCGTCTCGACCAAGCGGAACGCATTGGCAGAGTTTGGTATGGCGCGCATCATGGAGCGCATGAATCAAACTGAGGACTCAGTCGCTGATAAGAATGATTTCCTCGCATACTTCATCAAGGAACAGGCCAAGGATAATACACTTCCCCATATGTAAGTGGAACCTTGAGACCCAGAGTCTGGTATAGGCGCAAGAGCTGATAAGATAAACTCGTCTAGGTTCGTCCCTACATGGGTCAATTCCAATATCGTTGCAGGTGCAGATACGACCAGTATAGTCGCAAGTGCCTTGATGTATCATCTCCTCAAAAATCCTTCATCCTTGTCAAAACTCAGGGAAGAAATCGATGATGCCGTGGCCAAAGGCCGTATCTCCAAATATGCAACCTGGAGGGAATCGCAGAATTTGCCATACTTGGAGGCATGCGTCAATGAAGCTACTAGGATGCATCCCCCCTTCGCTCTTCCATTCGAGCGTGTGGTGCCTGAAAGCGGGTTGGAAGTCGATGGCTATTTTATTCCCCCAGGTACAAGAGTGGGCATGGTACGGACATTCAAAGCTTCTCATCCCCCAACACCAGCAAATTTCCGGCAAGGGCTTACTGACGATGATTGTTACATGCAGAGCCCGTGGGTGGTGCACCGTGATGAATCAATCTACGGCGATGATCCAGAAGCGTGGCGGCCAGAACGCTGGTTGTGCAGCGAAAAGAAAAAGACAGCCATGTATAATACTCTCCTCACGGTATGTTTAGTCACGATCATCACTAATGAGTGGGGGATTGCCTGAACCATGCCGTCCCAGCTTTCTAACTTGATTATTTCACTTTCTAGTTTGGTGCCGGGCACCGTACTTGCTTGGGAAAGCATCTCGCATACTATGAGATATATAAGCTCATCCCATCCATGCTGCAGCGCTACAATGTTGGTACAACCGGAGCCCATGTCTCTCGAGCATGTCTCGCTAACAAGTCTAACAGATTGAGCTCGTCAATCCAGCTGAGGACTGGTCCATTAACAATCAATGGCTGGCTAAGCCTTCAGGGTTTTGTGTGAAGCTATCGACCCGCAATTAGAGTCCTAGAAAGGCGTATTTTTCACATGATTTTACAACGGAGATAAATTTAGAAATAAAGCCTTGTTTCTTGACCCAATTAACTCCTGCCTGGGTTATTCTATCTACATCAGTGACAAAGAGGAAACAAAAGTCAAAGGTTGGATCTTTCGATAGGTATGCAGAGACCGTAGTGATTATTTCTAGCTTAACACTAAGAACTACCTACATCGCAGTTTGATCTGAATGAGATACATATCTGTACGTACTGCATCACCCGCCGAAAAGATGAACATAGATAGGACCAGGTTGTTACTGCTTCCAACACACAAGTGAATTCAGAAAGTCTCCGTTACCAACGCTGACCGGGGACCTTGCATCTCATGATGCAAAGTGAACAGGACCAAAAGTATAATTTGGAGAGAGAATGAAATATGAACCTAGCCGAAATGCCCTGCATAATGCACCGGGGGCTGCACTGTAGTGCATATTACTTCGGGGGTCTCAGCCTCCAGCGATCCCCTAAATTCAGAGATTTGGCGAGGTTCAGGTACCACCAACATAACCCCGCGGCATTGATAGCGGCATGCTTAGGGGGGATTAACTCGGGCCCACCAACTCGGGTCCAGCTTCATCCTTCATCAAGTCCTGTTTGCCATATTTATCTCAATATTTGTATGTAGACATGTATGTTATCCCATAAAATTTCATACAAGATTGGTATCATATTGCACCAGTATTTGACGGCCAAACACAGTCTCATTCCGAACAAACATGCCAGCTCTAACCGTGAAGCCGGATGCAGAGGCAAAGCCCCTCAGGGTGTGGAACTCGCTAAGACGCTATCTCCCACCCACTGACAACAAGGATGTCGAGTTCTGGTGGAACATTACTGGGTACCACCTGGCAGTCATGATTGACGCCGCTGGCTACACCCCAGAACTGCAGTATGAAGTACTGCTTTTTCATTACAATTGGATCGTAAGCAGTCGAATTTCTCACTCTGATGAACTCGTTGCCGCAAAGAAGGAGTCTGACCAGGCCTGTGGTTATTTACAGGTGCCTCGCTTGGGTCCCGCGCCCCACGATGACGGACGGCCTGTATTCAAGTCACTCATAGCCTACGACGGTTCACCCCTAGAATACTCCTGGAAATGGAATACTTCAAAGGGCGAGCCCGACATTCGGTACTCCTGGGAGGCAATCAGTGCGACATCGGGTACCACCACCGACCCATTGAACCACGATCCTACCCTGGACTATATGGAAAAGGTGTCCCATGCTCTTCCGGGTGTCAATTTTGAATGGTACCGCCATTTCATAGCCAACCTGTACGATCCTGACAGGGCCGTTTACAGCAAGGAGCTAGAACAAGGTGACCCGCCCGCCACGACCCTCATGCACGCTGTCGAGTATAACAAAAAGAAAAACTTTGGGCTCAAATCGTACTTTCTGCCACGAAAGCTGTTCCAGGGCGGTGACCCTGCGACTATGCAGGAATGGGACGCTGCAATTGTAAAGCTGAACCCGGGAAAGAATCACCCTGGACGTGATGCTCTGATGAATTTCCTTGCAACCAGCCCCGAAGGCAAACTGATGAAGCCCAACGTCATGGGTATGGATAACGTGGAACCCTCCAAGTCGCGGCTCAAGATGTACTTTACCTCGGCGCACACCAGTTTCAACTCGGTGCGTGAGATCATGACCATGGGCGGCATCCGCGATGTTTCCGAGTCCAGTCTGCAGGATCTCCGCTCCTTGATTCTCACCGTATTGGGGCTGCCCGCCGACTTCCCCGAGGACGAGGAAATCCCCGTCGAAGCTTCTGCCAGTGATGATTGGCCCGACTTTGCAGCCTTGTGCGAGGGCTTTGTCTACTTCTTTGACATTGCTCCAACCAGTGGCTCCCCCGACGTCAAGTTCTATCTGACCACCCGCAAATACGGTGCCGATGACTTGACCATTGCCCAGAATCTGATGTCTTGGACGGCTGCGCACGGCCGTGGCGCCTACAATCCAAAGTACATTGAGATGCTGGAGAGGCTTGCGGAACACAGGGGCTTGGAGAATGGCAAGGGCATGCACGCCTACATCAGCTACCAGTGTGTTCAGCAAGGAGAGCCAGATGTCAAGTCTTACATCTCCCCTGAACTCTACCACAAAGCGCGATTCACTACCGCTGAGTAAATCAGCGGAACTTCGTCAGTCGGCTGAATATATATACGATTATTTATGAGAATACCCAATGAGATGATTTGTTTGTGTATCATGTGAAGAGGAAGTCAATTATAAAATGAGCACATAATTCAAGCTCAGCAAATTTGCAAACACAACCGATTGCATTTTGCTGCGACAGATCCACAACTTTGATTGCAGAGTTTCTCAAATATCTAAAAATCGTCCAATAACGCGCCTCGGAATTTCATGACCAAGAATGAGGGGATATTATTCGTTTAGCCGTGAACATTATGCCAGTAAATCATTCAGGCAGCACATTATCGTAGTACTCGAGCGGATTGTGTTTTGACACAATGAAAGTTTATTGCCATCAACACGATTTGATCGCTCTCAATATCCATAAGTAAAATTCGCATTATTCTGGAACAGGTCTGTACATAACACCGCTAGTAGAAACTGGAGGCATCGTGATCCTAGAGGAAGGCATCCTTCTATCTAATGCCTGCATGGCTAGTCGAATGCCAGATCCTCATTAATGCTCGTTATGTGTGCTTGAAAGGGTACGGGAGAAGAGACGTCTATTTGGGTCCTGTAGGTCGCAGGATATCTAGCCTATATACTGTGTCCGCCCTTGTCCCGTTACTCTATCACAAAAGGTTTCCCCATAAGGTTTACACCGCGAGGTAGTCGGAACAAACAGTCTATAGGCTCTCATAAGCCAGTCCAACATGAAGAAAACCAAAAAGAAAAAAATAGATACAAGAAAGAAAGAGGTCATCAAGACCACTGGGATACATCAGAAGGAATGGCATGGTAGCCGTTAAAGTGACCATGAGGATCGTAGGCATTCTTGACATTGGTGAGACGCTCCTGGCGTGCCGGGTCGGTTCCGTACAGAGCCGAGAGGGGCTCATCGCCGTGGCCATAGTTTTGGTAAATGTAGAAACCGTCGTAGCCAGAGACTTCGGGCGTGGCAAAAGTGTTGCGCCATTCGCGGAAGAAGTCATCCACAGCCTCGGCGACCGAGTCGTCCGTGTAGACACCAATGCTTTCAATCTGGTTCTGGAAGTTCTTGCGGTGAGGGAAGGCAGAGTAGTCCTCGGGCAGGGCCTCGACGCCCTGGACGGGGAAAGTCTCAATCATGAGAGCCGAGTTGGCGGCCAGGGGGTTCTCCTGCATGAACTTCTCAAAGTCGTCGGCAAACTCGACAAAGGTCGCGGGATCCAAGACCTTGGTGATGGCGCTGTAGAGATCGTACCTAGGTCCGTTTGCGCAGGACGCAGGAATAAGGCCCATGACGGATTGTGTGGGGAGTTCGGCCCATGTAAGCATGGTCTCGTTGAGGGTGTGGCTCATAGGTGAGAACAGATCAGTGTATTTCTTTCCCTCTTCTGCTGGACCAGTGTATACGATGTTCACGACGACGGTAAGCTACGCTAGTTAGCATGAGATCCATAATGATTGGGGTTTTGATCGTCATTGATCAGTGACAGTTTACTCACCTCGTTCGTGGTTGCGTTCAGGGCCAAGAACATGACGAAAGACAATTTATCGTCCAGTCCGGCAGTTGTAAGGTCATTTGTAATCTCCATGACTTGCTGCACGGCTTCCTTCGTAAAGGTCATGTCGGCATTGTAATGCATTCCCGCGTTGGTCGCCTCCCAAGTCTCAAAGGTGGACTCGAAAACAACACCATAGTTCTGACCCGAGCCTCGCACGGCCCAGAACAGGTCCTGGTTGACGTCGTCGGAAGCTTCAACAATGGTACCGTTCCACAAGGCCATGCGGACCTTGCGAAGGGCGTCACTGGTCAAACCGTGGAGTCCTTGAAGACGTCCAAGACCACCACCGAGCATGGCACCAGTGGCGCCGACGCAGCCACAAGCTCCAACAGCTGGGGATAGTTGTCAGTACAAACACATGACAATTGTATTTGGTTGTACTCACTCAGCTCTCTGCCGGCGGCACCGACACCGTCAACAAAGTCTTGGAAAAGCGCACCACTGCCGACGACAACCGTGCCGTCGTCCTCGATGTTGACATAGTTGAAGTTCTCCATGTTGATCAAGACGGCGTCTTGGACCGAGGACAGGGTGATGGAGTATCCGTGACCTCCAGACTTTGCCAGCCAGCTCATGTTGTTGCTGGACATGTATTCCAGCTATACGCCACATTGTTTAGTTTAGACATCTCGACCAAGACCATGTCAACAGTCGTCTGGAGGTGATGTCAACTTACACCAAGAGAAAGTTCCTCCTCTGATTGAGGAAGGAATACCTCATCAAAGGTAGGAGCTTGGTATGTAGACCATCTCTCCGTCTTGGCCGCGAAGTCGCTCCAGGATGCATCATGCACATCGGCGGCCACTTCTGTTGGCCAAACCGAGGAGTTTGTCGGGTTTGTCGTCGGGTATGCATGTGTAATGTAATCCCTGAGTTTGAGGGGCTTGCCAAAAGCCGTTTGGCTGATAGCCAGGAGCACTGGCAGTGCTTGGAGAGCGAAAGGAGCCATTGATTACTGTTAAAGAACGCGATTCTCGATTGAAGCTACTAAAGAAGGATTGTAATTAAACTATGGCGTCTATCTGGGAGTTTCTTTTCATTCTTGCAAGGTTCCAATCTCGTTTTATAAGTTTTGCTCGCCTTCTCCATAGACGTATTCGAATAGCCATCCGGAATTGGCGAAGTACGTTGGCATAACTCTCCGGTGAGTGTGGTGGTGAATCCGCCTTCATCCTTTCGACGGCTGTGCGGTCGCGTCCGCCTGATCATGCCCTACCCAGAGCCATATCCATCGTGAGGAAGTTGATGAATAAAGGATCAGGGCGCGACTCCCAGATCAATAATGCGTCTTCTAAGCGACGCCTCATCAGCCCACGATAGGGCTGAGAGCCGCTTCAGCTGGCCAAGAATAGGAAGCCTCATTGTTCCTAACATTAACTTCAGCTTGCGAACAGTGCTGGGAGGCCTTGTCCGAGATCCAGATTATGGGAGTGGTGGTGCACGGGCACAGGCACCAGCACATCCTCAGCATGACAAAGTCGGGTCCCGGATGACCTAACTCGGGGCCCGCGTTATGGTGGCCTATCACTGGTATGTAGCCTCAACAATGGCGACAGCAATACATTACGGTCCCGAATCCCTCAAAAATAGACTGAATCGAGACCAGGTCATGATCCTTCCTCGCGAATCAATGCCTACGTACCTACCTGCCTAGATCCTACTCACCGGGGAACTAGGTATCACATGATCAAGCCTTGCGCGCGCATGACTTTGATAAACATCCTCCAGGGTCCAGCCACTTGAACCTTACTTAAGCCACTAGGGAAATGGATTTATTGGATAACCGATATCATATATCGTGAACAATTGTGGAGAATAATCTAGATTGGACAGCATGACTAGACTTGGTTTCACGGCGTAACTTCATAAACCCCCAATTTAGCACTTTCGGGGTACACGGAAGGACAGGCAGACGTAAGCAATTCGGCGCAGTGCTTGCTGATTCAACATTAAACTCGTCAATAATCTTGGCATCAGACTCCTTGTTGCTCAGTCGCGACTTTGTGGCACGCACACAAATTTAAAAATACTTATCTGATTGGCCGACGGCGCCAGCTGAGACATGCAATGGAAATCCGATTGGCGTGCTTACGCTCGGTTGCCCGCGGCCCCCAGCAGGTACCGAGCCTGATTCGCTGGCCTGATGGCGGCACAGCATACATCGGCTTTACGAACCCTTAAAATGCCAGACAAAGCCGATGTTCTGCAGGCGCTGTCCTTAAAAATAAGCGAAACAAAGATTGCAATCGCGGCGAGGAAGTCGCCTTGCTTTCTCACTCAAGCTCGCGACACTTCATTCTTCACCACCACCTCCACCGCAAAACCAGTGTTCTACTGATTCATCAACGATTGTATAGCATCACATCAAAATTCTATACAAGATGGCGGTAATGCTCAAGTTGGCTGCTGAGCAGTACAAGACGTTGCCCATTCTGGCCAACGAGTCTACCTGCTCAGGAAAGATTTACATTGTCACGGGTAGCAACAGCGGACTAGGTCTGGAGACTGCGCGCCATCTCGTCGAGTTTAAAGCTGCCCGTGTCATTCTGGGTGTCCGCAATCTCACAGCGGGAGAAAATGCAAAGAAGGAGATTGAAAACACGACGGGTCGCAAGGGAGTGATAGACGTAAGTGCTGTTGACTAAAGAGCCATGCGCTTCTATACATACTTACACGTGAAATCTAGGTGTGGCACGTTGACATGGCCTCTTATGCCTCTGTTCAAGCGTTTGCCAAGAAAGCATCGACTGAACTAGACAGAATTGATGGCGTTGTCGCCAATGCCGGAATCATGGTGGACCAGTGGGAGCCCGTCGAGGGCATGGAGAGCGGCATTCAGATCAATGTCGTGAGCACATTGTTTCTCGGAGCCCTAATGGTCCCCAAACTTAGCGAGGTTTCGAAAAAGTTCAACATCAAGCCGACTTTGGTTTTCATAGTCAGTGTTCTAGGCTACACGGCAAAGGCGGAGATGGACAAGAATCGCAATGGCGATATTTTTGCCAACCTCAATGACCAGAAGCGCGCCGACATGGATCAACGGTAAGTCATTTTGACGTCCAAAGCCCAAATTTCCTGTCCGACGAGCTAAAACATGACCAAAACAGCTACGCTCTGACAAAGCTCGTGGAAGAGTTTGCCGTCCGCGAGTTTGCAAAGTTCTGCCCTGTGGAGCGCACAGGAGTAGTTATTGCTCTTGTAGCACCCGGTCTCTGCTCGACTGGCCTAGGCAAGGATGCGCGCACTTTTACCAAGATCATGCACGGCGGCATCAAGGCCATGATGGCACGAACCGCCGAGGTGGGAAGCCGCACCATCCTCCACGCCCTGATTGTTGGCGAGGAAGGCCATGGCAAGCTCTTGTCGGGGTGCAAGATCAAGGAATACTGGGTGCCCGACTGGATCAGCAACTCCGAGGGCCAACAGTTGCAGCAACGCATATGGAAGGGCCTGGTCGACAAGCTAGAGAAGGTTCAGCCTGGCTCTATTACACAGCTCTCATAGGTATTTCGTTCGTGTCAGTAACACCCTTATCTCTAATTTTTCCTTACATAGATACCAAAGATTTCTGCATGGGTACAAAAGTTCTTGTGTATGCGTACGTGCATGGTGATAGCACTTCTGCCTACATCCAGCTCCAGTGTAATGTACCACTTGAAGGTGGTAAAAGGTCGCTTAATGCCAAGGTGTACTCACAACAACTTTCGTTGATTCGACGGCCTCTCTTCAATGGTGGGGCGCGGGGAGGGAGGGGCACATGAAGCTAGTTCAAAAGGCCCCGGCAATGCAACTTAATGCAATGCAACGGAACGCTGACAGCTGGATGATCTGATGCTTCTCCCCGCCAAGCCCGTCTCTTTTTCCCTTGATGTGATGACTGTGACTCTTTTGCATAACATTGGCATCTTCTCTGTCGCTCGCAAGCTCGTGATCAATGCCAAGCCCTGTGGGTAATGGGTGAGCTTGTATTCCAGGCATCTCTAGCACGTCGCAGAAGTACTGTGGGCGCTAACAGACAAGCACCGTAGGGCCCTGCTATTCGTCAACGTAAACCAGCCGGGGATACCAGGTGCTGCGCCTGCGCGGAGGGCGGCCCGGTCGCATGCCGCGAGATCGGGACACGCCAGAACGAGACGGCAGCGCATGCGCGAATACCAGGACCGGACCACACGGACGACACAGGGCCTATCGGAGCTCACTGTACACCAAGAGGCTCCGATCGTCGTCTCTCAAGTACCGCTGCACAGGCTAGAACGCGCTGGCCTCGTCGGTACTGCGCTTCCCACCCGCGAGGACGCGTTTGATTCATCCTGTCGAACACTGTCGTCCTTTGAGCATCGTCTATTCGATCACTGTGTGTATTTTCCCCACCTTTTCTCCCGCAGCCTCGAGCCTTACCAAGCTGAATCGCTGACTCGATTCAAGACATTCGCTTTGCCGTACCATTCAAGGCGCGCCACAGCCAGCAGTTTACAACTCCCGAGTTATTCCAGCATAGTATCTCGACGCTATGGGTTCCCACAGCCATTGCGGACCTGGGTCTGCTCAGCGGTGTCTTGCTCTATGCCTGCCGCAGTCTTCACATGCTGACAAATGATCGACGGTACTATGAGCTTGCGCTCCACTATAAGCTAGAATGCCTGAGGCTGCTGCAAGAAGGCATTTCTTTAGCCACCATGGACGACCCTACCATGGACATAATTATATCCAGGGCCCTCCAATTAGCTTCTGATGAGGTTCGGCATGATTTCCCCCACCACTCTGTGGTTACCAGACTACTGACGTTGCAAACATAGCTTGCACTAGGTGATGTGCCCACATGTAAAAGTCACATGGACGCCGTCGTACGCATGGTGGTGTTGAAGGGTGGAATAAACAAGATTGATGCAATGCATGGCTTCTTGAAGCAGATGGTGTTGGCATTTACACGCTCGGAACATTTACAGGAGGCAAACAGGACAATACAAGGAGCATGATTGGCCAGGTTTAACAGCGAGCACCATGTTCCTTATTAATACTGCAAAACTTGTCGGATCGTAAATGCTAGCGGCGGATCAGGCCGAAGGGGGGTGGAACCAGCCGTCCTTCTAAACCGATCACGGTATACGAGCCTTAACCAATACGGGACTTCACTGCATTATAAAACCTCCGCATAGGGGATTACCGTGAGAGTGCTGTTTTCCTGGGCGGCATGCGTTATAGGGTGTCGGCAAAAGCCTAGGCCCAGATACTATGGTGGGCCGAGTAGGATGGCGGCTTTGATGGGATTCGGAAAAACCGGTAGAATGCCAAGCTTTGCATTGTCTATTCAGGGACAAGTCTAAGTCGAGGTGATCCATGATTGTTCGATTCATACTTCTCCAGTTTCCACTCTGGCGATCATCGCTTTGGATGATGTCGGCATATCAAACATCGAAAGATCGAAAAGCAAAGGCGTCCTTGATGGACTACGAATTTTTCAATCTGTATAAATAGAGGTTAAATCTGCCCAACAAATTTATATGATAGCTCATTCTACAAGCGTATCTTGACGAATCAAAAGTCACAGCATTTGTACGACACACTGAATTTCGTTCTTTCACTTATACCCTTCACAATTCTATAAACTGGCTCACATTTCTAGGCCATGTCCAGATACGTCGATTCGCACAAGAGCCCCAATGGACCCGGTGATGCGCGACCGACGGCCATGCAAGTTGTCGAGGATGAGGGCAGACTTGGGACAATGACCGACAAGGTAGGTAGCCAATCGTCATTGACCCAAAGGCCCAAGAAATTAACAGCCTACTAGGTTTTTCTAGTAACTGGCGCTTCGTCCGGCATTGGGATCGAAACAGCCCGCGCCATGGCTGCAACAGGCGCAAGAGTCTTTCTCGCCGTACGATCTCTGGAAAAGGGGCAACAGGCCTGCGCCGATTTCTTGGATCCAGGGCGCGTGGAACTTGTCGAATGTGACATAAGCTCCCTGGAGTCCGTCAGAAAGGCAGCCACCGAATTTCTTGCAAAGTCTCAGACTCTCAATGTCTTGGTCTGCAATGCCGGCATCATGATGGTGCCACAACGAGAGGAGTCTGCTGATGGCTATGAGAGCCAGCTCGCAACAAACTATCTGGGCCACTTTCTCCTCTTTTGGCTTCTGCGCGATGCCATGGTCAAGTGCTCAACGACCGATTTCAAATCACGTCTGGTAAATGTTTCCAGCAGTGGACACCACGCCTCTGAAATCCAGTTTGACGACTTCAATCTTACAAAAGATGGCGCATATGATCCCATCAAGGCCTATGGGCGGAGCAAGCTTGCTCAGATATACATGTCCAACTACATTGACCGGGTCTATGGCTCTCGCGGCCTCCATTCCCTCAGCGTGATGCCAGGAAGCATCTTGACCAACTTGCATCAGCACATCCCCGAGTCTGTCTAGGCCGGCTGGACCGAGAACGAGTCCTTGGTGAAGTGGATGAAGAGTCCCCAACAAGGTGCCGCCACGACTGTTCTGGCTGCCCTTAGTCGCGAGTGAGAGGGTAAAGGGGGGAAATATCTCGAAGACTGTAATGTTGCCCCCGTCTCTCCCCTTGTCTATGGTGTCAAAGGTGTGGAGGATTATGCTTATGACCAGACGAAGGAGGATAGACTCTTCCGTATGACTATTGCGTTGCTGAAGCTGGAGGAATCAGTTTGATATTAAAGATTGGCCATAGTCACCTCACAGCTGTACAATCGAATTGTTTCTAATATGTTTGCTCAGACAATTGATTTTTATAATCATCTCCGGGTATAAACCAACTCTGTGACTGATCTGCTTTGTCATTTTCATGTTGACGCATTGTGAACCATATTTCACGTGTCTTTCACCAAGTATAAGTCAATAGCTTGTTGACCTCCCTATGGTCTTTTCGTCCGATCACTTGTCACTCTGAGATATAATTCACACATCCACTGTATACTCTCGGACACTTCAGCTTTCTATGATCATGGTGTTCGTGATGACTTGTGGTTATTTTGGCGAATTGGCACTCTTATCAATCCACCATTTCCTCCACCGTCAAGATCTCGCCTGGTCGTCGGCGGCCAACCTCACGATCCCACTGTCGCCGACGACTTGGACTGTTAGTGATCCAGCTCTTGTTTCTGTACTTTCCCTGTCCAGTTTCAAGCAGCAGCCGCATTTGCGGCTGAGCTACAATTACTCTGGTCTCCGCTTGAGCCCTAATGCGCGGCTGAGCACGCGGGTCCTTGATGCACAGTTTTATCCGCCTTGACCTCTCACCTGTGGACAATTTGTTGTTTCCCTTCTTTCCATCCAGATGCGAACAGACTCTTTCATTCTCACTGTCCACAATCAGCAGAAGCCATCCACAACCACCTTCAATTCGAATCATTCTGCCTTTCTGGACATTCCAAGACACACGCCATCTTTGCGAACACATTCCCAGATACCAGAACATCAGTTTACGCCCCGGTCTTCAAGACAAGCTTCAAGTTTCTCCAGTCGTTTCCTATCACTCCCACCAGTCTACTTTTCTCAAATCTCCGAATCAAGGTCTCTTCGTCGCTGATTCTATCTCATCGCGAAGATCAACCCGCTGTTCCGAATCCCCTCGTACACCTTCAACTCAACCTCCACGAACACTTGAATCCCACGTCAGACTCGAACGACTTGACTTCGATACTCAGCGACCACGACTCTAGCAGTTTTCTCGATACCCTATACCCTCCCTTCCGCACGTCATCTGTATCCGAACATCAACGCTGATCTCTGGTGTATCACCATCTCCACATACTCGAACGTTTTCCAACGAGACGCAAAGCATCACAAGTTCCTCTAACATTCGATTCCGGTCGGTCGGCATCTGATCCAAGAACTCTTAGCCACGCAAGCCAACGTTCATCAACGCCTCAACCACGTACGACAACGGCTTCACAATGGCTATGATTCATGTCGAAGACGAAGACCATGTCACCAGAGATGACAACGGCAACCTGATTCTGCGCCCTGGCATACGTATGTTGCCCATTGAATACCACGAGGCTTATGACGACTACAACTACGAATACCATGGATACCTCGAGATGTTCACGACGCCCATCGTCCAGCCAGGTTCCGAGGATCCGTTTCCCGTCCCGCGTCGCACTGGCCATTTCGCTGCACGCGCACCGGCCCATTGGCAGCTCATGAATCCCCTGCAGGCCCCCAACAACAATCCTCCTGCCAATGACGCCAGTATTCCGGCTGACAACATCGAGTCCCGTCCCGTTGACGCGGAGTCCAACCTCGGTGGTGGTGATGGTTCAGTTGCTGCTGTAAGTCTGTTTTCGCTTCGATTGTTCTTTTGGTTCTGTACATGTGCAAATAGCACTCTGCACCACAATATATACTACTCATCTTCTTTACAACTATCACTTTCTTCCTTTTTCATCACAATAATCTTTTCTTTGTTCTGGTGCTGTGCACAATCGTTTCTGGGTTGTTCATAGTCAGACGTGTGCAGGAGATGGCCGCCAAGTGGCATGTCGAGCTGGTCACTTGCTCGCACCACGGCAGTATGAGCTCCTATCCCATCCTAACGCTACAGGGTCAGTATAACAGCTGGCAGAATAAGCATTCTGCCGGCCGGGCATCTTGACCGCCTTGGCACCCCGCCGCTTGGTGTTTGACCGCCTAGCGCGCTGCTGGTGACAGCCTCGTTTGCAATCGGCCAGCACCCGCCTTTTGAGTATTTATGGAAGGCTTTTAGCGCGTTCAATTCCATTTCATTTTTTTTTTCTCACCAAGCCTCTCCATTCATTACCTCAGGAGAAGCATCACGATACGTTTGGTTCCTGCATACGAAAAGTCTACAAGCAAGACCATAAAACAATTCACATTTTCTTCGTCCAAATCATCATCCAACGGAACAAAATCTCTCCATCCCTTGACTCCCACACCGCCTCGATCAATCATGTCCGAACACGGCAGCGATACACCTCAAGAGGACCACATCAACCACGAGGACGGCAGTCCACTCAACCGCCCACGAGATCGCCCTCTGGCCACTACAGAGCATCTCAGAGTACGCGCGCTTGAGCTCGCCGGTGCAGCACGAGAGTTCTCTCGAGTGTTTTTGGCGTTTGCTCAGGCCGCGGATGATTTCGCTCGGCAAGCTGGAGCAGGAGACGAGGTTGATTTCCCCTTTTCTCTAGAATCAGTCTTTCGAACCACAGACCTCACGTTGGTTATTTTGAGCCACGTGTTGCATTTCTTTCACACTTTTCTCTCTATTTCGTTGTTTTCTTTCTCTTTTCAAGTAGAAACCCCTTCTTGCCCTCATATCAAATGCTAACATATTGTTTTCTCTCCAAGCAGAATCTCGACGACGATGAAGTCGATCGAGAGCCTTCTCCGGCTCCTGCTCCCGCGCCGGCTCCCGCAGCAGCTCCGGCTGCTGGAACTCCTGGCTGCCCGGTGTGCGACAAGAAGGGGAAGGATGCGAACACCCCAAAGCACTTGGTCACCCACGTGACCAAGTGCTATGTCGAGGGGTGTCCCGACCAGAACCCCGACTTCGAAGGCCGGAACGGTGCGGCAAGGTTGGGCAGCCACCTGGTGGACGTCCACCACCACGGTGTCTGCGAGTGGCCGTGTCAGTGGCCGGAGTGCACCAACCGCTCGCAGTGGAGCGACCCCAGGCATCTGAAGTGTGAGTATTTCTAGACGTTTTTCTCTCTTTCGCCACCGTGACTTTTCTTTTTATGCAGAGAGAAAGAAAAGGAGAGAGACAGAAACTCTTTCTTTAACCTTTTGATATAGTTCTTGGCTAATATCCTTTATGCAGTCCATCTCAGACTCCACAACTACGACCTCGGCATTAAGGCAGCCGAGGCCGAGGAAGAGGAGGAGGCAGAGGAAGAGGAAGAGGAAGAGGAAGAGGAAGAGGAAGAGGAGGATGAGATGGAGGAGGAAGAGGAAGAGGAAGAGGAGGATGAGATGGAGGAGGAGGAGTAGGGGGTTGTTGGTTGGGGGTGAGGTTCGAGTCCTCGGACACTATGACAGGATGCGGTTTGGTTTGGTTTTGCGTTTTGTTTGCTTTTTATTTCTGCCCCGGCCGATGATACCAGCGGCCTGAGGGCCTTCGTCAATTGAGTTCGCTTTCTTCCCACCAAAACTATGAACTTGATTGTGACTCCTTTTTGCTATATGATGGGATTTGAAAACTTGGACAGTTGACCATCACCAGTGCCAGGAGCAGACCTGCCGGAATGGTAATTAATCCTCGGGGAAATGGCCGAACTATTCTTCATTTCCCTGTCACTCACGACGATGGAAGTTTCGACTCGCTTAGGTGGATGGCGGGTTGACCGGCTTTGGGCACCTGGTGTACTCTGAGGCAATCAGAATGTACCTTGACAGGGATGACTGCTCTCTGGATGATGAAAATAATAAGGGAAAGCAAGGCGAAAATAAGATGGATGAGAAGTCGGGAGCAGGGTGGACGCACTTTCTACTGCACGACATCCGTTCCATCATAGCGTCGGGAAATCGATTGTTCTTTTGGCTTTTGACTTTATATACATCATCGTTTTGTCCAGAGTCATATTATTTATACTGCAACTAACAACACAAGAGCCTCAATGAAAGGCGCCGATTGGAAACACCTTCAATAACAACAAAGTCGCCACAAATGGTCTCGCCCGGCCAAGTCAAGACTCCACCACACAGTTGCGAAGACGCGCAGAAGCCCGCCACTGGTATCGCCGCATTACCAGCACGAACAAAGGTCACTAGGGTTGGCTGAAACAGGGATCCGACGAGATGATACGGCAAATAAACGTCAGTGCGAAGGGAGATCCACCCCTTTTCACCCATCAGAAGATGGCTCCGGCAGCGGTATAATAATTCTTCACAACTAAGTTGCGATACCCTCAGCCTGACAACAGATGCCTGAGATCAATCTCTGCATCTCTCTACCTCTTTTGAAAGTATGACCAACTTGATTTCGAATAAATTGCTCCAAGTCAGGGAATAAGCCCAAGACAAATGAACCTGTGGTAAATGCAAAGTAGATGCTGAAACAAGAGCGAGAGATTGGCAAGATAAAGTCACAGAATGACACTCTCAGCACACAGGTCAATGAAAAGGCAGAGGCGTGGAACAAACTGCATACAGAGTTTGGAGCATACAGTTTGGCCACGAATACAACCAAGGTCAAGATTACCTGCGAACCAACGAACGCAGCAGCACTTTTCCAGACAGGAATACCAAACACGGTTCCTACTCAACGGCTGTCCACAAGAAGCACGGTCGAAGACTCTGGACCGCAGTGCTAACTGTCGCGCCGCCTAAGCAATGCATCAATGATGCCAACCTGAAAGATCTCCTTATTTATTAGCACACTCGCCAGTCAGTTCTGCGCTGCAATGACAAGGAGGATTGTTGCCCAATGTTCCATCATCCACTAAAACGAGACGGCGACCTATTTACATGGAGTTTGGTGCTCAACATTCGCAACACAGAATGGAGACATCCAACGGTCTCGTAGCACAAATCTGGCATGATGTTATTCTGCCATTTAGCATATGATCATTTATATATCCCTGAAATTATTACACCATACCATTCCCTTGCAACACGCGTCTCTCTTATCCTGTCAAAGGATAGTTCGTCGCTTCCTGGTTGTGCACATGGCCCATGTACCTGGAAATACAAAGGCACCATGGAGCTCCCAGGTAATAGGAGCTCCTCATGCAACAACACCGTTGTCATTTGCTAGGCACCACACTAAGCTTTTCTGCCTTCTTCTCTTTTGAGCCACATTTCTTAGCCACACTTTTCCAGCCAACCATGTGTGCAATTCTGAGTAACTGAAGGAATTCTACGCCCGGTGGACTCATCTATTTTTCTTTGTTTAATATATGTCAAATGACAGGCAGTTCCAAATATGATTAAATGTACGATCTGAACGTAAAGAGTAACTATATGGCACAGAACGAGAAAGGATGATTCTGCGTCGCCAATATGCACAAGGATTAAATATCATGCACGCTACATATGACCGCCTGGCGGGATTCATTAAGCACTTATCGCCCTGTTGGCTGGCAGAATTTTGCCGCATCTGGAATTCTGCCGTTCGCCGCCTAACGACCGCGGGGACTAGCTTTTTGACCGCCCGCCCAGGCGCCGTGATAGCTTCATTCATAATCAGCCTGCCCCACAAGGGATGTCTATTTATTCTAGGTTGCAGACACTAGTTTCAATCTTCTTTTTTTTTTCTTGTCGCATTGTGGTCTACCTTTAATCATTCAATAAAGGTCTTCACGGAAATCACGCTGACATCGATCACATACCCTGACAAGAACCATTGTTCCGACGACTGAAGCCATTTATCTAACAACGCTGCACTGTCCCACCGCTGCGTGGTCTCTACGATAATGACACAGGTAACTGTCCCATCTTTACCTGTCCGCCCTCCTGCAACCATTCATTTTGCGTTCTTTGTAAAATAATTTGATTGCTAAAGTTATTCTTTTTTCTCTCCCCAGACTTCGGATGGTCAGAACACACAGCAGGTCCAACAGAACTCGCAGATCCAGCAGATCCTGCACGTCCAGCAGGTTATGCAGACGCAGCAGAACCTATAGATGCAGGAGAACCAGCAGCCTCAGCAGGGAACCCAACCGCAGCGTGGACGTCGTCGTCGCCGCTCCAACCACCCTTGCCCCGAGGCTGGGTGCACCACTGGTGACGGGTCTGAACGCCATGTGGTAACCCATACAAACGACTGCAGAGTTCAGGGCTGCCCGGACGGCAACCCGACCTTTGGCAGCAACCACGAACTCGGACAACACCTCATTCTTGTCCACAATCAGGGCAGCATGACAGCATGCCACTGGCCAGGATGCACAGCAAACGGACAGCGTTCTCCTGCCAATCACAACTGTGAGTAATGCCAATCCTGCTTCCGCTTATTTGACGTATTGTCCTCTCGGAAATTACCTGAGCATCTCAATCGAATGTCACTATCTTAACATTATCACTAATTCTGCAAACATCGCAGTGCACGTTCGCCTACACAACCACAGGTTGTAGGTGACAATCGTTGTACCAACTGCGGGAAGGGCAATCAAGCCATGAAAGCTGTGTTTTGAGGGTGGTTTTGGTAGAAGTGGCAATGATCAGTTTCCTTAATGAACCACAATCTCCAGCCCAGAATTGACTTTCTTTCAGCGCTCTCTTGGTGCATCCTGGTCGCTTTACTATACAACCGTGATCTGACCTTCTTATTTCTTCTTACAGATCAGCGACGTACTGACATGTCAATTTATTGGCTACAAGTATCAAAGAACACTAATTTCCCATCTTTCTTAAACTTCTTGAAAAGAAATACGGTGAACTATTCACAAAGAGTCGGGGCTGAAAATTCTCAGCGGAGAATCGGGACAGCCTGCCGGCCCATAGCATGAGTCAATTCTGCCGTTCAGGTCTAGCCATCCGTACAAACCTGAATTCATGTTGGCACACCATAATGCATCTTAGAAAGCTGATTGCTCTTATTCTTTGACAGGGGTAATCCGTCGCCTTGTGGCCTTGCGCCACAAAGAGCCACAGACGGCCCTAGCCGGGCTGCAACCTCCCCCTAACCCTACACCAGCACTATGGACCTTCGGGTAAGGGTCTCATGCCAAGGGTACCGCAGTATTTGGTTTTTCCGTCCTGGACGCTTCGCAGCTTTTGTTTAATACACTACCTTTCCGTAAAGATGTCCCTTAGTGCGATCTCATTTTCGTTTGCTTACTATCTTTGAAATGATAGTAAGTTGAAAATTACAATGAATTTATTGAAAATATTAATACTAAATATGCAGGATGAGATAAAACATGATTATTTATATCTTTGTGACAGACCAAACCGCTGCACTAGCCGAATAAAATGTGAAGTTCCACACTAGGGACTACATAGCCTAATAGTGGTTATATAGTACGACGCAATGCTCTGTTACGAATTGCACAAGTATAAAATGCATATATATAATGCATGCTAAATATAACCGCCTCGCAGAATTTCGCCGGTTAGGAGTTTTGCTATTCAATGTTCGCCTCCAGAAAATCACGCGCTTTGGCTTTTTCACCACCCGCCCAGGCGCGGTGACAGCTTCACCTTCAATCAGCCAGCCCCACCTGGAAGTACTATTTCTCGGGTTGTGGACGGCGGCTTCAATCCTTTTTCTTTTGTCCTCTTCCATCGACCGGTATCTTTTATTCATTAAGACCCCCTACAAGCTCAACTAATCAATCAACACTGTTCTAACAGACGATGGCACAACCCAATCCTACCCAGCCTGTAACTGGCGATCCTGCTGCACAACAGGTACCCATCCCATCTCTACCCAACTATCCTTCAGTCTCATTTAATCTGTAATCATTCTGGTATCTTTTTGCCAGACTTTATATTGCGCCGTACCATATAACCACTATTAGGCTAGTTCCTAGTGTGGAGCTTCACATTTTGTTCAGCTAGCGCAGTGGTTTGGTGCGTCACTTTACTAATGCTATTGTCTATCATTAGGGCTCCACCGGTCAACCGTCGCAGCCTTCCAATCCGAACTAGCCGCAGCAGGCTGAACCTCAAATCGCTAGTCCTGCAGGACGTCGCCGAACTGCAAATCCCTACCCAGTCACTGGATGCAGTGGCGATGCTTCACAACATCATGCCGTGACGCACACTCTGAGTTGCAAAGTGCCTGGCTGCATTGATGGAAACCCGACTGTTGCTACTGGTCGCTTGCTTGACCAGCATCTACTGAAGACTCATAACCAAGGCGATATGGGCGGCTACCATTGGGCAGGCTCCTCTACCAATGGCAGCTGTGCCGCTGCCAACCACTTACATACGTTGGAGGCTTTTTGTTGACATCTAAGCTCATTGCTCCATCGCTCTCACTGGCAACATTTTTGCTAAGATACAAGAATTAGTTCACCTCAGACTCCATAATCACAAAGTCTGAAATGGATGTGATAGTACATCTTTCACATCCTGCCTTCGCGGCCCGTTGCCGTCGCTTCGGCGCACTCTTGGAGGACTCTCCAAAGAAGAAGCACACCTTCTTCGAGGAGTAAGCGGGACTACACTAAGACTGTTTTCAATTTGCACCCCGGCCAGACCTGTACTAAGACCATGAGAAAACTAGTTTCAAACTAGTCTAAACCCTGTTTTCCCGGATTATTGAATATGATGTGTAAAACTAATCTGAAAGTGATGTGAATGTATATTAGATATAATGTATACCATTAGGGTATCGGGGAATCGTGTATGGAGGTAACGAGGAAGCTGCTATGGAGTGCAATGCTTTAGGCAATGGTAGATTGAGCAGTATCCCGCTTCGTTCAGCTAAGCAATGCACCTTTTATTTTCTGAGGAAGCGTGGAGGTGTTTGGCATATTGGTTGCACGGCACGGGGGGATCAATGTTATATGGAGAGAGAGAATGGTTAGGGGTGCCTAGGTAGGTTTGTACGTAATCTTAATTATGGCGAGGGACACCGGCTATACGTATCGGCATGTGGGAAATAGGGAATATTAATATGTGCATGTGACGACTCGTGAGTATTGGATCTGCGGGACCATGATGCATGTAGAAGGGGAACCTGGCTGTAGCTATAGAGACTCCCGAGGTCTCCCCTTGTCATTGATCTTAACAGCTGCCCAGGGCCCCTCCATGGAGATGGGGCCAGTCTGGGCGCATGTAAAAATGGCGGAAAGGAATGAATAGTACCTAGTAGTCAAGTGGAGCTATATCGCCATGGATCCTGCTTTGCTCTTTCCTGTCACGGGTCAACTTTGCGGCTGTTGATTTCGTGGTCTTTCGGCGCTGTCTCCATCATCTTCATAGGTGATGGTGTAAAACAGATTGCTGGCTGTGCCCCAAATGTTGCTTGTGTTTTCGAGGGATTTGACCTTGTGGCTATCCATGAACGAAGTTGGCTTGCGTCACAAGTGAGGACGATTGGCGCGAGTCAAAGAACTGGTCGGACAGTCTCAAACGTGGAAAACTTGACGTCGGGAAGGCGCTCTCGATAGAGTCTATGGGCCAGGCGGCTCGTTCTGTTGGAGATTTCAACGATATTAGTGATCAAGGGAGGCTTGACAAAGTCATTTCGGGTATAGTCTTTGAGGCCATCATCCGGTCTTGAAAAAAAGCCTTCGATGCGACTACGGAAATGTTAACATGTCATCACTTGCTTGAAGTGAGATATTATACATGTATATATATATATAACTTGACACTATGTCAATTGGTAGGAGGATGCATATATAACAATTATAGAGAACTAATCCAACGTCATTAGCGCAGGCGCTAATGACAGAACGGTTATACAATCTTGCGACTAGTTCGGGCTGTGCCCACCGCCGATCATATAAAAATACCACGCTAATATACGTCATTCCTTACTTCTTTGTGATTGACCGTATAATCCCCAACCAACACTGGTACAGCATACTCACGCCAATAGGAACAAATCCACGTTTTCCTTCACACGGTACTGAGGTAGCTCATGCATACTTTTAACACATGACTGTGAAGAGATTTTTGTTTCCGCTTTATCTGGAGTGACGATAACACGGCAATAGACTTCTCAAAGTAAACGTCCCTATTATTTCCTTATTGTCCATCGCATTATCAAACTTTGTTTATCCAGGATACCAGACTTGCATGTTTGTTTAGGTTGGGTGAATGATACCTAAAGGGCATAATACTACTGACCCGTGCATGTCATTCAACATCCTCAAGTGAAAGACTGAAAATGACAGGACAATCAGATGAGTAGTGCAAGGAATGACTGTTGCATTACCTTTTCATTGTTGCGACTAAGCGATGCCTTGACAACAACACGTATATCATTTGTCGTCCCATCATTTGGAAAGTCTGCCATCAATCGTCCGATCAATTGGAAGTGGTTTGGCATTAGTCGTCTGATCAATTGGAAATGGTTTACAACTGCTTCCATATTATCCATATCTTCCCCTGCCATCCGAATCTTTCGACCAAATTCTTCGTTGCATCGACTCCGGCCATTCAAGTCGATCAGTACAACTCAATACAAAGATCCAACAGCTTTCATATGCAATCGTCACCGCAAACTACATTGATTATCAACTTGTTCGAAGGACAACAAACGATGGCCTGCCGACCGCAGATACAACACCCTTGGGTTTTCACACCGAGAATCACCATGACGGATCTATTCCCTTCTCCTCAGTCAATACGCAATCACGTCCAATCATCAATCGACGAACATGGCTCCGCATCATCTCTGGAAATTCAGGAAGGAGGAGTAGCAATCAAGCCGAGAACACCCTTTGCGCATTTCTTCTCTTTGATCTTCCATATGCTCATTGCTGACACGATCGGTTTCTCTAACAGACTCCTCACCAACCACAAGAATACTAGGCTCGCCAGATCAACCGACGCTCGATCCATCGGTGGCCGCACCCCGATTACAACGGCGATACAAGTAGGAGACATGTGATAGTCCCTTGCACTGCTCTGTTGTCGATGACTTCCTCCAGTCGCAACCCGTCGTTCCGCGAGGGCCGCGCCCTAGCAGCCATTCTAGTCCGCTTTCACAGCCAAATCGACATGGCAGCGTGCCACTGGTCCAACTATGCCAGCAAGGGTAGACATGTAGGTAGGTGGGCAGTGGTATTCAACACCGGGGCAGGCTGGCGAAGCGAGTTGAAGCAGGATATCACGTGGGTGCACGAGACCTGCTAGGCTAGGTTCTACATGAAGGTATTCAGAGTCCTCCATCTACAGTGTACTTCATCGAAGCTCGTTCCATCCCCTCTCCGACCTAGCAACGTGTAAGCTTGTGGTGGTTGTCTTTACAGCCCGCCGTCCTCGTGCCAATGACGTCTGCCAACGGAGAAGCATTCGCCTATGGCCGCTGGGGGGAGAGAGTCACGTCGGCAAGTGAAGATCCTGCTTGTTCCTCTACTCTGCCATGTTTGACAATACTACCAGCTTCTACAACCATGATTATAGTGCACCTATGCTTGCATAACCACTGCCTGGCATCACTGGTTGATTGAGACCTTGGTAGAGACAAAGGAGACAGCAAGGACGAACGCTTCCTCGACTGACTCTTGTCTGAGTGCTTCTAAATGGTATTCATGTGAGAACCGAACATATTTCCCTTTTCCATTTTCAAATGTTATTTTACACGCGTCACTTATGGTGGAACACTGTCCTTGAGTTGTCGCAATTATTACCACGTTTGCAACTGGCTGGGCCACTGGAACAATCTACTCATTAGAAGTCCGAACAATGGCTTTGGCTTTTCCGTCTTCCCGTTTCCACTCTTTCCACTCGCGTGACACTACGGCTTTCCTGTTTGAAGAATAAAGTGCTGGAGGCGACGGACAGGATGTCTGTGTCTAGGAGTGGCAGCCTGCCCTCGTCCTCTAGTGAGTCAGGTCCGTTGGTAAATGGAAAAGACACATGTACATTATCACAGTTCCAAACAGTCAGAATACTAACTACACCACAAACTGGCAAACGGTCGAAGCAAGTAGCATCTCAACATTGTGAGGACATCGCATAGTGTCGAGGAGGTAGGGAGAGAGGACTGTAGTGACTTGAGTGCTACGTAAGTAAAGGAAATCTACAAGTTCTCACATAATGATGTTCCTTACACAAATCATGCAACGATGCAATTATTGAATTGCAATTTTCATCTAATATGTTCATGCACACGTGACCTGTGTGTGGATTCCGTCTTGCGAGTTGCCGTAGTGGCATCCAGTGGCCAGTTGATTCAAAGCTAGCCAGATGCTGTGCGCGAGGTTTATTTATTCGGCCCTGTAGCAGCTTTGACCTTTTCTTTCCAGTCCTTTACCTCATTCACCAAGCCAAAATTTTCCAATCCTTCACCAATTAAGAGTGACGGCTTTCCAATACTTCGCCCATCAAACAAGTCACGGGTTGCCCTTCCAAGACACAGCAACCAATCTACAACTTTCCAATCCCATACGTCAACATCAACAAGTCACAACTTTCCCTCGCAGACACAGCAACCGAGCAGAAAGGCGAAGATGTCTTCCAGCAACACTGACAACGGTCAGGCTGTAAGTAGATATCCCCATTTCTCTCTCTTTCTGATTTTTGCCCTTTATTTTCATCTAATGGTAGCAGCATGTTTGTTCTGTTCCTGAAATAAGTTCTAACAACATCTTCTCGCTCAGCCCAGTCAGCAGGCATCTCGACCCCAGCGTCGCCGTCGCCATCGCCGTTGCCGTCCCCGCTCCAAACTTCCTTGCCCCGTGCCTGGTTGCGATGGTGACGCCTGTGAGCGTCATATGATGATCCACACGCTCCAGTGTAAGGTTTCGGGCTGCCCTCTGGGCAACCCTTTCTTCGCCAACGTTAAGGAGTTAGGAAAGCACCTTGTTGACGACCATAACAACGGTGACCACAAGTACTGCCACTGGGCCGGTTGTGATCCTAACGTCGAGAGAGCCCCAAACAACAACATGGGTAAGTTGTCTTATTTAAAATCCGTTCCCAAAGACGATCAATTATGTTCTGTCGTGCCAATCTTGCTAATTATCATTTTTGCAGTTCACATCCGTCTACACAACTACCGCATTTGAGGTTATTGTGTAAAGCAGCATAAAGAATAGGACCGCGGCTGTTACTACCCCCCTCGCCCCTCCGGCTATGGTTTTGCCATTACAATGACACCAAGAGGCCAAATGCTTGGGAAACTGCTTGCATACCTAGCAATCGAGAAACTTCTGCATTTACTTGTGTGTCTCCATATAAACGTGACCTGCTTGGAAATACTGCCTAGTGAACTATGTGATACTGTACGAGAAAATTGTCAAAAGCGTGATCAGGGAACCATGAGTAAATGATTCTTTCAATCCGTAGCGTACTTGTAAGTCGCAACTGTTCCAGTACAGACCGCGCTGGCCGGCTGCATGATACCTTAACGTACTGCCAGAACGTTGAATCGCATAATAGACCCAAACCTTTTCCTAGCCAATCAAATGTCCCGCTTCATGCTCCGTGGTTGTGTATCCACAAAGCCGCGTGCCAGTGGGTTGGCATTTGAAGCGGAACAAAGGGAGAAGGCAAATGGCAGATACAAGCATAATATCTACGTAAAAGGAGAACAAGTCAACTTGGGCATCGTCCTACAGTCGCGCCAAGATACCTGTCACTTATAGTCTCAATAGCTCAGAGAACTTATACTGCCGTGTACCTTACAATTTGGTATTAATAGGAAACTGGAGAGGTTGAAATTCTGAGGTCCGCAGGTATAAGCTGGGTGCGGGGTATAGAATCGTTAGCTACCCCGCGGTGCCGCGGGGCAATCGGCCACCTCGCCAGTGCGGCAACCGCCGGCAGAATACCTAAATTAATAAGTGGAATAATCAACTAGGTTAGGGCCGGTGAGTGGGTCGTAAAAAAGTGGAATAATCCGGCCGGCCGGGTCGGTGGATTACAAAATACGGATGCAAAGTATAATACGGAGTATAATACGGGGTGCATATGCGTGAGTAGGGATGAAAGACGGAGCGCATCGTATACTACCCATGTGACGAGGATATAGTAGTATGCAGAAATATCATGATTCTTGGTAATAAAAAAGTTATTATAATCTTATGAAAACGATGGGTGAGGCTTCTCATCTGAATGGAATAATCAACCGCCGCCGCGCATGGCATAATCAAGAGCTCTTTCCCCTGCCGCAGGAAAAAAGACGCTACGGTTGCCATTTTGTCTAAGCTCTAAATTATTATAGCTCGGCCCGTTCGCCAATTGTGCTGGTTTTCGAATCAGTTAATAGAAAGCACCTAGCTAAGCTTGGACGCATTCGCCAAGGCCTCGAACATTGAAACTTGGTTTGCCGGTCGCCAATATTTCTGCTAGTTTTCGACGAGCGTCTCAATTACGCTTGTACTGATTCGCCAATATTTTCGATTCATTTTCAAATTCTTATCAGCCTCGCACAAGATCGTTGATCTTTTTGCGAGGTTCTAAAGGCCTCCGCCGTAGTCTCGACTGAGTTTGATTAAATTCGCATTCTCATCGACCGCCAGAGATCATTCGCCCACCATGAATCGAGATCCTCGTTGGTATCCCGGACCCGACGATTTCATCGAGATCGACATTAACGGCGATCCGGTTCGTCCCTTGGTCTCGACGGCACCTCTGGTAAGAAACCGTTTATTGTTACCGGCTTGGCTTTCGTGCCACAAGTTTCTTTGTTCTCTTATTTCTTCTTTTCATCTTGTGTTTTCTTCTCGAGACTTCATACTCACATAGTTTTCTTCCTTCCTTCGCAGACCGGAGACCAAGACGTTGCCTCGTTGGACAAGGCTAAGCTAGTCAAGCAACGCCGTATCGAAGAGAATGCCAACAACAAAGAGCACGTGGTATCTGGAGAGAGTGCCAAGAACGAGGCTAGGCCAGTCAAGCAACGCCGTATCGAAGAGAATGCCAACAACAAAGAGCACGTGGCATCCGAAGAGAGTGCCAAGAAGAAAAAGCATGTAGCTTTTGAAGAGAGTGCCAAGGACGGAGAGCATGAAGACGTTGAAGAGAGCCAGCTTACCGATCTCACTCTGGATGGTCTCGTCCTAGACGAGCCCGATCAGAGTTCGCTGAGCGATGCTGCTCTAAACCAGGAGCAGCAGCAGCAGCCGTCGACCCCGGTTCCTCGTGCTCGGGCGAGCAGGGCGGGCATTCGACGATCCAAGAAGACATGCACAGTGGAAGGCTGCGACAAAGACGGCTCTGAGCGCCACATGGCGACTCATACCATGGAGTGTAGAGTTGCCGGTTGTGCCAAGAGGGGCGAACCCTTTGAAAGCAGCCGCAAGCTTGGCGAACACCTCGTCAAGGAACACAATCAAGGCGATACGGAGATTTGCCACTGGCCCCAGTGTTCGAATGCTGGAAGTCGTACTTCCAGCAACCATGTTCGTGAGTATTAGGCTTTGTTGTCCTTTGTTCTTCTTCTTGAGTCATCTCGTTGATTTGCCATTGTAGTTCATTTGCGGTTGCATAACCACAGGCTTCCCGCAGAGGTTCCTCAAGAATCTAATGCCGGGGACACCTCTCAGGCATCTCACACCGGCGAGGACAACCCTCAGAAGGTTGACTCTCAGAATGTTGACTCTCAGAATGTTGACTCTCAGAATGTTGACTCTCAGAATGTTCACTCTCAGGAGACGGACTCTCAGGAGGCGGACTCTAATGACCCTCAAGTCAATGATGAAGATCCCATGGATACTGATTCTCCCGATGCCGAAATCGTCGTTGACAACGACAGAGCCTCCGACTCGGACTATGACCAAAAGAGAAACGAGAGCCAGAGCGAGGACGATGAGGATATGGTGGACATCTGAGACAGGTCTTCTACGTCGTCGCTCAAAGATCACGCTCATCTACCAAGGGCACAAGGCACATAAATAGAAGTGCAAGGAGCGGCAAGGCATTGTTTTAGGGTATTGGCAAAGGCAATTGGTTTGCTCTTCGTGTTTTCTGGTGCCAAACGCAACTTTAGCGACACCAAATTGCGTTGATTTCTTCAGAACCCGATTCGAGTATGGTCTGGTCACACAAGGGTTGAGAGGTACACGGAATGATTTACTAGAGCAATGGTTTCTCTTTCGCCACTAAAGCAGACTGAAAACAGTCTCATTAGTGCATAGCTATGTTTGTTTCTGCTGATACACTTTTCGGGCCCAGAATGTATGTCAAGGCTCTACCAAAGCCAGTCCATGAACCTAGTTCTAGTCAGCAAATAGGTCTAGTAATTGACTGATTCAAAAATCACCTCTCGTATCTGGAGCTCGGCTTTACGTAATTGAGCGACCTCTCGTGTGCTTCCACTTCAGCTAATCCAGTTTGGAAATCCATGTTCTCGGGCTTTATAAAGGGTGCTCGCTTGACAATCTTCCACGAGACATAAATTGCAACTATGACCCGTCAGTATCAACGTCGGAATAGAAGAGGTCAGGCTAAGAACAACATACTAAAGAAAACAATGGTAAAATATGCACTGAAGAAGCCAGAAAAGCTCCAGTGCCCGTCGATGAATACTCCTACGCAACGTCAGCGCATTTCACCCAGTAGGAAACTTGGCAGCAATCCGACTGACCGTAACCATTGGTGAGAAGAATCAAGGTAACCCAAAAGATTGCAAAATAGTTGGAGTAGGCTATCCCTCAAATGGTCAGTACCACGATAGTATACCTCAAGAACACCTGGTTTGACTGACGAGTGAGTCTGCTCCTGAAAGGCAGCACCGACACGTCAATTCCTTGCACCTTTAAGCCCTGGTGGAATCTCAAATTGGCAACCTAGAGTATGGGGTCAGTGATAATGTAGCAGAAGGTTGACAGTCCCCCTCACCATCATGAGAATGTATGCAATCATAATGGCCGTGGAGCCTAAGTTGATGAACCAGTTCAACACAACTGCCGATGCAGTGTTGCATGTCATAAAGGCCAGAGACGACACGGCGATTGAGAGTATTAGAGCAGGCAAGGGAACGCCGCTCTTGGTGGTCTTGGCAAGGATCCTGGGTGCTCGCCCATTCTTTGCAAGGCCGAAGACGGTTCGAGAGGCTTGGAACAAGAGGCAGTTGGTACAGCTCCATGCAGAGGTGATTCTGGTTCCCTTTGTAAGTGACTATGCAGACGTGGACTGGACCATATCTACTTACACAAGTGCATTGCACAGATCAGGTAGGAATGGAATGTCCAGTCTGTTCATGGCAATAATGAAAGGTGACTTGGCTACTCCGTTGCCACTAGCAATCGCAGTCACTAGAGTTCTGTCAGTCGAGAAGATAACAACATTGAATTTGGTGTAGCCTACACATGACTGGATCATTATATGGAACCAGCAAGCCAACTGCGAAAACAGAAAGAATAAAGAAGAATATGAGGCGGTAAATGACACGCCTGACTGCTTTGGGAATGTTCCTTCGAGGGTTGACAGCCTCGGGGGCGCAGTTGGCAATAAAGTCTGGTCCTCCAATGGCGAATGCGGCAGTGTTGAAGACACCCCATATGGCCAGAAAGCGGCCCGCGTTTCCGCCCACGTACTGTGTGTTGAAGGCGCCGGGGTCGTACCAGTATCGAAAGCCGATGCGATCATGTTGAGGGTTGCCCCCAACGACGACGATAAAGGCGAACAACAGGAATCCTATGACTAGGAACACCTTGAATATGGAGGCACAGAACTCGACTTCTCCGAAGTATTTGACGGCAAGGCAGTTGAGCACAAAGACGACGGACAAGGTGCAAGCAACCCATACACCGGGGTTAATGTCTGGAAACCAATAGGACCAAAGCCCAGTCAGTGCTGTACAATCGGCTGCGACAAAGATCCTGTATGGTGTGATTAATACGGTCGAGCGTATGTAAGAATGGCGGTACAATCTTACATCCTGGCCGTGGAGTGTTAGTGGAAATGTCCCATGGTAAGTTCGACGTATAACTTACATGCTGTATGCATAGACCCATCCCATGGCCACACTTGAACTTTCGTCGATAAATCGACCAATATCTATTCTTCCATCAGTATTGCAAATGGCTTCATATGCGGGCCAGCCTTACGCGTGACGAAGGAACCGGGGACCGGAAGAAAAGCAGACATTTCCCCCATGGCGTGCGCGACACAAAGAAGCAAAATGCACCTGTGCGATGACAAGGCCCTTGTCAGTATCTACCCTTTTCTTTCTCAGAGCTTTGGATCACTTACCAAACGGAATAACCAATGAGCAAGCCTGCCGGGCCGGCGCTGTTCAAGACGCTGGAAGTACCGACGAATAAACCCGTGCCAATGACTCCAGAAATGGCCAGGAGTTGAATATGGTGCGATTTCAGGCCCCGGCGGATACCGTATGGGTTGTCGGAGTCCGTCGTCGACTCATAAGACACCTACATATTGGTCAGTCCATACATTGACGCGGTCACCGGAGTAGAACCACGTACCCCATCGTGCACACTCATCCCGTCCGGTACGGCGGCCACATGCTGTTTCTCGTCGGCTCCCATGTCTTTGGTAGTTGGTATGTAGCGTGATGTATCGTGCTATACACGCCCCGCTGTTTCTTCCAAAAGTAAACGATACCGCACCACATCTTATACTTTATTTCCTGCTTCCCATTTCCCATCAACCTTTCCAGATCGACCATTATGGTCTTGTAGATTACGAGTCGGTCGGCGACATGGCCAATCCAAATCCAGCCTAGACTTGGAGCGATGAAGGCGCGCTTATCAGCAGGCCCCATAGATTGCTATACCGACGTTGTGGGTCTTTACTGTATTGTGAGCCACGGGTACGTGCCGAAAGCGAGGGGCGGGGTCATGTAAGGCGCGCTTATCGTCGATTAGAATGGTGAGTTGCAGATGCCTTTCACCATTCTAGTCGATTTCTAACGTAGTGCCATCATTGTTGCCAGGGATTGTTGCATTGCCGGCAGGTAATTGTACAGCCGCCTACATCTCTAGTGGAGATCCTTTGCGTGGGGTTGAGTCGTCTCGAAAAGGCGCGCTTATCATTTGTCCAGAGGAGGGAGTGCTGGATCTTTGGTGAGAAATGAATGATGTCTTGGTTCCAAAACTTATAATATCATCCAGTATGTTTAGACAACTTCTTTGTACGCCGACGCAAAGGATGCCATACGCCCAATCTGCCGGTTTCGCCAATCATGTCTTTCTTCTATGTGGGAAAGTTTCCCGTTGACCAGGATCAACTCTATCTCCCGTTCGCCTTGTTGCTCGCCACACTTGCTGCCTTGGCGTTGCTCAAACAACTTAAGGCAAATGCAATTATCGATAAACCCCCCGTTGCTGGTGAGTAACACCTCATTCGACTGCGTCTACATATGCAAGTACTGACAAGATGTTGAGTATCATGGCAATACCCGGAGCCAGAACCAGACTTGAATTTCGACCTGGAGAAAACCGAGCCTCCTCGATTTCGCGCGTTCCGATACCACTATAAACGCCAGTAAGAGAATCGTGCCGTGACGCTGAGGACTGAGCGCTGACAGCCTGGTTCTAGTATTGTCGATGTGCGGAAACTGGATAAGGACTCGTGGGTCATGGTAAGTGCATTTGGATCACCACTACTTGCATCGTCCCAAGTAACGGCAAATGCTTACAGTCAGACACCAGTTGGACAACGAATGGCCCATGTATCACCGGATAAAAGTCCAACGACTAGCCGATCGAGGCAACAAGATTGTGCAGACCATGCCGCAGGCTCGTGAAGCTGCCTGGGAACTGTGCCAAGACTTGTGCGAGTTTCTTGCCAGGAGATATCCCCAGGTCTACAACATTCGACGATCAGAGAAAGACTACCTTGGCTGGTATGGCTTGGGATCGGTGGTCAGCGTGGGAATGCCATCGCTTGGTGCTTTCTACGACCTCACGAAAGAGGATCCGCTGACAGTACGTTACCAACTCCGAAGAAGCATGGGTATACTAAGATTTTAAAGGTGGCAGGATTGATACAGCCAGCCGACCTCAACATCTTAATGATGGGTGAAGATGGGCAATATCACCTAGTTGCAATGATGCTCGGTATTGGAGGTATATGACCCTCGAAAGGCTTTTGCAAGTTGAGAAACTGACAAGAACGTCTAGGTGGCCAGAGAATCAAGGATAAATGTTAGGCGCATCGGAGCACGCCAAGTGAATGGTCGCTGACTTGAGTATAGTGGGTAACTCACTTGCAGACCTCCATTTCAGTGGCCATGTCCCTCATTACGCAGATCAACTGCAAAGACCGCTTGATCGTTTTCTTGCCAAGCTACAAGTGGAAGCGCCTTTCCATCGAAACAGTGAGTGCAATATCTCGTGTCGACCTTGAAGCTCGCAACTGTTGACAGAGTTTAGCCACTGGTATAAGTACACATGGTGAGCGCCAAAGTTGTTCCATGTATCGTTACTTGACTGACGTGCGTAGACGCGTTCCACTGGCCGACAGTGACGATGGGACCCGAGGACGACTGGGATCCAGAGATCCAAGGACCCGGCGTCGGTACTCCAAGCTACGGCACATGGAAGCCTCAAGGTCCCATTAGCGACATCTCCCAACTATGGTTTCGCCAAGAGCGCCAGGTCCTCCGACGGCTGCCCAAGTCGCGAGCAATAGTCTGGTGTGTACACACATATGTCGAGCCGATGGACGTGGTGGCTCGTGAACCAGGCATTCCAGGTCGGCTGGCGTCTCTCGTGAGAAGCTGGGATCCCATCATGGCCAAGTATGTCCGACCCATTTTCTCTCCTTCTTGGCGACTGGCTAACTGCGATACCAGACACAAGGGTCGGCATAATTATGAACATGTTCTGCTCCCATATTTGGATAATCTGCACAAAGAACAAGTGACAAATGGTGAATGTGAAGAAGGAGAGCTACCAAGCAAGTTTCCCTGGTAGTTGTCAAACGAGGTAGAAAGTAGGTAATCTGCTCGACGAAGAGACCGATACTTTCCCGTTGGCTTCCAGAACAGTAGCGTAGCTCAATTTTGGCTAGAGAGATGCAAAAGTTGGCACTGGCGATCTACAATGCGAACAGATAGCATGATGGAATGAATGACCGACCGTTTGTATGCATTTATCCTGCGAGGTGAAAAGATTCGATTTGCATGATTTCTTTGGTATTTTGAAAAATGAAAAAAAAAAAAAAAAAGTTTTTAATGACGACAAATGAAAATGCATTATGTAAATTGCACAGTACACGCATGTACACTTTGTCGGCCACTCGGCGTACCTGAAGCGTCTTTTCAGTGATTGAGACGCTGATCTGCCAGCGCTTGGTCCGCTAGCCCTCGACCAATGATAAGCACCCACTTGATAAGCCCACTGTTGTTGGTCACTACCAGCTCACTGTAAACTCCTGACTCTTGCTGATTGATTTGAACACAAAAGAATTGGGATGAAGTCGCCTTTTGTCGCCGAAAAGCCATGAAAATGTCCCAGGTCCTGCATCAGGTACCTAATGCCGCCCTGAACGCACTCCAAGAAGATACGAAGCCCTGTGTCGGACAGCTGAGATCCTAGGTGGCTCTTATCTTGAGATGGCTGGAGCTTCTTTCCCGGCCGCCGCTCCCAAGCCGTTGCGGGGGACTACTGGTGCCCAGAGGCAAAAGACGGTGACGGGCTGCATAGGATGCAGACTTCGGCGCAAGAAATGTGACGAGACCAGACCACAATGCTTGGGATGCGGGCGCAATGGCCTCTTGTGTGTCTTTCCCGAAGCCGGCAACGAGGAGCATGCGCGACTTCTGAGGCGGACGAACTGCACTCGCAAACAGCCAGTATATGAGACAGGAAAGCATCAAGTGGACCCGAACATTTCCCACTCTTCGACCCGCCTAGAAGATCTATCGAGCCCACGAATGCTCGGCATAGAGCAATGCATGGTTCCTGGAAATCATCATTTGAGGCAGCCGGCCTCTCAGCGATTACTGCACCACTACATCAATCGCACGAGTAAAGCCATGGCTACGTGTCGTGACGTAGAATCCCCCTTTCTCACGGAACTGATCCCCGTGGCCATGGCCAACGACGAGCTGGTCTTGAATGCCATACTGGCTTGCAGTGGCATCCACCTTGCTGCCCTTTCGGGGTCCGTCGTCGATGCCACAACCTGGGTGCACTACGGTCAAGCAGTTCAAAATCAAAAGTTTGCTCTTACGCAACTGGTCCAGGGAAGCAGTAGACCCCTTGTTTCGGCTACAATTACTGCCATTCTGCTGTGCATCGCAGAGGTAGGTACGCCTCAACAAGGCATGTCAATCAATACTGACAAATTGAAAAGACTTTCCTAGCCGGAGCTGGTAAGCAAGCAATGAATCATCTCAAGGCAGCACAGGCCATGATGCGACAGGTCCTGGACCTTCCAAAGGAGATGCTCGATAAAGGAGTAAGGACATTCTTGGTAGAACGTGTCAGTTACATGATCACGCTCGCCCACGTAAGCTTGGGTAGTACCCATGACCAGTCAATCTTGAATGACACTGCAGTACTATTCTCGAGCATACACTCCATGCCATTAATCCAAGGGAGCTCGAGCTCTGGTTGTGTACATGACCTCTTTTGGTTGATACCACAAGTCTCGGCTATTGCTCATCGAGCATCAAACGAAATCCGATCAGTGGCACAGTTCACTCCAGAGATCATCGCCGAGTACCAAAGCCTTCTGTGTTCGGTCTCGTCCTGGGAACCAAAATCCGGCGACGAAATCTATAATTCATGTGGTAGAGTTTATCAACAGGCTCTGCTCGTATACTTGGCTTCCGTATTTGACGCCGAGTCACTGTCACACCCAGCCTCCAAAAGTGCGTACTCTTCCATGATCCACAAGGCTTTCGAGTGCATCGAAGGATTACTGGACTTGTCGACCCTCAATGCGACGCGTATCACCACTACACTGTGCTGGCCTCTGGCCATATTCGGAGCCTGTGCCCGAACTCGGGTTCACCAAACTTTCATTGATACAAAGCTTGCTACGATAGCAGAAGCGTATGCATCGCAAAGTGTCAGGGACACTAGAGACTTGCTTCAGAGGCTCTGGAGCTCTAACAATCCAAGGACTTACAGCCCATTGGAATTGGAGCAACTCATGCAAGAGGACGATGTTACGATATTGTTTCTTTAATGGGAGACATGCAATAACCGAGAATGGAAAGTCTCCAGCGATAGCTACGTGGGACTGCTTCGGAAGTCGGCCTATAAACACAGCATCAACGCCCCCCGATGAAAGTCCCGCTTCAAACCCCCGAGTGAGCCACAAACGATCGCCCCTTGGGCTCAGTCAAGGCTAAAGTAAAGTGCAACAGAAGAATAGAGTTCGTGCCAGCGATCATCGCTCGGCGGGTGAGCAGCTCCCAGCATACCCTGGATGTCGCGGCTATTTGCAAGAGAGAAAACAGCGCCGCCATACCAGTGCATCGAACTCTCATAGATATTGTGCACAGATTGGAGGGCCGCTTTCGCTTCGTTTGGTGAAGCGTGATCACCTAACCAAATTATGACGGACAGAGCCTTTTCGTAAATGTCCTTCATCCTGGATACTTGCTCAGCTCGCTCACCGCGGTCTGACTGATTGATACAGACGGCGTCGACCCCAATGCGAACAATTTTTGACTGGTCGCGCCCGGTGTGCAGATGCGGAAGCATACTCTGAAAACTTTCCAGGGCCTTGGCAGTGTTGAGAGGAACCATAAGCTCCCTTCCGTCAATTCTGATGGGAGTTTTCTGCAACTCGTCGCCCCACACCTATTGGAGGTGAGATATGTTCCACAAGTGAGCGTGTACTTGACTTACATCTGAGTCCGCATAGTATTCCAGAGTCTTCTGTAATCCATACCGAGGCAATATTGTTGTTTCCAGTTCATAGTTTATCGCTCGATCTGCATTGCTGTCGTCGCTTGGTTTGACGCGAAGGAGACGGATCTCCGCGACTTCGGCGCCCAGTGTCCCGTACTGGAAAGTGTCCGCCATTAGATGCACCAGAGTGGACAACACCTAGTAGACAAGCCTACCACACAAGCTCATATTGAGTTGAAGTCATACAGGCGGAAGATGATGGAACGTCTCGGTAATTGCCTTCTTCACATGGATCAATGATTGAACATTGTACTTGCGTACACTGCTTCGTACATAGTAACACATCACTTTGTGGGGGGTAAAAGAAGCCTGGATATTATTGAGACAATGCGACACGGGTAAGAAAACACACTGCATGCCCAATGCAGCGGCATCGGGTGCGCGTCTGCATCGATATCGCTGGATTGCATAAATCTCCGCCTTGCAGCCAAGGGAGCATACAGTATCGAGATCTTGCATAAAGCAATCAGATGATAGTGTTACCTTGAGACTTCCGTGAATGATGATGTGATGTCAACCAGCGGGTCCGCAGTGGTGTACTTTTCATACCTGTGCCAAGCATTTCCCACACAGTTGGAATGTATTCGATTCTGTTCTTCTATTGTCGTTCATGATTTGGACATCTTGTATGAGTAACGCGGTGAGCATTAATGATACCAAGACTAGCTACAAAACCCAGAGTCCCAACGCCACGTCACTCATGCAATTACACTTCCGTTTCAATGCCAGTATCCTTTTCCGAATGAGAAAACACCTTTTCCAAACTGCCCTTAACTCGGCTCATCTTTCCTCCAAGGTGATCAATTTCGCGGGCAGCGCGCCACTGCATGATGCCCCTGTGCTTGCGATGTAATTGTTTGTGGTGGTCCTTGTAGTCTCGCAGCTGGTTTCTAATGCCTCGTGAGCCGTCGTCCGCATCATTGTGACCAGGAGCCAGTACAGAGGTGGCGGTGTCGATCGTTCCTTCAATCGGGTTACGGAGAATATTCTTGGCCTTTTTCAAACCGCTGAGAGAAACCGTTGATGAAGATCGCGAATGACCCTCGTCTTCATCGGAAGATGACTCGGACGAGGAGTCATTGGTGTGGACCTTGAGCTTCTTCTTGGCCTGGCTATCATTGTCCGAATCCGAGTCAGAGTCACCGCCATCCGAATCATCAAAGTCGCCTTCACCCTGTAGGCTCTCGTCTGTGACCGTGTCCAAGCACTCCATGACTTGGCGCATATCTCCATTCTTGGCTTTAGCGGCGTAACCCTTGTGGAATCCGGATAGGCCACGCCAGAACTTGAGCGGAACTTCAATTTCACCCAGTGGTTGCTCGTTTTCCTCGAGACCTTGGTAACCGTAACATGATGAAGCTCTCCTCAAGTTCTTCTTTCCACCCTTCCACACCTTCAATGTGCGGACCTCGTCTTCCTCATCAACTAGTTCCTGGAGCCAGAGCACGGCAAAAGCCGGTGTCTTGTCGGGGCCAACGCTGGATGAACGGAATTCGATCACCAGTGGTGATGCATATCTCTTGCGAACGGCAAGGAAGGAGCTTTCATTCTCGTCCCTGCCTTTAGGTTTCCAGAAGTTGCCCGCAGCTTCATATTTATGCTTGCCCATGTTGGTTCTGGCCTTGAGTCTGTTGTTGCAGATGTCTTCCGAGAGCCCCGATTTCGCCTTGATCGCACCTCTGATTTCCAGGGTTCCATAGTCCCACCCGAGAAGATTTCGTGGCAGCTTCGCCTCCACGCTACGCCAAACCATGCTGATCCGAGCTCGGCCGTATCCAATACCTCCGACAAGCGGATAATTCTCCATCACTTGGCTTCTCTCCTTGAAGATCTTTGCAATGGGCAGATATACCATGCCAATGAGCGGATCGTCTTCACGTTCTCGGGCATCCCGAACGCTGACAATGACTTCAGTAGTTCGCCAGTCACGGATGAACCGTTCTGTTCCTGCGTTGAAGAATGGCTTTGAGTTCTTTGGCTTGGTGCGCGTTTTGTAGATCTTCTTATGGTTGAGAATGACGGTGCAGTAGCTGTCGGGCATGTCGTCATGATGTTCTGATTCTTCCTCCTCATTATCCTCCTTCCCTTTGCCAGTGTTGTCCTTCCTTCTCAGCTTGGAGATTTCAAGTCCAGTGATGTTGTGAATTTGGACACTGAGAATTCCTGAGGGAAAGTCGTCCGATGGTGGCGCTGAGATGATCATGGCATCCTCCAACTCCCTGTAGTCTTGAGCGTTTTGTTGGTGCAGCTCGTCGTCGTCGGGAGCTTTTCCTGCCTCCCTCAACTTGTGAGCTGAAAGTTCCGAGACGTGCTTCTTGAGCTGCTCTTTTGACCTGATATTCTCATCTACCGTCTGTTTCTCGAGCTGGTATTGCTGAATCCTGGTCTTGGAGAAATAACCGACACTCCAAGTCAAAGAACCTGCCATTTTCTCATCCGGGTCTTGCCCTGTGAAGCGATCTTCACGTTTCTGAACTTGGTTGTGGGATTCTGGATTATTGATGAGAGACTTCAAGTCCAACTCGACTCGACCAAGATCATCATCTGCAGTGTACTTGTCAGAGTCCCACAATTGCACGCGTAGTTTCTCCTCGGCATTCAATTCCTCAGGTGAGACCAGTATCGTAGAATATTCGTGCCAGTCTGGATTCTGTGAATTCATGATGACTCGGGTAGAAGCCACTGGTTTGCCAAACTTTCCCCAGGAAACTGTGACATAGGCGTCACTTGCTCCCTGCATAGGTCCAATACCTCCATCGCCTTGCTTGAAACCGCTAGCTTTCTTGATGAAAACCAAAACAACGCCGCGACTGATGGTGTCCTTCTTGAAGTCATCTCCGACCAACATGTCCTTGAGATTCAAGGTCAAACTCTTGGGTGCCACGTATTCTGCCAGTGCAGCATCAATCGCGGACTGAACGAACGAAGATATCAATGGCACATCCATGAGGTTGAGACTGTGTTTCGACAGGGGTACGCAAGATAACGAAGCCTTGGGCTGTCCCAGGAATGTCAAGGTGCAGAGACTGATGAACGGTGGATCGGGCTGTGAGTATGTCAGTATTTATAGCTACACGTATCGTTTTGGGTTGGTGCTGAACTTACCGTAAGCTGCAACCTTAGACGCATAACTCCAACTATTCCGCGCAGCTCGACCCAGACCGGAACCGCCACACCTCCAGGAAGATAGAACTTTAGATACATGTGTGCGCTCTTGGCCTTGGATGCGATTGACTTTCCAGAAGACCGAGCTCGGTATGAGAATGCCAATTCCAAGTTGATGAAGTCACCCTCCTCTGCCTCCATTCCTTCGCGGATGGCAACCTCTTCTTGCTCCTGTTGCTTGGTCTCATCGTGGCCGCCATCATTCTTATCATTGTTGGGTTTATCGTCGTTGTCATCCTCCTGTTCATTCTGGGGGTCTGTTCGGTCGCTTTGTGACTTTTTGTTCGGATTCTCCAGCTTTCCGTCCGAGTCGACTGTCTTACCAGCAGCACCAGTCGGTAGCCATCGAACGCCCAGTATCCGAATGGATTCGTTGCCCTGACCCATGTCGTCGACGCTTACCATTTTGATGACTTTGGGCAATGAGGCCTGCATGACGTCCTCGATCATGTCAATCAGGGAGGAAAACAGATCTGGATTCACCAGTGGCCAAATGGAAGCAAAGAGGCGATTTAGCCATTGCACAGATTCTGGGAGCTCCGTATCCGAATCGAGTGCTTCCTCCTCTTGAACTCGAGCGGCATCCCAAGTCTCATCCTCAAATGCCTCTTCGACTTTCTTGTTAACCCAATGACCCATTCCAATGGCTGTTCCGCCGGCCACAGCCACAAAGCCCAGAAAGCGGAGCACCGTGGAGAATTGGGGATACAGACGACCATTCAGCGCCGGAAGCATGAACATCAGGGCGCCGAAGCCTCCAGTGATTGCAAGGCCCCAATATACGGCCTTTTGATAGATGTTGGCTAGTTCTTTGCGCAAGCTCTCGAAGTCAGGGCTTGGAAAGAGTCTCTGCGAACCATTGAATCCTCTTTGGAGATAGGCTTGCTCCCGATCGAGATCCTCGTCCGACTTGGAGGCGTTTTGCGGCCCAGTCGCGGTAGCATGAGTTGTGCCAGGCTCTGCGATATTCTCCGGTGTTGATTTGAGGTCCTTGTCTGTTTGATCGTGAATGATGATGGGCAAATGAGTGACTGGATCGGTAACCTCGCGCCCTCCTCCGTGGCGTTTGGCCTTTTTCATGGCTTTCCGCTTCTCCTTGGGATCGATGGTGCTGGCAGCCACTTCAGTCCCAGTCTTTTCTTGGTTATTGCCGTCATCTTTCCTTGAAGGCTTCTGCGGCGATTCCGGAGATGATTGCCCCGGTTCCTGTGCCTGATATTCGGGCTGGCCGGATTGCCGAGCAAAGTCTCGGCTATCCTGGTCTGGTGGCGTAGCATAGTTCCGGTTGGTGGATGGATAGGTCTGGTGGTGTGACTTTGGGGTGTCTTCGTCCTTGAAAATAGCTTTCACGGAATTGTATGCACGCCGTGGCCTCGAGTCATCAGCAGGTTCATGCTGTGCTGCCTCCTCCTGCTCGGTTCTGTTGTCGAGCTCCTTTCGATGTTCCCGATAGCCCTGAACAGTGGGAATGGGGTGTCTTCCGGAGTGAGGGCCGATGTAGTTTCTCCGGACGGCATCCTCTTCCATGTCATTGTGATCAGGCGGCATCTTTGCGGATGGTGTAAAAAGGCCAGCTTAGAAAATTCACAGCAATCAGATGGGCGAATGGTGTCGTGTCGACCAGGAAGCGACTAGGGATATTACATGCGGTTTCGTTGTTTTTCATCCAAGGAGACTACTGGGATGAAGAGGAAAAAAGGTCCCTGGTCAAGTAATACCTCGAGACATGTCTTTGACTGCACAGTTATTTACATATGTAGGATCAGAGATTGGAGCTTGGTAGGTCTTGACTCTCTCTCTTTCGTGTGCTGTCCGGAGCTTTTCGAAGCGTGTCGCTCTTGTCTTTAGGCGGCTCGACCCCACAATTGGCCGGGTTATGATGCAGGTTGCGAAGCCAAAAACCGGTCTGCTTGGTGCCGCGAGAGCCGTCTTTGCCCTATCACACGGCCGGGACGAGTGGAGAGCTGGCGATTGAATGGGATCGTATTACGGGAGTAATGCTAATTGATGCAAGGCACCGCTGGCTTTGGCTGCCCGCTTTGCTGTGAGCAGAGGTCTGGACACAATGAGGTCATCGGTAGTTCTGAAACGGCAGCTTCCAAGGGCCTGTCATTCAACTTGTTACCCCTGCTTGCCCTGCCATTTAGTGTACAATCCACTGCCGGGTTGCCGAACAGGCCATTTAGTGACAAAAGCTAGGCCATGTCCAGTGCCTTTCTGCCTTGTTGTAACTCGTACCTTAAATGGATTGAGCCCTGCCACGACTTCCAAATGTGGACCTCTTGCATCGAAATCGATAGAAAAACATCAACTTTGATCAACAAATTATCTCGCCAGTTGGACGGCTCATTTGTATTATCATTACGTCTTAATTCTGTAAGCGGACTGATTCTACTTCTATACATACTTAGTTCGTTTGGCTGGAGGGGAGCTTGCTAGCATAAACCACACATCTCACACATTTGGCACGGTCCAACACCAATAACGTCATGCTAACAAAATACGTTGAGCTCGCCAGGGATTGACTTTTTTTTTTTTACCACTGGCTTGGCCGACATTGTTAAAGTGAAAAACTCCCGACCCCCCACATTCCCCGCAATGTTTCCATGCCACATGCCAAGTGTCGCGGTTAGGATAAAATGAAGTTTGTCTTGCTATTTGTAGACCAAGAAGACTTACACGATTATCAAACTTCATACCAGCTCTCTGCCGTTGCAATTCTGCTCACAATACTTATGACTGATGCTCTCGCTCTGGACTCGATGACTGCTAAGTAACTTTGTAATGCATGTTCCCTGCAACGTTTACTGCAGTGCAACCAAGACACATGCAGTTTCTGAGATGTTCTAGAATTGGAGCATCTTCAGTAAGCTAGCATTGACCATCTTCCAGCCACTTTGAACCATCAAGAGTATACTACTTTCATTTTTCATGCCAACCCAGACAACTACGCCTCATCTGGTCCAGCAAGACCACAAGGCATACGACGACGAAAGTTTAAACAAAAAGCAAGCCGTGAAATTTATAAGTAAAACGCTATCATGAAGCAGCACGTCCTTGGTTGACCAAGGTCTAAGATAGCGATTCAAATGCGGTGGATTCGACACTTCTTTATCGTATATACTAAAGTATACATCAAACTTGACGGATAAGTTTCTCTTTTCTTTTTCTGCACTATTGATTGCTATTGAGATTGTATGCTTCAAGTTTTTCCATTCTGCCACTATGGTAAAAGCACCATCTCACACTACCAATCTTGAATTTGGGTCTCCATTTTCACTTGGTTCTATGAGAATTGTAAAGACCTCAAAATTGTTTTTGAGCAGTTTGTTCGTCATGTCCACCAGTAAAGACGCGGATATATTCCGTTTTGACATGAAGGGCGTAAGGCGTACGAAGGTCCATCGCTAAATTCGTCCTTATTTGTGGGGCATTCGTCCTGCTTGAGGAGATAACACATGAATCGGACGTCCATCGGCCTTTTCGATATCAATTTCAAATAAAAGAATGGTGAATGAGGGATAGAAACGACACCAGGTAGTTTTCACTCATTTTCACTCTGTCTCTCAGTGTTTTCATATTTCACCCCAGTGTCAAAAGCTTTTTCGCCCAACACTTCGGGCTCTAAATACAAGCACCAGCCGACAAGTATTCTCAACAGTATCTGGACAAATCAGACATACAAGCACCAGCACACCCGTCAAGATGGGGGAGGCAGAGCCGGCGACGTCGCCATCCACACACCACAAGATCGTGGCGCTCGAGACCCTGTTCGTGCCCCTGCCGTCGAAGTTCCGCGTGCCCGAGGGCCACACGTACGAGGTAACCGAGTACGCGCGGACGCGGCCGGGCGAGGTGGCCGAGCGCATCCGCGACGCCGACATTGTCGTCATGACCATCGTGCCCGTGACGGCGTCGGACATCGCGGGCGCCGCCCACCTGAAGATGATCAGCGTCGTGGCCTCGGGGACCGATACCGTCGACCTGGCCGCCTGCCGCGAGCGCGGCGTCCACGTTGCCAACTCCCCCAACTGCAATGAAGGGTCCGTCGCCGAGCATGTGATTGCCCTCTACTTTTCGGCGCGGCGCTCCGTGCCCCTGGTCAACGCCCTCGTCCGCGCGGGACAGTGGCCGGTGCGCGGTTTCTTGGGGCGGACACTGTAAGTAGTTAAAATCTGTGGTGTCCTTGACTTTTTCGTGTTTTCCTAGAAGAGTCTGTGTTCAATATTTCCCGGTCCCGTAATTTTGACTTGGGAAATACCTGCCTACCTGATAACGGTAGCTCGAGCACTTGGTGGAAATTTCTATACAATCAAAAAGCATTGAGAAGCTAACACATTTCGACTCACCAGGGATGGACCTCACGGTAAGCCTCCCACGACGTGCAATGGCGAGGTCATGGGGATCATCGGATACGGCTCCGTAGGCAAGAGGGTAGAGACCATTGCCAAGGCGCTGGGTATGGCTGTGCTGGTTGCTGGGCGGAAAGGCCAGAAGGAGGTGGCCGAGGATCGCGTTCCCTTTGATACGGTGATTCGTGGGTCTTCAGTCCTGGTCCTCTGCCTGCCGCGGTCGCCGGAGACGCTCAACACTATTGGTAAAGCCGAGCTAGATGCCATGCCGCGGTACTCGGTTCTAGTAAATGTCTCCCGCGGTGGCATCGTGGACGAAGAAGCGTTGGTGGCGGCTTTGAAAACCAAGAAAATTGCTGGCGCGGCGACTGATGTCTTCATGACCGAGCCGGCCAGTCCCAGTAACAGCCCGCTCCTCGCTCCGGGCACAGAAGAACTGAATCTCGTGACAACTCCACACGTTGCGTGGTGTGCAGAAGACACAAACTACAATTACAACGAGAATCTGAAGAAGAACATTTTCTCCTGGTTAGAAGGGCGGCCCACCAACACGGTGGTATAGACCAGTCCCCAAGTACATCAAGACAAAAAGAATTACTAGTCAACATGAGGAATGGGCTGTTTCCCACGACTTATGAAGGACTTGGTGTCTGCATTTGTTCTCAAATACAGCCGAGACATTCACAATAGCACGTATAGGAAATTTTCAAGTACAAACGGAAAATCACGTTTGATTATCAGTTGGGATCATCCTATCCTTATGTTTTGCTCTTGCCTGAGCAGTGAGTGGCCGAATCGTACACGTGACACGCCATGACATCCTCGATCGATTCCCTTCGATTTCCATGAGCGGATGCCAGCCAGAACAGAGTTGAGAGAAACTTTTCATTGTTCCCTTTTGTCCATGCAAACTGCCAAGCCAAACGAGGGCCCCAAAAAAAGTTTAACCATAAGGCCAAATAAGCCTTGTATCAATGCCGATGTCGTGGTTCAATTATCATCTTTACTTTCGTTCGTGTTCGGCCCAATGCCGGGTGGAAAAAAAAACAAGTGTTAGACTCCGTCCTCATCAATGGCCGTTTATACAAAGTAGAAACGCCGGGTAGCTGTGAAATGCTACTCCGCAATTACTGGTAGTTGCTGCCCCAGCCGCGGCCATAGTTGCCACCAAATCCTTGGTTGCCGCCATAGTTACCGTAGGCACCTCCATAGTTGTTGTGGCCCTGGCCGAATCCGCTGTTGCCGGTTTGGTTGCCGTGAAGGTTGTGGCCCTGGAGGTGGCTCGGGTATCCACCATAGCCGCCCATGCCCTGACCGCTCGACTGAGGCGGGGGGAGTCCAGATTGGCCGGGGGTGGTGTTTGTAGCAGAGCCAGGACGGGCACCGCTGGTCAAAGAGGGGCTGGGTCCACCGGTAGCCTTGGATTCACCGTAGGGCTTAAGATCATCGTTGGCCGAGCCGGACTGGGCGTTGGGGCCGTTAAAACCTTGGCCGGCCTGAGACTGGTATGAGGAGCCGGCACGGTTGAAGGCGTCATGAGCACCTCCAAAGCCACTGTTTCCGAGACCTTGGGTGCCAGACTGAGCGGAGCCAGCGCGGCCATAGTTGTCAATGCTAGATCCAAGGCCGCTGTCGCGGCCACCAACCGAAGCTTGGGCAAACCCAGTAGTGGCCGGAGAAGAGCTGTGCTCATACGGCGAGTGCTGGTAGCCATGAGGCTGGCCATAGACACCTCCCTTTCCATAGGGGGCACCACCATATCCACCCTGGCCGTAACCGCCGTAGAAGTTCATGTACTGAGAGTAGAAAGGACTGTTGTTGTATGGGTGCTGGTAGGGGAAGCCAGCGGGAGCTTGCTGCTGGTGCAGGTTAGACTGCGGGCCAGTGTTCTGACCAGAGGGCTGCTGCTGGGTAGGGCCAGTAGGGTTCGGGGTGTTGTGGCCACTGTTGTGGGCATCAGTGGCAGAGCTAGCACCGTATCGCGATTGGCCGGCGCTCTGAGGGTACTGGCTGAGGTTGTCACTGTTTTGCGATGCATTGTATCCGCCGAAGGATCGCTGGTGAGTGTTGGGTCCTTCATTGTGGCCCTGGCTGGCTTGCTGCTGACCATAGCCTTGCCCATAGTAGCTATTGTAAAGGCCACGGCTTTGGTCGGCAGTGTAGTAGGATGAGTAGTCGCTCGGAGCGGAGCTGAAGGCATTGCTCGGGGGTTGGGATGCGGGGGCAGGGAAGCTGTCGAAGCCAGCACCGGTTGTAGCTGCGGGCTGCTGAGAGAAGTTGTCGTATGGTTTGGGAGGGAAGGAGGATTGATCCTGGGCGCCAGCCTGTCCGAAGCGGCTGTACTGCTGGTTGAAGGAGGATTCTGGGCTGGGGTTAGTTTGCGAGACATGTGCTTGAGGATACTGCGACATACGATGCGCGGCAACACCAGCAGCTGGGCCAGTAGGAGGGGCAACGGGTGTCGCTGTGTATAAGTCAGCACGGGCATCTTGCTTGCTGTAAATCTGAAAGGGATTCGTACCAGCAGCGCTGACTGGTTGGGGGAGAGTTGCGGCAGGCTTCTGGGTAGCGGCCGAGGGGAAGGTCTCGGGGACGGCAGGCTGAGTAGGCTGTGCGGCGAGAGGGGGTAGAGAAGCCCTTGGCTGGATGGGAGAGTCGGAGGGAGGTTGAGCTCTGGTCTCAGCCTCTTCACGATCACCGTCAATGTCATCCTCGACACCACTCAGGCTGAATGCACCAAACTGGACAGCTGCGCGATCGACCTCACGGTTGCCAGGCAGGCGAACAGCCTCTTCTTGCTCAAGTACCCGTCGCTGGTAGCTAGGCACACGGACGGGCCTCTCAGTGGCCTTGAGTGCAGAAGCAGCGAAGCCACTGGCAGTAGGGCGGGCAGCTTGTGCCTGGTGTTGAGCCTGCGCAGCAGACAGAGGCGTTGCGGTAGCGCTCTGGGGAGCAGCCTGGCGAGGATCCCACGAGTCGGCAGTAGTACTAGCAACAGTAGCTGTAGCGGGGGGGTGAGACTCGTCAGGGAGCTGTTCAAGGTTGGTCTTCGTCAGATCGACGTCAGAAGGAGGTAGAGCGACCTCGGGCTCGACAATCTTGGGGGCTTCCTCGACAACAGGCTCTGGGGTAGGCTCCTCAACAACAGGCTCGGGTGTCTCTTCGGCGACAGGTTCGGGTTCAGCGGCGACAGGTTCGGCGGGAGGTTCTGGTTCGGTGGGCTCCACGGGCTTCTGGACGGCGGGCTCTGGAGCCTTGGGTGCTGGCTTGGGTTGAGTCGACTGTCGCAGCATGGAGGCCCAGGTCTTGGGCTTGGGTGCAGCGGGTTCGGTAGTGGTGGTAGAAGCAGGAGTAGAAGTCTGAACAGGAGCGGTAGTAGAAGTCGTCTCCTTCGTGGTATCGGTAGTGCCCCAGCCAGTGGTGCCCCATTCATTGTTGGCCGTGTCGTCCGTGGTGGTACCAGCACCCCAAGCGGAAGCCTCTGCGGTAGGAATGGAGAGCTCTGCGTTCTCCTTGGTTCGGTGACCATTTGTAGCGGGCTGAGAGGAAGCGCCCCTGCCACGTCCTCCTCGGGCCCGATCACTGCCGCGTCCACCACGGCCACCCCGGCCATCAGCGCGACCACCGCGGGTCGGTCTTCCAGCAGATGTATCAATCGGGCCAGTCGAGGGAACGGCGTCCTTGGTCTTAGGCTTGCTAACCTTCTTGGGCTTCGAAACCTCACCCCACTGGGAGATGCTGCCTAGATTTTGCACATTGAGTCAGTATCGTGTGCATGTTCAATTGGTAAAAGGGAACAGATGCGAGAGCGACAGTGGGTTGTGCACAAGGAAGGCAGGCGTACCTTCAGAAATGCGAGTAGCGACGAGCTCTACGTCGCCGTCATTCTCCTGCAGAGCATAGAGGATGTCGGCATCCGACCAATCAGGGAAAATGGCCTTGATAGTATCGAGGCTGTCGCCATACTGTTGTCTGAGCTGGCCAACATCACCGTCCTCGTCGACGGAGTCTGATGCGGTAGACTTGTCACCGTTGGTGCGTCTGGTGTTGGTAGATCGGGCATCGTTACGACCAGCGAAGCCACCTCTTCCTCCACGACCACCGCCTCTGCCACGAGAGGCGGGCTGAGATCGAGACTGTACCTCAGACATTGCTGGGTGTGGATGTGTGATGTGTTTTGGGGGGTGGGGAGTGAAGAAATGGCGATGGAATCCCCCTTTGCCAATGCAAGGTTGGGAAAAAAGGGAAACAGACAGCCGACGACAACAAAATGTGGTCAAAAAGAAGAGATGAACCAAGGGAAAGCGACGTCGCTGTCGAGAGGAAGGTGGGTAGATGAATTAAGGTAACCTGAGATGGTTGGTCAGGTCGAATGATGCACAAGTGAGAAAACCGTGAGCCAAAGTGCTAGGCTCAGATTTGAGGCTGATGCTCTCCAGTCTCTCTCTCTTCTGGTCTGGAGAATTGATTGACGGGCAAAAGAGGGTAAGGCGTCAGGTAGCGCAACGCAGTGCGGATTCACCTTGGCAGCGTTCTTCTTAGCGGTCGGTAGCGCCGTAAGAGTGCTGTGCAAGGCCAGTTCAAGGCCCCCTGTCAGTGCGGCAATGTCGCCAGGTATAATCGTACCTGTCTACAGTGCAGTAGCAGTTGCTGGGCAGCCTGTTCACGTGGTGAGGAACTTGCGTGTCTGACACTTTTGCAATGAGTTTGCGCGTCACGGACGTGTCAGCAGCTGTGGCCGGTTGCGAGCTTTGAACTTTTTTTCTTCTTCCTTTTCGCCTCTCGTCTCCGATCGGGTGGCACAAGTCAGGTTCAGCCCAGGGCCAATTACTGACAGGAACAATGTGCAAGTGGCAGGTATTGACTACCGGCAAGTACCGTGGGTCTTTATTACCTGAGTTGTTCTGCCTGTAGCTGGAGATATCGCTTCGAATCTCATATATTGAAACAAGACGGGCAATATTTAGATTATCATTCCAGTATTGAAGGATTTGAATAATATGAGAAAACCATCCCGCAGTCAGGTGTAGATCCAGTTTCGTGTTCCAATGACTAGATTATGTGGATGTGTCGTCTGAATACATTGTTGCTTGATCGCTTGTCTTCATGGATGCTGCTAGGTAATGTAAATCGCCCTTTCAGTGCCTAAAGCAGAAGAGCTGTTTGCCTGCTCAAGAATTTTTCGAGCTTCCTGGCCAATGAGATCGATTGTAACCCCAAGAATGCACTAAGAAGGGCCACGACGGCTCCACACTAGAGCTCCCCAATTGGAACCTAAAGTGGGTGTGAAAGGGAAAGCCGCAGGGCAAGCAAGGCACTCACTCATCAATGGCATTGAACGGGAGGATTGCGAACGCGACACACGACCGGGTGCAGTAAAAAGGGCCGTCCGAGTCAATTGCTCTCAAATTTGCAGCCATTGCAAGCTAAGCAGCTGCGATTAAGGAAATACACGAGCTGAGCATGTCAATTGCCTCAATACAATCTGAAAATAGCCTCGAGCTGGTATCGTGACCACTTAATTAGCAGGAGGCTCAACCGCAGCTTGTGAATTTCCGGGGTTCGGCTGTCCATCGTCGTCATTCCCCTAGCAGAGATCTGATGATTTAACCTGCATCGCATCAGGTACGTCTCCACTATTCATCCAGGTCCATTTGCGTCTTTCAAGGTTGTCTACCCAGGCGTCGGTCTCCAATACCGGCACCTTAGCGCATGTTCATCGGCTCGGAACAACCTTGGTCAAAACGTGGGGAGCTACGGATCCATCCCTCCATGCGAGCGACTGGATCTCTATCTGCCGAACGTCAGTCGACTCATTGATGACTGATCGCATGGGCATCTGATTCCGTCCACTGTCGAACGTTCTAGGGCAAGGAAGGACTGTCTACTGTCAATTCCAGCTTTGCCAGATCATAGAAATACATAAGGTCCACAGGCTTATTCGCAAGCCACCACAACCAGTGACGCCTGTGTCGCGACACCACCCGCATATCAAATCGAGCTCTGCACTCGTTGCATCCGGCCTCCGGTGCCCAATGCTCTCCAACAGATTCCAACCATGGTAGCCCGTACGCCGCCAATGGCCTCCCTCAAGAAAGGGCTCAAGAACAGTATATTACCTCAGATTCACCAACCGCTGCCTCTCAATAAGAGGGAGTCCCAGAAACTGCTCGACTCCATCACATCCTCCTTTCGAAAGAATCTAGACAAGGAGCATCCATGGCAACATCAAGAAGCCATCGACCCTGCCCTGAAGGCCATGTCGGTGCTGGCCAAAGACTTGCCGCGTAGCGAGGCGCCACAGAAACATCGGCCCACAGACAGACACTTGGATTCGATTCTCACCAATCCTCTCTTTTCGCAAGGGACTGCCGACTTAACTTCAACCACCGCCGCCCTTCAACAGCACCATGATATCTTCGATTCGGCGGCATCAAAAGGCATGATGACCACGCGTAGGGCTGCCGGCTACCTTGCCATGGTTCGCAAAGAGACTCAGTTCTCTAGTCTGTCGGCCACGGCCGTCTCGGGTGCTGGACTTCGCGTCGTCCAGTGGCTTCGGTCATCGGGTGCGGAGAACTCTCTGGAATTTGTGTCCGACCAAATGTTGATGCCCCTCTTGGTTCGCTTCATGTTTGTCGAGGGTCTAGAAGAGGTGGCTTGGACGTGGCTTTCGCGACTAGGAGCTCAGCTACAGGCACTCCCGAAGGATGGCCAAACCCAGCAGTCTCTGGTCTTCCTCCTTCAGGTCATACGTCTAGCCCAGGCAGACAAGGACCGTGCCTTAGCATTCTCTCACCCGTCCCTTGATCCCTCGTATTCGGCATTCTTGAGGGCGAACAAAACGCTGCCAGTCGACGATATAAGTGTTACCAAGGGTCTGCAGAGATATTGGAGCAGTCTTTCATGGGCATCTACTGTACATGCATCCCGATACCAAACACCATCCGCACCATTATTTGAAATGTTCACAGACATTGGCCGACCTTGGAGGAAGACATTGGACATTGCCCATCTTGAGCTGCACCACCCATCAAGACCTGATCACTCTTCAGCTGTCACTTACTTGCATGACGATCGCGTACGTCTTAACGCTGACAAGTTAAAGAACTCTGCAAACTACGTTGAGAGAATGATCAGCCTCGGCACTGATACTGTCGACCGGCTCCAGGTCGTCGGCAATCAGCAGGAGGCATCATGGGTTTCTGAATTCATGGCTAAAACCTTTTTCGCCTGGAATCTTCGACCCGACGGTAAATGATACGACATTGTTAAGCTATGCTTACATTGCCCGAAGAATTGGGCAGCTGCATCTTGTGGGCTCGGCATCATGTGTGGGGACATTGGAGAATCCTCGGAGTACTTTGGCGTTTGATTTTTAAGGATACCACCATGGGGAATGGCGTTGAGGTTCATTTATGCTACGAATTATGCCCACAAAATCATCATCTGTTCTCAAAGTCTACCATTGTCAGCTTCAATAAATTGCCGGCTGTCATGAGAATAGGCATACGACTTTACCATCTGCAACACTGTCAAGTAATCACCGATTCTAGTCCCTGGGATCTATCATTTGAAGCACCAGACTGTGAAACATGTTACGGGACGATTATGAGCGAGCATTCATCAACGATGTCAAAACTTCATGCCAATATCTCCTCTCCTAGCAACACACCACGACTCGAATTCCCACATTCGTGCCTCTACCCAGAACAAAATGATTGTACCCCTGGTCTTTGCCCTTCAAATCCGCTTCATCCATTGACTTGCTGCCAGTCAGAATAATGCCGTTCAAGAGCAGCGTACTGGAGACACAAACTACAATCCATCATGGCGCCAAAGGTTCCCCAGTAGAACATTTGCTTGCAGCACCAGCCCTGGTCGAGTCAGTCCACACTTCAAATACCGGGATATAAGGGATCAACAACATCGACGATGTTGATCTGGGCCACCCTCGTTGTGCCGAGCTTCCTCGTGATGGCCTGGCTGACATCGACGGCGCCCCTGCCGGCATTGACGCCCTCGCATTTGCAAGGCTTGTGATTGCCTGTTGTCGATGTTGGCGGCGGCGGCAACATCAGATTTGGACGGGTCTGGGCATCCAAGCGGCGGTGCTCAGCGACAAAGTCCTGGAGCATGATGAAGCCGGCGTCGTGGTGGTGTCCCTTGGTGAGCCTGTGCGGGGAAATCTTCCACCGCGACAGCGCGCCATGGTTGCAGACATTCTTTTGCGGGCGCTTGACAATGTAGAGGGTCTTGAGGCTCTCCATGGCCCTCAGCGCATCGACGAAGGCAGGGGTGGCACTCCAGTTGAGAAAGTAGCCCCGCTTGTCGGGTGGCGGGTAGTAGGCGACGTGCTGGATACGTCGGACCCAGTCCAAGTGCACCTTGCCCATGGACATGCTATAACGACTGATGGGCACGGCTAGGAACTGAAAGGGGCTCATGTTGTTGGGCACAATGTTTTGAAAGACAAAGACGTCGCGGTCAAAGTTGACGTGGGCGCAGGTCGGATACTTGGCTGCCTTGGCCCAGCTGCCGCTGGACAAGTCCCACATATCGTGGAGCGGCGTCTCCAGCCCCGTTGTGCGCACCTTGCCTGAGAACCGGATCTTGTGAAAGACGGTCTTGGTGGACGGGTCGAGGCGCATGGCGTTGTGGCCCTTGTGGGCGGTCAGGCTCTTGGTCGGGACGCGGCGGGCAGGGTCAATGGCCACGTAGGAGCGAGTAGACTTGTCAGCGAAGAAGTAGTGTCGAACGACTGGCTTGGAAGCTTCCCAGTGCTTCCAGACCATTTCCTGGAGCTCTCGCGGAAGTCTGCGAAAGTATCGGAACTCGGAGAGCATGGCCATTTTGACAGAAAACAAGTCTTGGGGACTTTGACAAGCTATTGTTGTTTGAAGGTCAATGTCAAATTGATGTCAATATTGAACTTGCAGCGAGCGCACCAGCATTATATAATAGCCATCCATGGCAGTCTTCAGACCTTTTTTTTTTTGATGCCTCAACAAGGTGTCGTTGATAACTCTTTGTTACAAGTCGAGGACACCAGGTTGGAAGCCTTGGCCACAGCCGAAACTCATAGCAAAACGCAGATCGATGGAAAGATACTTGCAGCATATCGAATTGGGCCTTCTTTGACACACCAGTGTTGTACTTTATCTGTGTCTCAAGCATAGCTTCTAACGATCAAATTTCAGAGCATAAGCATAATTTTCCGGCTTCCAGCCGGTTCCGGAGCAATCATATCCATGTCTTGATAACTTAGTCTCAGGCAAAGCAGCGTAGGTCCCTGTTCCCGGAGTCTTGACGGTACCCTTTTCCTTTTTTATGAATCCTGACTTGTAAGGCACGAAATTCATTGACATTGAGATCTATTGAGTAGAATATGACCAGTGCCAACCTCCCTCACACTGTAGAGACTCGCACGCATACTATCACCAGCTTGCATCAAAACATGCATCGACCACGGGAATCACTCGAGCTCTTTGGCAAAGGTCTGGGCGGCGTCGCATGAAACTGTCCTGCCAGTACGATATTCGCCGTATGAAATCTATATTCCTCCTTTCCCGGAAAGCCTGTAGAAACGTGTTCAAGGCCACAAAACCAAAGACGTCTCTGGGAAGCTCTCCGACGCGTCTCATCAATTCAACCCTATCCGGGAGATTGGCCACGGGCCGGACAACAATGTAGACCGTCTTGAGGTTTTGGTACTGGCCGAGTATACCAAGAGTTAACCATAAATCCCGATGATGAACGTTGCTATGCCCAAAGAAGAGGGGAACGGCAACATGCCGGGCTTGCGACAGTTGCTTGGGCATCCAACAGGCGGCCGGCTGGTCCCTGAACATGTCCCCTTCGGCGCCGCCCTGGGGGGAATCGAGGAGTGGGCAGTAGTTCCTGTTCAGGTAAAAGACGTCGCGCTCCAGGTCAGCGTACACGTTTGACGTTGGCTGCGTCACTAGCCAGCTCTTGCTGCGAGCGCTATACCACCGCCTCAATTCACACTCTTCCAGCTTCTCTTCCGGGTCCATGTTGGGTGGCGCGGGATAGTCATCTGCGTTTGACAGCTCAATCTTGTCGAACTTGTACTTGCAGAAAGGATCAAGGCGCAGCTCTGCCGGGTCATTCTCGCCAGCCGTGTTGGAGATGTATTTGTTGTGCGACGGGTCTATGGTCGTGTGTGTCAACTTGCCGTAGCCAACAGTGAATTTGTGGCGCATCCCTGGGCCGGACTCGTAGAGATCCCATATGACCAACTGTATATCCCGTGGCAGATGAGGAAACAGATGGAAGATTGTCAATGCAGTCATTTTTGAGGGAGTGTTGATGAACCGTGTGTTTTACCCGCTTGGGAGAGTATGTAGATGAAGAGGTCAAGGAAACAAGAGTCATGGGTAGTGTATCGCTTGGAGACGGACTACAGACCAGTGGTTCAAGCGCCGGCATTCAGCATTTAGTACCTGCGGGACACGTACTCGAGCAAAACTCGTACCAAAATACATGTTGTCGTGTGGGGCACTAGGGATATCTTGGGAAGAAAAAAAAAGCAATTCAGCGATTGACAATGAGCAGTCAAGATGTTGGACTGTTGGTCGTTCTTTGCGATACGGTCAGACGCTGTTGAGAATTAGTAAGAACCATGAGCTATAGCAGCAATAGTAAACTTTGTTGGCCCGATGGGTCCCAAGACAAGGTTCAAGGTTATATAGGTGAACTCAGTATTAAATAATCATATCCTACATTTGTTGGTATCTATGCACTCGAAAGAAAATGATGTCTCATTCCGTCGTGTTCGCGTCAAACTGGAGGAAATTCTGGCATGCTGGAACGCGTCTCAGTCTTCCCTAGCATTAACCACCCGCAAGGCCCGCCTTGGTCCCATGACGACACTGAAGAAATTGGGCTCCCTTCCTTCCAAGAGCCCTTCCACTGAGCCTCCACTCGCTGTACTTCGTGTCGCGTCGCTCTTCATCCTGTTCACGCCAGCACCAGCCATGGCATTCTCGCCCCAGCCCCAAGGATAGCGATCTTCGCTGGGCCGCGGCCGTCCGCTGGAACTGCCACCGGTGCCGGATCCCGGGGACGGCTCGTCGCTGGTCGTAAGCCACTTTGGCTCGCTCATCTGTCCAACCCAGCCGAACTGGTCGGCGCTCTCGGCGCTGGAGCTGCCGCGACGGTGCTTGCGCAGCTTCTCCCGCATACCGGCGGCACTGGCCATGAGACCCACCTCATCACCGGCATCGGCTCCACTGTACCGGTTGGCGACGGCCATGTGCTTCTTGTATGCGTCAACCTGCCGTCTGTAGAGCCATGCACAAAAGCCCAAGTACAGTGCAAGAAGGCCGAGGAGACCGGCAATGACTCCAGCTGCAATGAGGCCACCATTCGGTCCAGAGCTGGAGCTTGACGGGCCTGATGATGCAGGTGCCGAGTTTGTTACTGTTGCTGCGCTTCCAGTAGCCGTTATTGTGAAAACCGGGGGCTTTCCCGTCAAGAACGGCCCTCCAGTTGCAGGGCCGACGGCGGGTGTCGTCGCGGTGGCGCCGCCTTCCGAACTACCACCAATGACACTCTGAACAACACCGGGAACTTGGTAACCATAACTGCCAGCAAGGATGGTATTATCCGGGTCCAAGTCAGCGGCATGGTCATATGCCGCGAACGAATTTTTCCATTCTAGCGTTGAAGCATCAAAGTTATGAATGCCTGGTTTGTCGCAATCAGTGGTATTACCAATGTATCCACCAATCACTATGATCTGTCCGTCTCTCGGGTGGCATGTATGGCCGGCTCTGGCAGCTGGTTCGTTCGATGAATCTATATCGACTTTGATCCATGTAAATGACGGAATTGTGAGAATGTACATGTCAGTGTACTGAGTCTGGCCCGCCACTGGCAGCAGGTTCTGGCCGCCGTACATGTAAATGTTGAAGGAGCTGGCGTCGGGGGCCGAGAATATGACGGCGCATGGGTTGACACGGACATTAGGCGTGTCGCCGGATGTCTGTTGGTGGTACCACTGGCTGGATTCAATATCGTACACATCAATGGTCGACATGCTAGCGAATTCGTCGGCCGTGTCATTGTTCTCGGTGCTTCCGCCACCAAGTCCAAGAAGGATGCCACTTGGGCCCCAACCAGGAACAAAGACTAGAGCTCCATCCGCTCTCTCAGAGAAGCCTGATTGGTCTTGAATACCTCCTTCAGTAATGTTTCTGTATGCACCGCCGTCTGCTGCACCAGCTGCATGAAGAGAGTCGACACCATTGTTCGCATATCCTGGGTGTGTAAACTCTAGCAAGCTTCTCAAGTACACGCGTGCGACTAGGTCAGACCATCCTGGGGTGGTAGCTTCGTCAAGGTGGCCGCCAAAGTACCAGCTGCGCCCTAGCTCGGGAACAGAAATTCCAGCTCCCTCGGCAGCCCTTTGGACGGGGATCCCCGATGCTGTTGAGTAGTTGCCAGATGATGTCTGCGGATTTTGGAATTCCGTCCATGACGATGAAGCGACCGAGTATTGCCAAGTCGATACTGCAGCCGGCGATACTCGAGGATTATCTGCAAACTCGCCGCCGTAGAGATACAAATTATTATAGTCGTTCCACAGATAACCAAGGGCAACAGCAGGCGGGCCGGATGGTTGCGAGAGACCTGTCAGAGGTGGCGAGCTGGTCGACCATGATTTGGTCAGATCCAAGGTTAGAAAGTTGTTATCTGGACAACGGATCAGCCCTGTTTGCGTGGCGTTATACCGTTATGTACCTACTCCACGTATCGGTCTCCTGGTCGCCGGTTGACTTTGCCTCGCCACCGTAGATGTAAACAGTCCCGTTCAACAGTGCAGCTACACGACCAACAGTTAGCGAGACATGATCCACTGGGGCACTACCAAAGACTCACATTGTTGTGCCCAGCGAAGGCAGACATCGACTGGACTGTCTGCACGGTCTTCGAGTACTATTGCAGGAGGGTTTGGGATAACACCCGCGTCGACTCCGCTATTGTCAATCTTCTGGCGCCCATGGTGGTAGCTAATGGTAGGCAGAATGACAGCTATGAGCAGGGCGATTGTCGTCAATCGGTGTAGACTCGACGTGCTCGGGGGTGGCGCCGACGAGCCTGCTTTGATCCGTGGCCGTTTGACCTGGTTCAATATGGATGACCATCTTCTCGGCGTTCTCGACTCATCCGAGTCGCATGTCGTCTCTGCATTTGTGCCTGTTGGAGATGCCGGCTCCTCTAAGGAAACGCCAGTGAGCTCGCCAAACTCCTTTTCGTCTGTGCTGTCGAGGGACTTTTTAATGTCCTCGGTCCAATCGTCCACCAGTCCGATTTCCCTAAAAACCGACTTCCGTCCTTTTTTAATGCTGCTGCCACCCATTGGCGAAGAAGGTGAAACAACAGAGCCTTCTCTCAATCGATCCGAGGTGATGTTGGAGTCGAATCTGGGTCGCCTTGGTACGACTTCTTTTTCCGAGTTGTTAAACTCTGACTTATCAGAAGGGATCGTGCTGGAACTCATGATGGGTGAGCGGGTCGTTATTTAGGGCATTCTCAGCCGCGTTGGATGTCTCGTATCAGCATAGGGGTGCCACACTCGGAGGAAAGAGAAAGTGGAGAGAAGCATCCTTTGGACCCCTTCGCAGCTGGATGAGGTCACAGAGCAGCATATAAAGATTAATGGAGACGGGCCGGGCGCTTGAAAGGGAATCCTGGGGAGGCAAATGCCGGGTCACATTCACGTTACGTCTGGAGAAGGTCTGTTGCTCGCCATGTCATGCCCAGCGCGTTTTCGATCGCAACTCCGATCCATGGCCACCCATACGTGGACATTGTCTGGTTGACTGGTGTCAGAATGGAAGACTGCGACGACGGGCCCCTGTTCCACTACATCATGGCATCCGAATTATGGTGGGCAGAATTGCACCAAGGCATTGTTCCGTGGCCTAGAAACAACCAAAGAGAGCAATGGTCGAAAACTTGAATTGGAGACCTTGAGAGGTTCCCTTGGTTCCCCTTGTCGCTCACTTCCCGTCCTGAGCTGTCAACCGAGAGCTGTGTGGTGGTGATTGGCCTAGCCCCGGCCAGGATGAGTTAGGTATGACGACATGTGGAAAATCAGGTTCCAGGACGGGATTAACGCTGTCGCCAGGATACTCCAGACCCTCAATCAACTCCGCTCCATATGAGGAACACATTGTAAGGTTGATCATAAGCTTCATTATAGAGAACGACATAATGCAAAGTCAAGATCCAACTACTTTGGTAAGCTGGAGAGTCTGGAATGCATAGGAAATCAACAGCTTTTCTTGACCCCACAAGATTTCATGTCATCCGTAAATGCCCCGCGCTTGGGTCTCGCAGTATCAAGAGTGAGGCAGCCCTTTGTGAATATGGCCCAAGACGAAAATAGAACGAAAACCAATCAATATGGTTCATCACTGCCTTGAAAAATAGTACAACCTCAATAGTTTAGTGTTGAGTGAACTACATTAGCTTACTCCAGCTGTTTGTTGTGCGCCCGACGCGCCACACTCCACTTATGGTCAGGCGCCACATGCACCGCCACACGGGCCGAGAAACGGATGTGGCGTGCTCCGAGTTGTGTCTTTCGTAGGCGATAAACGGTCAAATAAGGGGGGGAAAGAAAAATAAGAAAAAAAGGAATACTACAGAAAATCTAGAATAATTACAGAATTTGGTACTTGGTTCAAAGCTTTTATTGGGGGGTTTCCGCACTCTTCATCCGGTTCATCTCCCCAAGTTCTAAGTGTGACTTTTTTTCAGCGTTTGTGTCACATAGACTTTTGTTAAGGTGCAGCCACTTCTATGCCTCGTCTCCCCTGATTGGCTCGGAGAATAAATTTGCAGAGTCACCAAGCTACTTTACTTGTACTCTTTAACATGATATGGTGCATTAACCTTGCTATCGGCTGGGAGTTATTAGAGACTAGACCGCAAAGGTGGCGTATAGGTACTCATATTTACGAAAAGATTCGCATTTTCAATAAAACACAGTAGTCGTCGAAATTTCTCCAACTACTTTCAGCTCTAAAAATGATGGCTACATTGAATGATATGCTCGTTATTGGAACATGATGTCTTGTTGGCAAGCACATAATGCATTTTGTTTCCAAACTGTTGCCGATGTGACGCAGACATTGACAGCTTACGGTTCGCTGGGTCTCCTCGATCTCTTTTTCAGGCTGCTGTGGCTTGGGATCAAGCAACAACCTGGGCATCACATCATGTTAGATATGCTGCATTGGTGATTGTTCATCTTCTGACTGCGGAAACTTCGTCCATCACTCTGGGAACAGTCTATTTAGCGGACCATCACAGATGTGTAATTTCGCACTCAAGTAGTCAATATTCACCACAGATTGCCTGCTCGGGTGTATCAGATAGCTCTTCAGCACCTCTCTTTTTTAGATCGTAGATCAACTCAGGCATCTTCCCCTTCACATATTGGCTTAGGGGAAAAATAGGTAGCACTTGCAACTGTCATGTATTGAAGTGATGATCGATGTCTCCGTGATAATATGTCAGCAATAACTGCAAATAATGAAAAAGCAGTTATTTTACTGCCACTCCATGCCAAGACACCAATCTGAGTTTGAACGATCCGTGTCTGCCGTAACTCTACCAGTGTGTTTCAATCGTTTCATGGAGGTTGATGATTGTGTGGGACAGCTTTTACTGTTGTTTTTGCGCATGTCAGTACCAAACTAGGATTAATTCTCTTGAATATAATCTTTCTCATTGTATGGTCGTATCAGCGGGGTATACCAACTACCTTGCGTTTTAGCCGCAATCGTGTCACGGGGCTTGTTACGGGTCAATAATGGGGCTGTCCCTATCTATAAGGATTGCGCCATCATTCGGAAAACCACATAATCATGAGAACTAGGGTTGATGCACAAGGGTCTCTCCAACTGCGCCGAAGTTTTCCAAGCCGCAAGGCTCGACCACCTAGTCGTGCTCCACATGTAGAGATCGAACCAAACCCAATTTCGATTTCAATCCCCGATGCACATTGGCTTTTTCGAATGGAGGGTATTCAGAGCTTCCTGATCAAAGGCCGATGAGCAACTGGAACACGCCAGGTCAGGAGTAGGACTACCCAACGTACGAATAGAGAAGGATCCAAGGCGAGAGACCCAGGATATCCGACGACACACAACTAGTCGCGTTTATATAGTGGTATCCATTCCGGTGTAACGTTCCGTCTTTTATACTCGCCTAGGTAGAAAGTGTCGGGAAATGTCCGCCGGCCGGGGGTTAGATGTTGGCCAAGGAATTGGTCTATCAAGCGCCAATCAAAGTACACCATCTCCTAATCACGCCTTTACAGGTATATTGATGCTTTTCACATATTTCGACGCATTTTAATAATCTGTTCCAATACAAATATAGTGCGGCCGTATCTTTCAAATGTTGTGCACATGATAGTCAGGTCAGTCAGCTCTGAAGCAGTGATGGCGACCATGTCGGAAAAGGTTGAACCTAGCGACACCATTGACAAAATTCCAAATGCTACAGATGCCGTATGTCATGACTTTGTGACGCGTGAAACGCCTGCCAAGTTACCATCGACTAATTCTTTCAGGTCCACGACAATGACTTTAATGACAAAGTTTCTTTGCAGGATGTCGCAAGGTAGGTCTCGATGGCATGGTCCAAAATGCTGTGCAGCATGCTCAGCTAATATCATCACCAGACAATTGGGCGCGACCGTGGAGGAAGTAATTGAAGCCCGAGACAGGGGTTCATCCTTGTCTCATGAGGAGATACGACAAGTATGAATACTAAGAGCTCTATACTCCAATTGTTTCTAGCTAATCATGTACAAGCTGGCTGAGAGAATCGTCCGGTCTCATGCCCATGACCCAAATTTCCCGTCCGCTGCTCTGGAGAGAATTCAAACATTCCTCATGGACACCGACCAGGCCGGTAATACAAAGTTGGATGCCAGGACGTACCACGAGTTGCGCATTCAGATTGCACTACTCACAAGCAATTCTCCCTACGCCGAGGTCCGCGCCGTGGTGAATGCCAGAGACGATCCATCTCTCCCCGTCGCTACCATACGAGCTTGGACGATAGGACTGTTCTTTGTCGTGGTCTTGGCCTTTGTCAACCAGCTCTTTTCTGTGCGCCAGCCGTCGATTGGACTCGATGCCGTCGTCGCTCAGCTTTTGTCGTACCCTCTGGGCAAGGCTGCTGAGAAGTTCCTCCCTGATGTGGGGGTCACGCTCTTTGGCGTTCGGCATAGCCTGAATCCTGGGCCGTTCAACCAAAAAGAACATATGCTGATATCCATCATGGCTTCGGTCGGAAAAGTGCTACCAAGCTCTAGATATATAAGTAAGCACTACGAATAACATAACCAAGCAGAATCCTTTATCTGACAACGTCTATTCCAGTCTTCACGCAGTGGCTCGATGTCTATTTTGGTCAACCATATGCCAAATCATTTCTGTATCAGATCGCGCTCGCCCTGTCCACAAATCTCATGGGCTACGGCCTCGCTGGCCTCACACGACGGTTCCTAGTTTACCCAAGCTTCTGTATCTGGCCAAGATCCTTGGTGACTATTGCGTTAAATAGCGCCCTCCACAAAGGTACCAAATACCAACACAGGAACATGTCATGTCGTTTTCATCTGACTAAACTTGTCCATAGATGACAATCATTCCGTGATTGGGCCATGGAACAAAGTGTGGACTATTTCTCGCTACAGATTCTTCATGGCATGTTTCGCAGGCATGTTTGTGTATTTCTGGTTCCCAGACTACATCTTTACAGCTCTTAGCCTATTCAACTGGATCGCATGGATCCAACCAAACAACTTTACTCTAACCGCCATCACCGGCAGTAAGAAGGGACTGGGGTTTAATCCCTTGCCCACGTTTGACTGGAATATCATCGCCCATAGTATTGACCCGCTACAGGTGCCATTCCACGTAACAGCCAACTTTGTCTCGGGGACACTGATTGGCGCCGTCTTCATTATCGGCATTTACTGGACCAATACATGGAACACTGCGTATTTGCCCATCAACTCGAATACCATGTACAATCATTTCGGAGGTTCCTACAATGTAAGCAAGATACTTGACTCAAAGGGGTGGCTCGTTGAGGCACAATACCAAGCCTATTCGCCCGTTTACCTTGCCGCCAGCAGTCTCACAATGTACTACTTCTTTTTCGCCGCCTATGCTGCCACTATTTCGTACGCCTACTTCTTCCATGCGGACGACATCAAACTTGGATTTCGTAGTCTCATTCGCGGATGGAATTCCAGTTGGTCCGATGACTTTCAGGACATTCACAGCAGACTCATGTCAGTCTATCGAGAAGGTGAGTCGAGCCCGTCCAAGTTTCTTGGCAGTTGCGCTGCATCATGGTCTAATCAAGCTGGAACAGTACCCGAGTGGTGGTATGCCATATTCAATGTCATCGCCATTGGTCTTGGATGTGCTGCTGTTGCCGGGTACCCGACTTATACCAATGTTGGCGTGGTTTTCTTTGGGATTGCGCTGGCATTGGTCTTTGTTCTCCCCACGGGCATCATCAAGGCCACGACTGGGATCGAAGTCGAGTACAAGTACGTGTTTCGTACCAATCATGAATAACTCTGATTGCAACTACCTTGTTCTTCTATTGCTAACAGTGGTCTGTCCGTTCCCTCAGTGTGCTGGCAGAGTTCATAGGTGGAGCATGGATGCCGGGCAATGCACTGGCCATGAACTTTTTCAAATGTTTCGGGTACAGTCTTACCTAGTCTCGGGGAATGTGGATTTCTTGGCATGATTGCATTGCAGCTAATGATCTCTTTCACCAGATATGTCACGACGGCGCATGCGCTTGATTTCGCGAATGATCTCAAATTGGCGCATTATGTCAAGATTCCTCCCCGGCAGACCTTTTGGGCGCAGGTCATAGCAACTATTGTCTCAGCCTTTGTTTGCACAGGTGTCATGAACTTTCAGATTACTAGCATTCCCGACTTGTGCTCTTCGTACGTTTTCAAAAGAAAAGACCCCCTCATTGTCTTGAGCTGATTCTCATACTAACCCCACACGATTATGGCAGGACCCAAAAAGACAGGTTCACTTGCCCAGGCGTCAACACATATTTTACTGCTGCAGTCTTGTTTGGGAGTCTCGGATGTTACGAACATGCACCCTTGCATAAGAACAAACAAATATATTAGCGCTTAAGGAAAAAAGGAGGGGTTTAGTACCGAAAGCCGGGAATAGGTCAAAACAGGAACCACCATCCTTAGCAGCTGCTAGCCAGCTGCTTAATAAAATTATAATTTTGGTAATAATCTAAACGGTTAAATTATTAGGATTATTAAACTCTTTTAACTTTAGGACTATAAAATCGGCTTAGCATTATAATCCAAAAAATATTAATAAAAAAATAAATAAATATATATTATAAAAGGATTTTTATATAAATAATTATTATTTTAGTAATTAATTTAAGCATTTATTTTACTTATAAATAAAGTATTTAATACGCTTTAACGATTATATTTATAAATTAGTTTAATTATTTTTATTTTTAAATATTTATTATTTAATATTTTTTTTTAAAATTACCGTTTTTTATTAGCATAAACCTTAATATTTTTTATATTTTAGGTTTATTTTAAAAACCCGTAATATAGCCGTTATATTTTAATTATTTTTATTTAGGTATATTACCCTTAAAAAAAACCTTAAGTAATATTTAGCAAAATATCGTTAACCGGAAAAACTCTTTTTTTTTATTTAAATATTTTTAGCGCTCGCTTACGTAAAAAATAAAAAAAAATAATTTTAAACTAACTAAAAACTAATATTTAGAATTAATTAAAAAAATCCGCGTATTTAAAAAAAGGGAAACTACCTTTTTTATACGCAAAGCCTAAATAAAACAAATTATACAAAAATTATAAAATTTTAATAATATTATAGCTAAGGCAGCTAATATTATTTTTATTTTAATTTATTCCGAAAAGCTTAAATTTAATATATTAGCGGCTTTTAATAATACCTTTAGGTTATTTTAAAAATTCCTAATTTAGGTCCGAGCCTATTAAGTTTTTTACGGTAACTAATTTATAATAAAAAAACAAAAAATATTTTATATTATATTTTATTTTAAAAAATAAGCATTTACCTAATTCGAACCCTATTTTTTAAATATAATTAAGCACGAATAGCAAATAAAATTATATAAAGCGGAAATTTAAAATATTTTCTAAAATTATATAGGATTTAAAGCAGCGCTTTAATCCTTATTTTAAAATCCGGACGAAAAACGATAAACTAAAAAGGAATTTAAAAACCTTAAATAAAAAAAATCCGTATTTAATTATACGGCAGATTTTAAACGTATTATCGCTAAAATAAAATACACTAACGATATTAGGATTATATTATATTATTAAAAATTTAAAAATAATATTAAAAACGAGCTTAGCAAAATTTTTAAATTATTAGCCGAATTTAGCAAATATAGCGAATTTACCGTTAAAATCGATAATTAGTTATATATTCGATAAAAAAAAACCACTTTATACTACGGTTTTAATAAAATTACGCTAATATAGGGAAATAACGGAACCCTTAATAACCTAAAAATAATTAGCGCGATAAAACCTTATATAAAATTTATAACGGATAAATAAACCTTAACGCTACCTAGCGCAAAAATAAATCTAAAATTAAATGCTATAATTACGATAAAATAAAATATTACGCTAATAAATATCGCTAATTTAAAAAATTAAAATTTAAATTAATATTAAAAGGCAAAAGGCAGTTTAATAGCACTAAAAGGAATAATATGCCTTATAAATTACTTTTTTAAACGGCGTGCTTCGATAATAAATATCGAACGCATAAATCTAATAAAAATAAAAGCGGATAATACCCCTAAAAACGGAAAACCTTAATAGCTATACGATTAAGAAAAACCGTATATTTTAGAAAATAAAAGCAATTCTAAAATAATAACGATTATACATTTTCGGATACCTTAAAAAACGAAGCATACTATTAAATAAAATAAGCAAAAGGCCAAAACCAGCAAAATTTATACGATAATACCTCCAATTACGAAAAAAGTATCGACATTAATATAGACTCCAATAAGCAAAAAAAAGACAAACTCGTCAAACTCATCCAAAATAACGACGAAAAACACATTATCGATTATATATTATTCTAAGGTATGATTGGTGGATTATATAACTTAGGCATAGGGAAGCGTTCGTATAATTCGTAAAATCAGGCCGTAAAAGTACTTATAAGGCTATATAATTAATTTATTAAAGCTTAAGGAAAGAATAATTAACTACGGAGGAATAACTACCTTTTATACCTATAAAATCAACTAATAAAAATATTCTAAAATATATTACTAATAAATTAGATTTATAATTAAATTAATTAGTAATAAAGTTGATTTATAATCAAAAAAACCATCGAAATTTATAGATTTCTATAATATGGGTTACCTTATAACTTAGGGCCACTATGGCCAAGTGCATTAGCTATATTTAGTGGGGCTGGATCCAGTAAAACGTTTTATTAGATTCCAATAGGTTCTAGTGGCCATAATGGCCATAATAATTAATTATAATAATTTATTAATTATATAGCATTATAAATAATAGCTATAAATAGTGCTGTACTAACTATAAATCAATATAGGGTAAATTTTACTAATTTCCTATATATCGTTATTTAACGATATTTCGATAGGTTTTATAGCTATTATAACGATATAATATGCGTTATAAAGCTAATTTTATATATTATACGATATTATATTAATATCCGTATAATACTCCCTTTATTAAATAATATCGGTTAAATTTAATAATTTAATAAATTTTTAAAATTTATCTTTAGGAAATAGCTTTATAAAGCCGTTTGCTAATATATCGTTAGTTAAAATATATTCGATTCGAATATTTTTATTTTTAACCTTTTACTATACGTAAAAATACCGTATAGCCGTATATTTAATACGTTAATAATATTCCGGATTATATGCTAAATTTATAGCCCCCGTATTATCTCCTTTTGTAACGGGACATTTACTCCATATATTTATAGTTTTTAAAGGGATTTTTAAATTAGACTAGTTAAGCTCTATAAAAGCTCCTGGATAGGTATATAAATACGACCTACCCTTTATTTTATTTATATAAAATTAGATTATTTTTAATTACTTATTTATGCCTATACACCGCTCCTATTAAGTAATATCGAAACCCTAAATTATAAGCTTTTTTAATTATTATAATTATAAGCCCGGTATATATGTAGCTAAGCTATTATTAAATTTTCCGCATATTTATATTATTTAATAGGATGCTAACGGAATTTAATTTTTAAAACCTAATTTTTAAAATTCCGACTAATATTTTAAACTCGATTTTTAAAATTAAAGCATTAAAAACCCCGTTTTTTTATAAAAAATATTATTTTACGCAAGCTTCGATACCTAAAATTATACGGTTAAAATTAAGCTTATTTATTAAAAAGATTAGGTAGCTTAGTTTTTATAATACCGGTTTTTTTCGGAATAAAATATTATTTAGGATTATATTAATCCTAAATCGACGAAATTATAGCTATAAACTAAATAGCCTTTTTTAATAAAAATTTATAAATTTAAGTTTTAATATTAATTTAAAAACGATTTAATTTAGCAAATTTTTAATTAAAATAAAAAAAATCTAAATATTAAAAGAAATAAACCTGTTTTTTCCGAGCTTTTTTGCTAAAAAAAGCTTTTTAAAGGATATTTTTAAAAATTTAAAACCTAAGCGTTTAATTTCGAAAAAGAACTCGTTATTTAACGGTATATTAATAAATTTAAAAAATAAATATAGGATTTTATAAATATTAAGCTTTAAATTATTATATTTATAAAAGCTTTAAATTAAAATAATTATATTATTCGAAATTTTTGCCGTATATTTTAAAATTTAATAGCTTTAACCGAAAAAGATTTTTTAAAGCAGGTTTTTAAAAAATATAAAAACGTATTTATTAAAGCTAATCGAGTTTAAAACCTTATTATTTAGCATTAAAAATAATACGAAAAATTCGAATTAGCGCGCCGCTATAAATCGGAAATAATAATCGGTTTTTTTGCTATAAATAACTTTTTAAACGCCGTTAACGATAAAATCCTTTTAAAATAAGGAATATCGATTAAAAGGAAAATTAATAAATAGCTATATTCCAAGGATTTTACGCTTTTAGATTTAGGAAATATGCTTTAGAAAAATCTGTATTTAAAAAATAAAATTAGCCGATTTCGGTAACGGGTTTTCGCCGCTTTTAACGCCGATAGCTTTAGCTTTAAAGCTTTTAATTTAAAAAGCTTCGGAAACCCCGATAAAAATATTACGTATTTATATCGAGCTTTTAAAAAAGCTGCTTATTAATAGCCGCTAAAATAATATTTTATCCTAAAATATACGCTTATAGGCTTTATTAAGCGTATTATTAAAATATTAAATAATAAAGTTTTAAAAAAAATTTAAACTCGAATTAAGCATAATAAATATAAAATTTTAAAAAATAACCTAAAAAAAAAAAGCTGGATTAAAAACTAAAAATTTAAAATTACGAATTAAAAAGGTCCGTTTAAAACTTTTAATCTTTAGCTTATCGGTAATTTTAATATTGTAATTATAGATTTTTATATCGTCGGTTTAAATAATTAATTAGCGGTATATTTTATTATTTAATTTAAATACTTTTTATACGAAAATACCTTTTTAAATAGCTATAGCTTAATTTACGTTGCTAATAATATTAAATTATTCGTTTTAGACTCTTTTAGGCTTAATAAAACCGGATTTATAATTAAAATTAAAATTTTAGCTTTATTTATTAAAAAATATAAAATTAAAATTATTAAAAATATGCTTAAAAGCTTTAATAATTAAATTATAATATTAATTTTAATTAACGTAACTTATATTTTTAGTTTTTATTATAATATCGTATTAGAAATTAAATTAAAGAAAAAAAGCGTTTAAAAA